ATTGGGTGTGTGCATACTGTAAATCTCGAGTCGGATAAGCTTCCCCATGGCGGCGAGTGAATTGCGCGCTGCCTGTCCGGCGAGAGCGCTGCGTGGAAGTGGGTGCGCGGGCAGTTGGGGCAGTTGGGGCAGTTGTTGTCGCGTGGTGGGCTGCGGGCGAGGCGAGCATGAAGTCGACCGCGATCCGACGCGACGACGCGCTTCCCGTGATTGTCCCGCCCGCCGTAGCTAGCGGCACATCCTCGACGGTGACGAAACTGGGCACATGTCACTGGTGCCCTGCATGCCTGTGTGCAACCTCACCGCTCTCCCCTTGTTGTCCGTTTTTTGATTCATTTCACAGACTGCAAGACCGACCTATACAGCTCTCCTCGCCTCAGCTGCCCCCTCCAGGCGCCTGTTCTCGTGACCAGATTACTGCACCATCTCTGCGCCCCTCCGTGGCCGCCGATGACGTTGTGAGCTCCAATCACCAGCTCGCATTTTCCCACGCCCGAATCTCTACCACCACAACGACGCAGCGAGCAATCCAGTGCAAGCCCCGCATATCACACGCCCATCGCAGTCCATCGCAGCCCTGTCATGCGAAGGTAGTCAGGGTCCGGTCATCCTGAGCTAATCTGGACATTATCACCGTACGCGCCTTCCTCTTCTCCTGCGCTCCTTCCCTACCATGGCCCGCAGAAGGATCCCTAGGCACAACACTGCTAACACACGCCATGGCTGTAGGCTCGCCCCCGCGTATTTCCAAGCGACCCCTCCATCGACGAACCCCGTCCAGCCTCGAAATTGTCCAGGAAGAGCTCCCCACCATGGCCGAGCAGGACGCCCTGGGCACCGCGCCCAAGTCGAGGTCCGACCCCCAGCTTGCAGTCCCCGGTATGGCCTCAAGATTGCCTTCTAGCGATTCTGCCGACGCTAGCTCTGCGATACTGGACGACGCCCTGTCCTCGAATCAACCACCGCTCTCCACTCCCGGCCTTTCGCGCTCGGCTTCCTTCTCCAACAGCTCGTACCAAGATGACTCCGACTTCGAGGATGCTTCATTCTTCCCGCCTGTCGAGCGGCTGACCATGTTCGATTTCGTGGAGAACCTCGCCCTCAACCAGCGCATCGAAAAGATCCAGAGCTCGATAGCTTCCCAGACCCAGAAAATCAAGGACCGGGCCAAGAACAGGGGCATCACCAAAGACCGCGTTGTCGAGGAATGGCGACGTAGAGTACCGACCGAGGGCGAACAGCTCGACAAGTACCGCAAGCGTATGCGCCAATCTGTAGACCGCCTGAACAAGCAATGGAAGGAGTCGGTCACAGTCACGGCTAAAGAGAAGATATCCTTCATCGCTGCCGTCATGAACATATTTGTCTCAGGCTACCTGGTTGGACTACATCCCGACTTCTTCCCGTACTGGTACACTGGGCAGTTGTTCTACTTCATGCCGCTCCGCTTTATCACCTACCACAAGAAAGGATACCACTATTTCCTCGCCGATTTGTGCTATTTCGTCAACATCCTAGTAGTCCTGAGTGTCTGGATCTTTCCGCAGTCTAAGCGACTTTTCATCGCAACATACTGCCTGGCATTTGGGAATAACGCCGTCGCCATCATCATGTGGCGGAACTCGCTAGTTTTCCATTCCATGGACAAGGTCGTCAGGTATGCATGCTCATGGACGACTGTTGAAACTTTGCTAATACAAACAGTCTCTTCATTCATATTATGCCCTGCGTCACTCTACATTGCCTGGTCCATCTGTTGCCCGACGCGATGCAGCAGGAGAAGTACCCTGCTATTTACAACATTCGGCATTCTGATCCAACGTCAAAACACCACTACAGTCTCTTCCAGATGATGCTGTGGGCAACGCTCCCATATGCTGTCTGGCAGCTGAGCTACCACTTCTTGATCACAGTTCGTCGACGCGATGCCATCAAGGCCGGACGCCCTACCAGCTTCACCTGGCTGCGCAAGTCGTACGCAAAGACATGGATCGGAAAGATTGTCCTCTCGCTACCAGACTCCCTCCAAGAGTCTGCCTTCATGGTCATCCAATATCTTTATGCGGTTCTCACTATGCTTCCCTGTCCCATCTGGTTTTGGTATCGCTGGGCATCAGGCGTTTTCCTCATGGTCGTCTTTATATGGAGTGTTTACAACGGTGCAACATTCTACATTGACGTCTTTGGCAACAGATTCCAGAAAGAGTTGGAGGCGCTCAAGAAGGATGTCGCCAAATGGCAGGCTTCTCCTGGAGGCGGTCTTACTCCTTTTACGCCCAACGAAGCTGGTATTGAGAAGCAGTTGGGTGCAATCCCGCCTCTCGAGGGAAGCACTGGTGTCAAGGCGGCTGATGGAGAAGCGAGAGAGAGGAAGTAATGATGTACCCAACAGGGAATTTTCTTACGCATGTCAAGACGTTGATCTTCTCATTATCTCAGATCATGTCACTCGGAGTTTCTAGTTTTAGCATACTGGTGTCGTTTTCACGTCAGCGATGGTCTCCTTTGGTACTTGCATTGGCATTTTATCTAGACTGGTTGGTGACATATACCCCCTTTCCTTCGCTCAACTATGACCAATTCAACCCTGCGCGCCTATAATCAAACGTTCCTGAACCCCAGTCCCACATGCATCTACCTGGTCGTGATAAGAAGCAGATAAGAAACACCCTTAATCCCCAACATCACATCTACCCAGGCATGCTCACACCCAACCCAACATCAATCCGGGAAAAACCGGCAGAAGTCACGACAATGCAGGAACCCACAGTATTCCTCCTCTTGGACGACCTTCTCCTGGACATCCTCCTCTTCAAAGTCTTCAAAGTCCCCATCATACCCCTCATCCTCCCAGACACCCATCCCATCTGCCATCATCACATACTGGAGCACGTAAAGAAAAACCTCCCAGGGCGTCCAAGACGCCACCTCGAACTGCGCCATGGCAAAGACATAGTCACGAATCGCCACGTTCTCTTCGTATGTGTAAGTGGGGTGCGTGGCGGTGTTGGCGGCGGCGAGCGCGATGAGGTTCGGGAGGGAGATGGAGTATGTGTACATTTTTCAGAGAGGGGGTAGTAATTTGGGAAGGAAGTGTGGTTTTTTTAAAGGTGTTCTTAGTATGGGTGTTTTGTGTTGAAGAGGGAGAGAGAGAGTGTGTGTGTAGAGAGTGTTTTGATAGGGGATATTATGGGGTTTTTTTTAAAATGGATTTTGGGGGGTTTGGGGGGAGTGTACCATGATTTGGAGTGGATTTGTACCATGGTGTTGATGGATCCTAACGGGGATGATTGGCTACGCATGATTAAAGTGTGTCGAGTGTTATTTTGGCAAGAAATTGGTTAGAAAATATTAGGGCACGCTTTAGACCACGGTACGATTCATAGATGGTGTTTGAGGTTAGTCAGGTTTCAACACGTGATGCCGAGTCTTGCGTAGTATAGTACCTACACGCACACATCACATCACAAGAATCGCATACATGCGCAAGACTGCTATTATCGTGATGATTATACGTCAATTATACTTCCTGTAGTCCCCTGCGCATGATCGCCATCCTGAATCCTGTATACCTTCGCGCACATATCGAAATCTCCCAACCACACTCTACACTACCGAAGCTATCCTAGTCCCACCCCCATCCCACTCAATGAAAGTACTTCCCCGTAATGCCCCTACACAACGCCCAGCCCTCTTCCAACGCCTCCAAGACATCCCCCTCCAATTTCCCCTTTTCAAAGTCCCCCAAATTCTGCACCAATTGCGCGTTACTACTCGCGCCAATAATCACCTTATCGCCAAACTCCTTCTTAAGCTGCGAGTGATGCATCATCCACCTCAACGCAATCTCGCCCTCCCTCAAATCCCCCTTCTTCGCCCTCAACCCTTCCAGTGCCGAGAAAAACGCATCGTTCCAGTACCGCTGCCGATACATCTGGCCCTGCATTTTGTTGACGTCGAAGCGCGAGCCCGCCTCTACGTCTTTTTCCGACGTGTTGCGATGGTACCGGTCTGTCAGCCAGCCGCCCGCGAGCGGATTGTACGCATAGAACGAGATATCGTAGTACCTCAGACAAGGCAGGAGTTCCGCCTCAATCGTGCGGTGTAGCGCATTATACACGCCCTGATACACCTGCGGCAACGGCCATCCATTCGCGCGGCACAGTTCGCAGATCGCAGCTACTTCCCACGACATGTAATTGCTGATGCCCCAGCGGGTGAATTTCCCCTGGGCGTGCAGGTCGGCGACGGCGGCGAGGGTTTCTTGTAGTGGCACGGAGCGGTCGGGCGCGTGCAGGTACCATAGGTCTACGCTGGTGGATCCGAGAGCGGAGAGGCTGGATGAGAGGCCTGACGACATGCTTGAAGGGTCAAGGTGGGTTACGGGGCGGCCCATCATGCCGCGGACGTTGGGGAAGAATTTGGTGTCCATGGTTAGGTTGCGCTTTTGCCAGTCCAGAGCTTTGAGGTACTCTTCGGATGATCCGCCCTGTAGTTGTTCAGTTTGAAGTGTTTGAGGTGATGGTGGTGATGCACTTACACCGTAGAAGCGCGAGGTGTCAATCTCATTGTGGCCATAGGACTGGAAGGTGTCGAGAATAGAAGCACAATCTTCAAGTTTCGAGGTTCGTACTTGTTCCTCGCCTTCACGGCCAAAGGTCATGGCGCCGAAGACGATGGGAAGAGCTGTTTTGGGAGACATTGTTGCTGTTCAGAATGTGCAGAGATAATGCGATTGGAAAGGTGAACAAGATCAGAGCGCGGCTTGTTGAAGCCCACCTTCTTTATACACCATGCAGAGCTAGAAGTCGAACTAGTTACCGAAGTTAGTATCGAAGCCGTTCCGAGCAATGGTTGGTCAATTATTTCATCGTGACGAGGAGGGCTCGGAAATAGGCGGATTTAGTGTCAGGTACGATGAGCTCATGAGCGTTCCTGCCATCACTAGTGATGCACCAGTCTTAGCTTTTCAATGCCAACAAGATACAATTGACACGTCGATCAACACCCATTATATAATATGGTACAATGTAAACAAAGTTATTGTGGTTACAAGTAGGATATGACTGCTCACGGACAGACAGCGAGCTAGGAGGAAGTTACTAATCCTACTCCATTGAGCTATTACGAGAGCAGAGAAGAAAGGATCCAAATAGTATACACAATCTGCTCACTGAATCTAATTACGACTCAAAGGCAATATGCAGCAGTATACACCTGGTTCTCTGTCTTACCAACCGCGCCCGCAATCCTCCCCTCCATCCCAATCAGCCCCTGCATCGCCGTCTCCCTCACCTTCCCACAGTCCATGCCATTCTGCCCCGAGAACCCCAGACTCTTCAATTTAACATGCACGTGTAGGCCCTTCTCCCCCGGCAACTGCACATTGACACGATCGACCGTGTTGCAAAAATTATACCTCAGCGGCGGCCCGACTTTCTGATTCACCCAATACTCGTTGCAGTTGCCTGTGATGGCGAGCGAGGCGGCGCTCGCTACTGCGTCCATTAGAATGTCGTAGATTTCACGGTTACCGTTCCACCGCATCGATTCGATTTCTAGCGTCACTTCTGTGACGTCTTCGTCGTTGACAGGGCGCGTCTTCGCATGCCAGGCGTAGATGGGGAAGTTGGAGATGGCTTTTATGCCCGCGGGAACGACGCCGCAGAAATCTCGCGTCGCGTCGGGGCAGGCGGTGCGCAGGTTGGCAATTAGGGTGTCGCGCAGTTCGTTACCCCACATGCTGCCGACGTTGACAGGTTTGTTGCCTAGGGCGAGTTGGATGGTGTCGCCGGATGGGATGGATGTTGCTAGAGGGCTGGCGAGGGAGATGAGCGGGAGAAGGGCTCCGAGGATTTTGACAGTGGAGAGCATGATTATGATCTTGCTTTAGTTTGGTACGTGGTATAGTGTGAAGATGTGCGAGAAGTGAAATCTCTGATATTTGTGTATGATCTTGGCGTTTGAAGGAAAGTTGTAAATCAGGAGAGGCAAATGACTCCAAAAACTATTTATGTGAAGTCCATTCTCAGTTCACATTATCGGAGTTCGTCCAGAACAATCAAACAAAGCTGGATGCTGGGTTGTTTGCTTTGTTCTGACGTAGTATTTTCGTTGCGAGACACTTTTCTTTGTATCCTTGTTTCGACCCGACCTCGTCAATCACTGAGGTGCGAAGAAGGCCAATCTTGATTTCGAGCCCTCATAATTCATATTCACCATGTTGTTGGATTTTCTGTGCAGTGACAGCAACATCCGATCTCTCCAAGCATCCAGAATCAGCAATAAGATTAAGCTCGCCATTTCAGCTGTGGCTTTGGTGTATGTAACTACCCTCATTATGTCTGCTTTTATGCTCAAACATTGCCAATCAGTCTGCTGCTCCTTGAGCTGCGGGAGACGCGCAAGCTGATCATGCTCGTCTTGTGTGCAGTAGGGCCCATCGCAGACGCTGTATGAAACGAGATTTACCTTCTCATCCGCAGTTAATCGATCAAACCCCGCGGAAGAATTGCATTACTTGAACCGCACTTCTGTTAGGGAGAAAGCTGGTTCTGTCGGGGTGCAGCTAGACAGGGTGCTACAGCTGAGCGTGGTGTATGCATAAAGAACGCAAAGAATAGGAAAGTGCAAAAAAAGAGGTGATCGATCAAATCGAACTGACGTGTTTCAAAGATTCCTACCGTAGTAGTATATAGCAGTCGCAGATCGCAGTTTTTCACGCACATCACAAGGGATATACGCACCTAAACCGGTTCTCCAAACGCTGTACCAACGGGACTTGAACCCGTGGCGAAAGGATGACCATTTGGAGTCTTTATATAGGCCGAAATGTCCTAGAGGGGTATGTGGAGACGCAGGCTGTGGGCATGCTTAGCGAGCAATCGGGCAGTGGATTACGTCGGCAGCTGCAGAGCGGAAAGCCCCGAGCGGCTGGGGCTCCTGTTTGCTTCTGGATGATGGCATGGCGACGGGGCGGGTATACGCCGGCAGGCCTTGTGAAAACGATAACTCCCTGGGACTCCCACCCAACACGCACCACTAGATGGAAGCTCACACCAGACGGAGCGTCTTGCCTTCCTGTAGTAGCTACAGTGCCCCAAAATTTCTAGTAGCAATGAAACATGAACATATGGGCAAGCCACACGTGTCCCATGGCAACTGTGCTTGAGCCCATCATGCCATACTGCTGACTTAGGTGCTGCACTGCTTGAGGGAAATTTCCAGTATTCTTTCGTAACCCATGGTGGAATCACTTCAAGTCCATTCTTGATGCTCTTTGTGATGCTTTGTGATGTTGACTGCCCCATGTGACCATTCTTGACCCCACGCCTCACCTGAACAGCAACACCATTTAGACTCGATCGCCGTCGACAGCGATCTCCTAGTCATTCATGCTGAAGGACGCATTCAGATGGACTGTGGTACTTTTGCAAAGCCCTCAGTGCGCACAAGACTTCCGGCAGGCCGCTGGGGTTGACTTTGAGGAGCTGATATCGCCTTTCTCCCACAGCCTTCCACCAACACCAGAACAACACCCCACCACCACAATGACTCCAGCCCCTGCGCGAGTAAAGGAGCTCATTGCTGTAGGTATTTATGCTTATCGTCACTACCAATTGGGTTTCGTTGCCCCGCCAGCACCGCGCTCGAGTCTCAGGATTCACGCGATCGCTTTTCGAAGCCCACCGCGAGGCCCCTCAGCAACCACGGCAAGACTGACACAGAAAGCGCGCGTCACATCTAAGGGAACTCTTGACTTCTCAATTGAGATCCTCAAGCTTAGAACGCAAGCCGACGACCAGACCGATCCCCACCACGACGGCCGAGGAACCAGACACGCGATGCGAACTAGACTCCTCCGCGGAGGCGACGACTAAACAAAAGGCCGGGCAGAGGTTTCAGATGCCCCGGCACGGCTGGAACTTCTTCTCTGTCTCGCGAGCCGCTGACTTTCGAGGCCTTGAGCGGTCTCCCAGGTCTCGATACTTGGCTCAGCCATGAACACGCGTTGCGACAACCCCGCGCAGCCTACAACCAATACCACGAGACTTTGCTATTTGCACACAACAGTCCTCTCAGTTAATTGACGCAGTGGTTGTGCTTAATGGGATCTCTCTCATGATCTGACTGGCCAACCGTGGCACATCGCGATGTTGGGCCGGGACGCCGCCCGCCAACAGGAAGATCGCTGCGAGGAGCACTTTCAGGCGACAACGCACCAAGAACATTGCCTCTAAAGAAAAGCCGAACGATGCCTGGGTCATTCGCCAAAATCGTGCGTGGTAGTGATGTTTACACGTGCGACGTATGTAAGAGTTGCCTGGGAAGCGTGTTGCCTTCAGACCTGCGAGCGCAACATGACGGCCGATGATCGACGATCGATATCGAAGTGTACAAGACCACCGCAGTGAACCCGGGCGGATGCCATTATTGTACGCTATCGAGAAGGGGCTGCTGGGATCCAAAGGCATGATATATGCTTATGATCAAGGTCGACTTGACCGGATCCTTACACGCTGGCGAAAGAGCGACGTCGACAGCGACCTGTTCGGGTATCGACAGGAACCCTCTGAGCCCGCGCCCAATCTCAAATGATCGAAATGTCCTGGCGACCGTTGTTTGTCAAAGCTCAGAATCTGAGCATGGTGTCTGAGATGAAGTCGCTCATGTTGCATTGCGTTAAACACGCATGAATCGAATCGTCTTCGCTTCGAGTTTGGACATCGCAGATCACGAAGCACTGGGTTGTGCGGTCGAGTCCATCCAACGAACCCTGAGATGCTGCACACCCAGTTTCGACATATTTTCCGTCTGCACAAAGCCCCTTGAACCTCTTCGTCCGAGCAACTACGGACCTCGCTGGCCTGGTCGCTCCGGTGCACCAAATGAAAGACAGTTCCTACTCTTTCTTTGTAGCACTTATACGCTCCGGTCTGCGTGAAGCGGATACCCCCAAGAAGTGCTTTGCACGCGGTCGAAGTATACGAAACAACATGGACCAAGATGTTGGCACGGACACACTTGTTCCAGCAATGGATGGTACCAACACTGAGTCAGGCATGATGCAAGTACCGTTGTCCAAGTGCCAAGTATGTCCGCCAAACACAGTTGATTGCCGCAAGCATGGCAGACGTACTTGCAGCCAAGAACCTCTTTGGAGTCCATCCATGAGTTGCTAGGCATTTGCAGCCTACGAGAATACCGCCGGGCCACTCGTTGTTCCATTTGGACAGGCCCAAAAGATATTTCGGTACCACAGGCGTCATATGCTGGCCACGTTTCCGTGTTGCGGCAACTATAGCAAGTCGCCTGGGTTCGAAAAATCGACCAAGGACCCAGTGCGTATCTCTCGCACCGTTGGGCCATCAAGTGGACTTGGAAGACGGACACTCTTGAGGAGCGCTGTAGGCGAGAAAAATAGGTGGCACAGTGTTGCGGCGGTGCCTCGAAACGCCACGACTGTAGCATCACTTGTGAAGATGGTATCACCTCAACGACCCCCAGCCTCTTTGTGCATGTTGCTGAGTTGCACATCATAGCATAGGCTTCGTAAACGTCTCTCGCTCCTGATGCGGATGTGGGGTACTGCGTCTCGACATTTGATGGTTGTTGGCGGGGCCAGGCGGGCGATTGTCGCGAACCTTTTCGTTCCACTACTGGCATGGATGAGATGTTCCTGCGATTATTGTTGGTAGACCGCCGCTGAGCAGCTGCAACCATCCAGCACGCACGTTATGGACTTCGTCTATGGTCTCGGCGGAGGCGGCTACAGCAAGGTCCATGTCTCTGGCAGTCCTCGCAGCGCCCAGAGAACAAGCCTACGCCCTTGCAATTATCGGTCAAGCCCCGTGGTGTGTGGGTATTGGCCGAGTGTGTGTCCGTCGAGACTTCGGTGATCGGTGCGGGGAAGAGTTGCGGAGATGTTTGAGTTGGAGCCCAATATCTTGGTGCGCGAGTCGATCCATCGGGACTGCGGACAGCTTGTGGTGTCAGTTGGGTGTCAATCAAGGGCTACCGTACCTTCTCCTTCCCTGATATTGCTGCGGCAATATTGCCACTGGTGGTGGTGGGGGGGGGGGGTGCCAAATCGCGGCACGGCGCCACGCAGAAGAGCCAGCCATGGATTCCTGGTTCAAGGAGTGGCTATTGGAGGTCTCTGTTCTCCTGGAAGAAGCTCAGCACAGTCTATTCGAACGTTCATCGGTGCCTATTCGTGCGCTGGGAGAGGCTGAAGGTTGTCTGGCTGCGAGTAAAGGCGAGCTTCAAGGGGAGCTTCAAGGCGCTCTCTGAGGCAGTGAGATTGCAGACCCATATCCGGTGAGCCCTTGTGGTCTCAAGTAAAAGACACAATGGCCATGAGAGTGTGCGCACTGCATCCAGGCATCTGGTGTGGGTGAGTGTTGTGGTGGTGGTGGTGGTGGTGGTGGTGGGGGAAGGAGCCCTATGTGCGGGAGACAAAGCTACTCCGCACAGAAGCACGCCAATGTCAAGCAGCGCCGACATCATCAGTAGAAGCGCATCTCCCACAGGGCATGGCGGCTATGCTGGCGGTGCTTGAACCTTTCAGAAGACGAAATTGAGGTCGTCAAGGCCTGATGGCAGAAAGACTTCTGTCAGCCATAGCGGTCTTGCATGTCTGACACCGTCACAAGAATGACCTGGCAGCACGAACTAGACCATAAGCTCGTGCCCAGTATTGTGTAAATAAGGCCGTTCTGGAAAGCTACAGCGAGTGCCGAGACGCAGATGCTACGATGTCTTTGAGAGATATTGCTTCCACATTAGCATGGCTCCCAGCAGATTGTTGCTCCTATGCTGGTTCTCAGGCAGCTCCATGTTGCCAGATGTAAGTGCAGGTTCATCGGGCTCTCCTCAGATGCCCAGGTGCCAGTGCGGGTCCTTCAGCAATCGCTGCATGCTTAGACGGTGAGGTCACATTGGAAGACCAGGCCTCGTCGTGAGTGTAAGCCAACCGTGCTCAGATCGGATTCCTTAGAGATGCCAGAGGTCCACGGAGTGGAGATGCACGTCACAAGCTTGGCAAATTAAGCAGCCTGGAGCGCACAGGAACGACGAAGACGCGTTGTGTCGTTGCAAAGCAGATGCGGGACAGCTACGCGAGGTTGACCAAGCTTCGCTGAGCTTTGACACATTTGCGGCATCTTCCACGAAGCTAGATGCAACCTCTTGTCATCCCTCACATTTCAACATCACCATGCATACGATAACGAGCACATTTAACGACTTTCTAGTACACTTTCATTATTTATAGAGGACATGAGGACCATGTAGCGCTTTTACTTTCCTGATTTTACCATTCTGATCCACCCATGGGCCAGGAAGCGCTCAGAAGATCATCATTTCTTCCGGATTCTGTATCGGCGTGCTCTACCTCAAACATCCATTGCAACGGCATTGCGGAGACGATATAATTCCCTGGAACGACTCCCGAATTCCTATCGCCCGCTTGGTGTCTGGGTTGGACTGCTGAAGCCAAGCAGGATCGCGCGAAGGGGACCTGGATCGCTGTCCCTCAACCTTCGAACACGTTCTCACGCAGATAGGAACAGGCCTTCCAACCAATAGAGAGCTTCCAGTGTCCAAGGTGATAGAGGTATGAATCTGGCTGGTCCTCCATCGTTAGGAAAGGCCCCAAGACGAATGAGTTCTCTTGATAGAAAACTTCAAGCGCCAGTCCATGGATCTCCGGTCGGGCTGTTGCGATCGCAAGGAGGTTGTCGACTGGACCGACCTGGCGGTCGTGGAAGGCTGGTAGTCCCCCAGACGGATCGTCATACGGACCAAAGACAGCGAAGCTGTATCGTCCTGATGGAACGAGCTGGACATGAAGAGGCGTCTCGAATTTCAAGAGAAGACGAAGAATCTTCTTTCGCACCTTGAGCGACAGCAAATCCAGCCGCGGAATGGTGTTGTCGTCGATGTATCCCACCGGGCCTAGACCGTAGAGCCTCTCCAGCAACATGTTCTCCTGTCCAGATGGCAAGGAGTGTATCGGCAAGCCCTGGGAAGTAGTGTCTGCGACGACAGGGAAGTCGTTATCGTAGTCCATCTCTTCCTGCCTCGAAATCGCAACGATCATGTCGTTCATTCCTGGTCCGAAGAGGTCTCGCACTATCTCCTGAATGCCCCTCGTCGATGACTGGCGTTTCCAGGACATAAGGAGCGCGATGACCACCATCTCTTTTACCTCGAACCTCACGGGAGGCCCTTTCATCATACTGTCTCCGAGCCTTGTGCCTTTAGTCAATAGCTCTCGGATGGACCTCTGGACCTCAAAGTCGCGGAACTGCCGCCTGTGCTTCAGCCCAGGGAAGCACTCATTGAGGCGCTTGATGACGAAGCTGCCCAACCGAGTATACGCGTAGAGGATGAAATAAGACTCGCTCGAACGCGATGCAATGGCAAGGTCAGGCTGTGGGATGTCTCGGGGCGGGGCTAAGCTGTGTTAGTCGTTGGGGTCGCTTTCACGATCGCGATCTTTGTCGACGTACCTTGCAGCCAGGCCAAAGCAAGGCGGACGATGAAGTGGTCGAGGTCTAACTCATCCACTCCCCTGATCATGCCATGCCAGGCTTGGAGGATGTCGTTTGAGAAACGCTTCGCGGCTTCGGCCAGTGCCGCGTCCGTGAAGCGCAAGTCCTGACCTGCCGCCACTCTTGCTAGACGGGCGAGGCTTCTCACCGTGTGCTGCCGGCCGATTCGAGGGATGTTACCTACCATACTGCCGTCGATGACTGTTGTCTTTGGCGTTTGGGGTGTTGTCGTTGTGGTGGAAGGTTGGCAGGGTGGAGAGTATCGCAAGAGACAAAACACCACGAATTTTCCCGCAAACGCACGGCCCCGACTCTTGCGCAGCGAACTATGACGACTTCTGCTAAATCCTTGTTCCATGGTCCTCGCGGAGCATATCAGCTGCCTCTGAGACGCTGGCCTGTTGCAAAAGATTGGGCGGATTAAACATGCGGATTGCATCATAGCCAGGCGAGGAGCCAGGCATACTTGAGACACGGTTGCAAGACTCGAACGAAATCACTCATTGAATGTGCTTCGACAATGGCCAAAAAATGGTTTCGACATGAACATGAACGGCTATCAAGCAAGAGCATATCTGTTTCAAACCACGCCTGTGGTACCGAGTACGTTCCGGGGAGCCAAATGCTAGCCACGGACATGAGTCGAACCCGCGACCATCGGAACCACAGCCTCGACTACACTGACACGAAGGTCATACAAAACAGCAAAAAAATGGTAGCTTAACTTTGATTGAACACGTCATCCTTAGTGCAGGGGCCGTGCTAATCTTCTCTGTATCGTTTCTAAATGACCAGTCGCCCGAAGGCGAAAGGCCGACGGACAGCAGGCTTTAAATACTCGGAGTCGTTATGGGGTCAGAATCTACAGGCCGGATGTAGGCTACGCGGGAGCTCTGCACCGTCACCACAGCAAGGGTCACGATCGAGCTAGCAGAACAACAAACACACGACGCGCTTTTCCGAGTTGGCCCAGGTTTCCATACAGGATTCAGGAAGTCTCGAAGCTCCAGTACACCGTATCTCGGTGCCTCGAGATGCCGGCATGATTACCACGTCCTCCGGAGAATGCCACTGCAAGTCTGAAACAGCCTCCGCGATACCATATTGCAGCAGGGTCATCAATCGATTGAGTTGGCTGAAAGCTACAATTCGGATCAAGTTGTCCGCAACAGCTGCGCAACAATGTAGAGTAAGTCGTAAGAAAGGTATTCCAACATTATCCCAAGCCACTAGGCTGTTTGCTCCAAGGTTAATGTAAGCCTCAAATGCAATTCCTGCAGGTAAAAGTTGTGACAAAGTAGCTCACCTAGGCAGCTCCATGGCTTTTTTGTACATCACAAGCGTGGCTATTGGAAGTGCCAAACGATTTACATGCTCAAAAGCAGCCCTCTGTAGACTGTTCTGAAACACCGAGCTTCTCCAGGAATGAGTATTGACGTCCGTGATATGTGCACCTGAGTCTCTGGATCACTCTGGGATTACCACAATTATGTAAACTTTGCTGCGAGCGGTATGATGTTCTAGTAGAATAGTTAGAAATGAATTTTACAATATGCAAAATCGTCTTACGAATACGTGATTCCATATCTGTCTGTGTAGGCTAAGGACAGATTGTTTAAAAGTGATCTTCAGCATTTCAGTAGCAGCAGCAAGCCAATGTACATAACTGGTCATATCGATTCGAGAGTAGAAGATATGAGTAAAATTTAGTGAGGATACAACAACACAGTACTGCTTGCTAGCTCTATGTCGAGTCAAACGGCAACATGAGAGATATCTAATAAGTAGCCTTGCAGCCTGGAATCCTATGCGTGCTATGGTATACTCAAACATGAGCGTTATCCAATGACTTGCTTCCACACATGCCAGCCTGATGATCCCCCGCTCACTACAGCTCTCATCTCAGCCCTAAAACTCAAAGGACGCGGACCTGCATAAGGCCGTAACGCGGTCCGCTAACAACGCACCTCACCAAACCTTGTCTACACATCACGTCACTAGAACACAAAGACATCCATAAATACGCAAAGATAGGACGAAGAGATGTGTTGCTTCTAACCAACTACTACTACTACTACTACTACTACTACTACTACTACTACTACTACTACTACTACTACTACTACTACTACTACTACTACTACTACTACTAGGCTACTACTACTACTACTACATGTAACGAAACCCAAACAAAGGAATTAGGCGAGGTCAAACTCATATCCATCGATCCTGACAGAACTACCCCATCAAAGTCAAAAAGCCTAGACGCCAGAAACACCATATCCATGCAGCCCAAAGCGCCAGCAAATGCATCCGCTATCCAAACAAATCATCACGCTCCTTTGCCCCCAGCATGACTCTTACGAGTGATAGCTCCCGCTCGGCGCACTGCTCGACGTGTTGGGGTCGTGCGTCTGCCCGCCGCCATTGTGGATGACAGGGGGTTTGCTGCCGTAGCGTTTCGCGCGCGACGAGTCGGCTGATTGCGCGTAGATGGAGGATGAGGCGGAGGAGTATGCTAGGAAGGTGTTAAAGTCATGCAGATGGGATTGGTGGGGGGAGAGACGTACTGGTTGATGAGGTGGAGGGGCGGGAGGTGTAGGCAGCCTTTGTGGCCTGGCTGTAGTATGAGTTCGATGACATTATGGCGGCTGGTGACTGGTGGAGTGTGTGGTGTGGTGAGGCGTGGTGTGTTGGTATATTGGATGTGGTCGATGGCGCGATGGTAAGATGTGTTTGGCTGGTGTATACGAAGACTGTAATGCGATGTTCTTGATCGATAGCAGGTGATGAATAATTATGACTGAAACACACTCGATGACTGGTATGAATGACTGTTGTATAGAAGAAAGAAAAAGAAAGACAAGAAACGACCTACAAACGAGCCCATTTAATACTCCAGGCAGACAAAAAACTCACTGAGGCCGCCGATTACCTTCCCCTACCGATATCTCTATTCCTCCCACTCCGTCGGCGCTCTCCTACAGATGCCTGAGCAACTGCGCAATTGCGATGATTCACGCGCCTGCGTGGCTATGTCCAAGTCCCCAGGCACCACGCTAACATCCAGGCAACCACTCAACCAGCGCTCACCCGAAACATTCTGGTGAACCGAAAATAGAGGCAATGGAGTCATAAACGACTGTTCGGGACCGCCGTTGTTAGTAGCTGCGACGCGATAAAGTGGTCAATAGAGAAATTGCATAGCCGCGTCAGTCACGACGCTGGATGACTGGAACGTATGCAAGGCACAATCAGGCCGGAGCCAATGGTAGACAGTCTGCTGACTGACGCGACGCGCGATCCAGTGACGTTTGCCACGCCCAGACTGGGGGAATCAGACGGAATCGTTGATAACGGCGAGCTTTTTGGGTCACCGGTTACTGTTCGGGTTGTGCAGGGGGGCTGGCGCCGTTGTTGCCTGGGAACCATGGCGGTGCTAAGGAAAAGATCGCAGGACAGAATGTTGCAGGAAAGCGGATTACGGAGCAGATGACGATGCGAAACAAGACTTGAAAGGAGATAGGGGACGGAGGCGAAGAGTCGGTGGGCTCGAGGCTGTGTGGTGGTGGTGAGCATAGCGGGGTTGCGTGCGGTAAGCACGGAGACGAGGCTGCTGCGAGGCAGAACGCCTTATGTGTAAGCAACAGCTCATAAGCCGTCCTCCGCGGTCATTCGCGCAAACTTGCAACAGATGGAACTGTGTAAGCATTCAAGTCTTGGGCAGCAACGATGTGAAAGTCCTCGGTCTGGACTTGTTCTGATCCGTAGGCAACAAGCACAGCATATCGAGGCTCACACCTCGGTTCATGGATGATGTAGAAATGGCAGATCCGCCTGCTCTGGGTATCATTTATTCTTTCCCTCTCGAACTTTGCAACTGTTAATCAACGGACTAATCCCAGAACTTAAGAGCACCATTCAAGTCACCAGTGATGACCTTGCTCGTCTCCCTCGGATGCCATTGAACAGCCAGAACCGGCGCATCACCTGCATGAATCTTGTGCCACATCTTGCACGTCTTCCAGTCCCAGAACACACAGTAACCGCCGCTGTCACCGGAGCTGATGAACTGCCCATCAGGTGATATCGCGATGTCAGGAGCATAGCCCGCAACATTGTGGCCCCTGTAGCTCTTCTTGCGGTTCTGGCGGAATCGGTCGGTGGAGGAATAGACGGTGACTTGGTTGTCGGAGGACTGGAATGCGACGTATTTGCCCGAAGGGTGAGGCGCAGAGCGGACCATGGGAAACATGTATGGTTCGGCGATGAACTTGATGGGGACTGGGATGCCGTATTCCCACGCACGCAGCGACTTGTCGTCGGACGTTGTGATGAAGCGGCGATTCTCGTCGCAGAAGGTAATGGTGTTGACAGGGCCCAGATGGTGATCGTATTCCTGGACCATCTCCCCGCTTCTCGTGTCATACTGTAGGATCTTCTTATCGCTCATGCCAGCAAGGAACTCGTGGGGTGTAGACGGGTTGATGCGCACCACGTGCGGTGTCTTCCCACTGGTGAACTTATTCAGGCATTTGCCCGTTTCCGTATCCCAAAGCTTCATGTACCGATCATAACTCGCAGATATGAATTGTGTACCAGTAGGATTGAAGTCGATGTCGTTGACAGACTTGGTATGCCCCGAAAACGTTCGTAACAGCTCGCGTTGGTGGTATACATCCCACAGAGCAATCTTCGAGTCGGCCGAGGCAGAGAGGAGAAGGTGACCACTATCTGGGATAAAGCGGACCTGCGTGATGGATTTGGTGTGGTACTTGTATGTGTGGACAAGCTTCTTCGGTATGAAGTTCTTGGGTTCGTAGTCACCGGTGAGCTTGATATCTAGGTCTGTGATATGTTAGTTTGGCCCAACCAGTCACAATTCTCATGTTCACATACCAGTCGGCACATGCATGTACGTCCGGCCCTGGTAATCGTACTGCTGGCTACCCACGAACTCGCTCGTCTCTCCAGCAGCTTCGGTGTCTTGATAGTCCGTGCCGGAAAGCTTTCCCGGCGCAGCTGTTGGGTTGTCCTCAATCTCGTCTTCTTCGTATACTATTTCCACCTCTTCATCGCTACCATATTCGTCATCTGAAGCAGCATCCGGCCGTTCCTCCTCGTATCTTGCCCAAGGTCCTTTGTATGCTCCTGCGCCAGCAACTATACTGGTATCTCCCTTTCCTTCACGCTTCCTCTTCTTCGTGTTGCCTCCCTCGATTGCTCGATGCCCTTGTCGGAAGGTGTGTTCGCTGATGTATGTCTCCGCCGCAAACCCAGTAGGAACTCGGCCTGCCATGCTGGCGCGCAGGTTTTAGGATTATGACAAGGATGTCGAGAGAATGTGTGTCGAGAGACTATCCCACAGAGCCCTTGATTTGTTGCGCTGCCTTCACTTCAAGGTTGGGTGCTACCACGATAAATTGTGGTCGGAGCGCTAGTCGATCCTCGAGCTGCAACTTTTGGTCAATGACTAAGCGCCAAGACCTTGGTGTCTGAGCTTAATCATGTGAAATCGTTCATTTACAAGGCTAAGGCAACGCTATCATAACCCATTGAACGTAAAAATATGCCTCTCCACCTGGCTGATATTGGTATCCAGCGCCGTTCCCCATGGTAACCTCCATACAACCCCCCGTATTATGCCAACCCAACCTATCCCCAACATCATCCTGTCCACCATTAATTGCGAAAGTGCGAATCTTTGCGTCCTCTTCAAGCATGCCACATTGCTCTTCGCACTGGGGCGCCTTGTTCTAACTGCGATGGATCGCTCGAGCCCGACCCTCGGTCGCGCGAGCGACAAAGCGAAGCAACACATCATCAGCTTCCCCAAGGGCCACATCTAGTGGGATTCGTCGCGGATGAGGGCAACGATCATGCTGTAGAGGTAGAAGAAGAACATGAGCAGGTGGAAACCGAGCTTGATGAATGATTCCTATGTCTTGTCAGCGCATTTCAACTTTACACGTACGCGCGCAGCAGTGCACCTGCAGCGCCATAATGATGTCGCTGTGTACTGCTTGGGGAGAGTGTCTGACCTTCTTGTGTACGTTCAGTTTTCTGAAGATCTCTGTCGCGTCAAGGAGATGCTGGTTCTCGAAGATCCTGCCATGGTCAATTTTTGCTGCCAAGTGGCTCTGCCTTTCGAATTCGCACGTACTTCTTTGCGTTCCATGCCAATAAGGGCAGGTTGAGAACCAACGCCATCCAGTATCCATTGATCAGGAAGAGAAAAGTCAGGAATCCGTGTACGGCAGCTTCAGGGACGATGTAGGTGTTGAGGCGGTTGCAGAGATCGATCGGGTTGATGTAGTCGCTGCGCACAGTTAGCATGTCTCTGATGTTGCCTGCTTAGGACGTCATGCAGTGCAGTTTTCGCTGTGAAGATAGACAGATCGGGGATACTTACCATTCCAGATCGCTGTACATAATCGTGAAGAAGACCTGCAGGAAGAGATTGACGGCGTTTATCAACACCGCCAGCAGGTACAGCCATGCTTCACCCGTCATTTTGAGAGCCGCTCGTACGTGTAGATAGCCGATATATGTGCGAAGATGCTTTCAAGTAGCTTGGTAATTTAGCTAATCAGTATTTCGGTGCGAGCAAGTGAATGCAAAGGGTGCTGGTGGGCTCGAATGCGGTCGTGTGTCTGAGGGCTGTTGGTTGGGCTAGACGCGGAAAGCTAGCTCGTGCGGCGGGGCGGCTTGAGGGCTGCGGTGACGTAGCACGTGGCTGCAGGAACACGAGTGTACAGACGTAACAAGTCGCGACAAGTGGTGCAAAGGTGATAGCTGGTCAGGATTGCGAGTGGGCAGGCAGCAAATTGTCTGGATGACGTTGAGGTGTAGAGTTGAACCGCCAAGCCATCTTCCAAGGTTGGCCTGAGCGTCCGAGGCTCGCTTGTGCGCGGTGGCTAGCGGAGGAGCACCGCCCGAAGTCGGTAGGCGCAAGTCACAATCATCATGTTGTTTCGTTTGAGACCTCTTCGTATGGCTCATTAATTTGTTCCGTTTCATGGAGGGTCTCATTCAAGATGGCATCCTCTCATTTTCATGAATAATCATGTTGCCTCCCGTTCATTGGTCCGAAGACCGTACTCGTCTAATTTATTCGACAAAACCGGGGACTATCCAGCAACTCTTCAAGAGGTCGCTGTTGCTTCTCCGTTTGCCTCTGCTGGCATCGGCACTGGGCCACCTGGCGAATCTGGCAATCGTGCAGTCAAAACCTCCACTCCATCCTCTGTGACCAGTAGTGTGTGTTCTGCGCAGAGTCAGTGAATACACATCGCCATCTAACTCGGGCACTTACCGAATTGAGCAGTGAGGGAACCGTCCTGCGTGACGCTCGTCCAGTCATCAGGCCAAGTCTTGTCCCTGTGTGTGCCAATACTGATCATCGGTTCGATCGTGAAGCACATGCCAGGCTTCGCTTGCCCAATGGCCTTGTTCTTAGCGTAATGCGGAACGTTGGGTGCGCAGTGGAAAAGCTGGTTGATGCCATGTCCACAGTATGTCCTGATAACGCTACATTTCTTGCTCTTTGCATGCTTCTCAATGACGTTGCCGTATTCGCGGAATAGAGTGCCCGGCTTGACCATCTCGATAGCCTGAGCCAAGCATTCTCTTGACGTTTCCGTTACGCGTACAGCATCAGGGTTTGCCAGTGCCTTATCACCAATGTAGTATGTCTCGTTGAGATCGCCGTGGAAGCCGCCGTGGTAAAGGGTTACGTCGATGTTGAGGATGTCGCCGTCTTTGAGGACTCGTTGATCGGGGATGCCGTGGCAAATGACTTCATTCACCGATGTACATACTGACTTTGGGAAGTTACAGTAATTGAGGGGCGAGGGGTATGACTGCCATCATTAGTATGATCCTCTCTGTCTCTGTGCACTGGATACTGCTCTTACGTCGCGCTCCATACACGCCTTGTGCACAATCTCGTCAATGTAGTCGGTTGTGACACCAGGTTTTGCCGCACGTGCTGCAATGTCCAGCACTTCCCGCGCAAGTCGGCAGACCTTGCGCATGCCCTCTTGCTCCGCCTTGTCCAGCACGGCGATCTTGTTCCTGTTGACAAAAACCTGCTCCGAGCGCGGTATGCCATCCTTTGAGTAGTCTGGCAGTTTTATGGTTTTCGGTACTTCTCGTCGGGGGGACAATGGGTAGACGGGTCTTAGGGCTCCAGTGTACGGGAATGTGGGAAATGGGTTGAATTGGCCGGTGGCTGGATCCGGGTGAGAAACTACTTTAGGCGTGAAGATGTTCTGAAGTATACCATTTTGTGATTTATGAACCTTCTTGTGCTCTGACTAGACTCTTTCATTAGACACTTTTGCCTCTTACCCTCAGCTCCTCTTACTAAGTACCCAGTTACGCTTGAAGCAGTCTTGAGAGCAGAAGTAGCTTTCTTTGCCCAGCTTCTGGCAATTTGGACATTGCAGCGCGCCTGCATCGTTCTCGCAGTCGATGCTTGCGCACTTGCGCGGGGCTTCGCTGGTCATGATGCGCCTTGCTCGAGTGATATGGAAGGTGTGTGTGGAGGTCGAGGAGGCTTCTGGATCTCTCGAAGATTCAGTCACTTTTATGCCGCTTCCAGCAGCTAGACGCTAGGCAGTCCGAGTTCCGCTCCAAAATTGTGGTGATTGTTTGTCGTGACTTGAAAGCCGCAAAAACGCGTCGGCTGTCGGAGTTCCTGTTAGTGGGGGTCCAGAACTTGAACCATTGCAGACACGGCTGATTACTAAGGCCGTGGGTGGCCATCTGGCTATCAATTCGTCCGCACTTGCCCGTTTCGATCCATCATGCATCATTGCCTTCTGTCCGTGACCCTCACTTTTTTTCGCGGCCCATCTATATAACAGTCTTGACTCGAAGTCTTTTATATAACTTCGACATACACACTTGCGCGTCAAACCTTCCAAAATTCAATATCCCCGAAGTCTATCCGTCTTACACGAGCGGATAGATCGACACACGTGCATAAGCGTAGATCTTCTGTATATCCATGCCACAAAAGATTGTGGTCGTCGGCGCAGGGCCCGTGGGCTCTCTCGCTGCTCTCTACGCTGCAGTCCGTGGACACGATGTCGAGATCTACGAGTTGAGATCTGGTGAGCTGCAAGGGTACAATCCAGCCATCACACAGCTGACAATATGAAGACCTCCGAAACTCTGAGCACTCCTCGAACATATCGCAGTCCATCAATTTGGCACTGTCGGAACGGGGCATCAATTCTCTTCGCAAAACTGGTCTGCCCGATCTTGCGGATGCTGTTCTCGCTGAGACCTTCCCCATGCATGGTCGCATGATCCACGTGAGAAAACATGGGCAGTATGTACGCCAAGCACAGGCTTACGATGCTCACGGCAGGGTAGGTCTGCAATCCGTAGCCTTGAAATATGCACTAATAAGTGACAGAATTTACTGGCTATGGACAGAACTGGGCTCAACAAGACCCTGCTTGACCACCTCAACTCGATGCCCAATGTCACTTTTTTCTTCCATCGCAAACTTGTCAGCGTAGACTTCCGGAAGAAACTGGCATGGTTTGAGAATCGCACCAAAACCGATCCGGCGAAGAGCGACGACATAGAAGTGAGCTTTGACCTAATGATTGGTGCAGATGGCGCACACTCTGCTGTACGCTACCACTTGATGAAGTTCGTACCCATGTCTTACCAGCAAGAATACATCGACAAACTATGGTGTCAATTTCACGTACCACCTTCGGATAAAGGAGACTTCAGGATCCCTCCTAATTACCTACACATCTGGCCTCAAGATGACGCCATGTTCATTGCGCTGCCAAACCTGGACAAAAGTTTTACCTCGACCTTGTTCCTAACACGATCAGGCTTCGAAGAACTGGTTGCATCAGGGAAAGTTGTTGAGTACTTCGACGAGAAGTTTCCTGGTGTGGTACCGGAACTTATCACTGAGGATGAGCTCCGCAAGCAGTTCAACGAACATGACCACTTTCCACTCATTTCGATCAAGTGCTCGCCCTACCATTTTGGATCAACTGGTGTTATTGTTGGAGACTCTGCTCATGCAATGGTCCCGTTCTATGGACAAGGAATGAACGCAGGCCTAGAAGATGTCCGTGTGCTCTTCGAGATCCTTGATAAATACCCGGGTGACCAGGCGAAAGCGCTGAGCGAGTATTCGGAACAACGTACACCAGACGCCCAGACCATCAACGACCTTGCGCTTGGCAACTATCGTGAGATGGCGTCCGACGTCAAGAAGCCACTATACCTATTGCGAAAGTGGATCGAAGAAAAGCTATACATCTATGTTCCTAGTGCCGGTTGGGCCACTCAATACTCCAGGGTCACTTTCAGCAACATGCGTTACTCAGAAGTTCAAGCAGCCGCACAACGACAAGCCAAGATTCTCAATGGCATCGTGGGGGTAACAACTTTATCGCTTATTGGATCAGCAGCTTTGTGGCTCGGTAGGACCGGAGGCCTGCAGCAGGCAAAGCAAAATATTTTAAGGTCGATCTGCCTGCTTGCACAACAAGCGCAGAAAGTCACGAAAGGATGACCGCAAACTCACTTGGTCCTGCGCCAATCACAGGTCAATAGCAGGGCCGATGGACAGTCCTTGAGAGGAGCTTCAGATCAATCACCCGATATGATCACCAAGACTTTAGCCTCTGCACCTTGTCTTGTAGAGCTATGCTGTCGCGAGCTCATGCACAGCCGAGTTCAATGACTGTCCACCATAACCGCCAAGGCCACTCGTTTACACGATCGTAATAACTAGTCTCGAGGGAGAACGCTCGGAGTGGTTCCTTCCAAACTGGGACTCCGGACGGGCTTCGCCGGTGCGCTCTAAGATGTCACAGTTGTGTCTTTGTGATCTTGCCTCGCTTGTTCGAGCACTATATGAAACAAACTCCACTCAAGGTACCCCACATGCATTTTGTGGGGAGCAGGATTCGGAGCACGAACACATGGAATCATGAATTCGGTTAGCTCACCTGTAAATTCCCATCAGTATGATCTTTCCGACTCTAAAATCATTTTATGGAGTTGCGACGCATGTCGCGATAGCCACGATAGGCAATCTAGTCATTTATCATATTCCGCGAATCAGTCTTTACACTCACCTAGACACTCCAATAGGTGTGCGATCTTCGCGATGTCTTCCACATCACGTCGAGATCTATTGGATACGACCAACTTTTGAGATTCTGTGCCACTATCGCATACTCTAGACACTATGCGGTTAAATATACGCACCTTCCAACCCCCCATGTTTGCCGTGGCACAGGAGTTGGCGACCTTCCAGAAGTGGTCGTTTCGCCGCAGGAAGACAGACACATGTGGCTTTGTCCTGTAATCAGAGCTTTTCATTTGGTCGAGACTGGTCGTGTGAGTGTGCATTCGCGCATACCCGCGCAAGTGACCATTCACTTGGATCGTATTAATTACAGTCACGCGTAACATTTGGGTTCAAACCTGGATGAAGTTTCTAAGTATGGCTCATCTTGCAAAGCAACCTTGTATGTCGTCGCCTACTCTGTAGCCGACCGGGAACCAGAAGATTGCATATTGGCCCTTGGCAGATGAGGCGGTCATAATAAGTCACCTTGTCGCTCAGGACTTCCTTCGTAACACGAACAGATTTTCGGTCCTCCAGCGATACATCACAGCTCAACTCTCAAGTGTTGCTCTTGTGCCTTCCTGTCGCAGTTCCGTTGATCCTCAGTTGACCAACGCAATGCGCTCAGCATACGGCGTTGTGGCGCTTGCAAGCCTTGGTAGGTTTCATGCCTCTAAACACTAAGATAGAATCCTAATAAGTCGATTAGTTTCTAGTAGGCCGGCGCCCGAATCAACACTTATAAAATCGCAAGCCCTCGCTCTCGCGTACGTGGATCAAGAGACTGGCTTCACATTTTCCGAATCCAAAGCGGCAGCAACCCTCTCTTCCAACATCATCTACCGCATAGCCACTCCTGCCAACGTACCTTCCGGACAGCCCTACGATGTAGTCCTTCAGATCGTCGCTCCAAACTCTATCGGCTGGGCCGGACTCGCATGGGGCGGCAGCATGGTCCGCAACCCGCTCACAGTCTCTTATCCAAACGGCCAGAAAACTACTGCATCATCACGCTGGGCGACGTAAGTTTCCACTTTCTCAAAACACATTGACTTCAACAACTAACACCCATTTCAGCGGCCACTCAACCCCCCAATCCTACACCGGCGCCACCCTCACCCTCCTCTCAAAAGGCAACAAATCAAACTCCACCCACTGGCAACTCACCGCAAAATGTACCGGCTGCACCTCCTGGATCGGCACCTCGGGCGCAACGCGCATCGATCCCAAGGACCAGAAGCGCCTGGGCTTTGCATGCGCGGCGGCGAAGCCGTCCAGTCCGGGGTCGAACACGTCGACTATCCCTGTGCATGATGTGTACAACTACTTTACTCACGATTTTGCGGCAGGCGCGAACGCGAATTTTGCGAGTTTGTTGACGAAGAATGGCGTTTCGGGGGGCGGGGCGGAGACGGGGAATGTTACGATGGTTTAAGTGATGGGTGGTTCGGATGCATGAATGGATAAGAGGCTTGGTGATACGTAGACTTACATTCGTTGACTATATTTATCGGGTTGAATTTGCTGGTATTAGTGTTTTATGGTCAATGTGCTTGTGAATGCATGCGCGAAGCATCGTTGCGTTCGATAAACAATTCGCACAAAAGACTTGTTGAGAACGCAGGAGCTTGTTGTTCATCACTTCTGATTCCAGAACCGAACAACTTTATTGGCACTGTGAGCTTGCAAATCACATGGACTTATCACGATAGCCACTGAAGAGGCACATTGAGTTCTCTATACGCATAGTAATTTTCAAACACAATATGTTGCTATCTTGAATACAAGCGCTTCGATAACGAACGAATGCTAAGCAACTGCAAATCAGTACGAAGTAGGCATCACCACGAAAAGAACGAAGTGTCTTCGAGACCGTCACGACAAGCAGTCTAAGCCTTCTTAGCCATGGCACCAATCGGCATCTCCGTAAGCCCTGTACACCAAAAGTCAGCAACCTCATCTCCATCCACATCAGCACACCAAAAAACTTACATCCATTAACCTCCTCGGGCGCCTGCTGCTTCTTCTTACACGCATTGTACGTCGCCGGCTGCTGCACCGTCAACCCCGCCTTGGGACACGCCGTGTTCAAATTGCAATTATTATCCATAGCCTTCTGTAGACTATCGCCCTCCCAGCCAAACACATAGTCGCCGTGCGCCGCCGCGCCGCCAATGTTCATCGAGTACACGAACGGGTCGGACCCGTCGGTCGGCCAGAGTGACTTGTCTGCGAACTTGTTCACGTCCCACATCACCTCGTACATAATCTGCGGCAGCTTGACGGGGTGTGTGGATGGACAGGAGCCGCCGCCGTTGGCGCCGGAGCCTTGGCCGTAGGCCACGTGCGATTGGTGGTCGGGCGAGTCGAGGTCTTTGCCGTTCCAGCATCTGATTGGGTTAGGAGGTGTGAAGGTGGAGGGATGGTGAGCTTACGCGGGGAAGATGAGGGTCTGGCGGATGAGTTTGCACTTGGTGTCTTTGGGGATGGCGACGGTGTCGCTGCCGGAGCAGGGGGCGCCGCCGACGAAAGTGCTCTCCGAAGGGGAGGTCCAGCATCGGTGGCAGATGTTGGCGAGCTTGACTTTGCTGCTGTCGGTGTTTGTAGCTGAGCCGACCAGCATGCGGAATCCTTTCTTGAAGGCAGTGGTTTTGCCGCTGGGGATGTAGTAGACGTCAAGACCGCCGTCGTTGACGAGCTTGCCTTGAGGTCCTCCGTTGCCGATCTGGGGAACGCGACTGGCGTGGGTGTCAGCATCCGTGTACGTCCTCTTGCCATTATCCTTACATGTAAGTGCCATTCTTAGCCTTGAAAAACATGACTGCAGTCCAATAGTTGGACTTGTCTTGCGTAAAACTGCAAGAAGTGCACGTCGACGATTTGGCAAGGTCGGTGGACGGATCCATGCTGATGTTGAAAGCATCACCTCCGACAATCTGATGGAGATGCGGCGTGTACTTCATGCCCGGATTGACAAGAGGATCCGTTCTCTCAACGACAAGCTGTGAACAAGCAAATCGTAACATGTTCTGGGCAGCAGCATTTTGCGTCAGCGCCGCAGCGGCGAGAAGGGCAGACCACTGCATCGTGACGAACAATCTCAGTGACGGTTTTGTATGAAGGTACGAAGAGAACAAGAATGAGTGGTAGAGACACAGAACCAGAGCCAGGAACAACCATGCATAGTAGCCGTGTCTTATAACAGCATGGTCGAGGAGATTTGACGTCCTCGTGGCCAACTGCCGGGGCCGTGCAGAATTCTGATCGACGAAGTGTCTAGCCCATGGTATTAATCTAACTTTTGTACTGATTGGGCAGAAGTCCATATTGCTCGAAGAACATGTATGGATACCGATTTTCTGAAGGCCAGCGTATCGTTGCAGTCTGTCACGCTGTATATCGAAGCGGTGCATGTGTGAAAACCGGATTTCCGGATGCACGCTTCTTGTTGGACAGGGCGATATTGCTCTCGTGGTGAAATAGAAGACTCCTTCATATTCCTGTTTAGTACCAAGACATAATGCTAAGGTAGGGTGGCCTTCATTTTCCAGGTCACACACGATTGGGCAAAGTCTTGCGTGGGGCGCCGGTCAGACGAAGTGAGGCTCGATGAGGGTGTTCAAGGTGTCTGATGCTCCTGAAGCTTCCGGCTTCAGGAAAGTACATCGACGTCACTGTGAGAGCTTGGGAAGGGGCTATGAAGTTAGATCGAGCTCTCAGTTTTTTGAAGCATGCAGGTGGTCAATAGCAGCTGCTCCTGTACTTTATGGCACTGTCAGTGCGGTGCGGAACTAATCTTTGTTAGTTGTGAGCCAGCCGTAGCGAATCGTTCTCTGATCAAGATGCGCCTTGCCGATGTTGTCATGACGCGGGATCATTTCTAACTGTTAGGAGCAGTCGGACTTGTAATGACTCCCCAACACTGAAGCACATATGCCCAATAATCCCACTGGTAAGGATATATTGTTTTCGAATCCGCACCTAACACTCCCGTTTCCTCCAAAATCATCAACTCGCAAACAGGTGAAGTCAAACCAACCCTCCCTACCCCTGCCACGTTCCACTACGGAGCAGGCGCTAACCCTGCACCCACGAAATGTCCCGCACCAATCCCAGCACAGCGCCCAGAGAAATGCATACGGACTTACTCTATTCTCCAAATCATCAGCATGCTCTAATATCGCGGCATTAATGATCGACATCCGCACCTGCTGGCGTGCTTTGATCTCCGGCACTTGAACAATTAGCCTGGGAAAGCTCCGTGTGGGGCCAGACCGATGAGGGAGTGCCGACAGGGTCTGATAGTACAGCTGGAGTGTGATGGGCTGGAGTGTGGATGGATGTGTGGGTGTGTGACTGAAGACGAGAGGCTGAGACAGTAAAGATGTGAGGACAACGATAGCATTCAAGTATGTGTAACAATCTCCACCTACTCCAAATTATCATAGATGGTCTTCTCGCACATAAACCAAGCCGGAATGACCTTCGGGTCGCCATTCGGCAGCACCTGCGCACCCAACATGCCTGCTACACCTCGGGCTCGATCAATCCACCAGAAACAATTGCACAAGCCCATCCACCAAAGTGTGTTTGGGCCGCGACCTGACGGGCCCCCTTCAATGGTGAGAAACCCGCCAAAACCCCATCCTTGCGGCGGATTCCCAGGTTGGGGGTAGAATTCGGGGACTTGATTGACAAGCTCGGGGTTCGCGGGGGCGGCGCCGGAGCGCGCAAAGTCGGGCCTGTTGTTCAAGTAAGCAGATGGAAGGACACCAGGGTCGCGGCCAAATTCCTGTCCGCTTCCTCTCAACGAGAAGAAGTCAAGAGGTAGCCTTGTATACACTCAAGGGCTTCTACAACTTCAGTTGAGATATCTTGTAGCGGCATATATATTCAGGCTCCTCTGAGAAGTCATGAGCACGCTCCTCAAGAGTATCAACTCACGCCGTGTAGATGCAGAGCGGACACGAATTTGCTGCCTGGTGAGGTTATATGAGTGACGTTGTGACATACTGATCTGGAATCTGATTCTCCCACATGAGATCCACAGTCTCCTTCAAGATCTGCTTGCCAGTCGTAGGACTCGTTCCATCATTCAAAATCGCCCCAAGGATCTTGACGTATTCCTTCGGCTTAGCATACAGACCCGCGCCACCAGACTGGAAAAAGGCGTTTTGCTGGTCCTTTGAGGTCACGCTGAAAGGGCCGTTGAAGAGGTGCTCGCGCTCTTTGAGCTGGCCGTCGGGGCCGCGCTGGTGCATGTGTGCGAGATTATTCTGGGATGGGAACATGGATGCTCCGTCGGCTGAGATACCCAGCGGCGCGAAGATGTGCTCAGCGAAGTAGCCGCCTAGGGTTTGGCCGCTTACGCGCTCGACGATGATGCCTGCCCAGTCGAGGTTGGTGCCGTATTCCCACATGGAGCCTGGCTGGTTGACAAGGCGGCCGTTGAGGATGTCATTCTTATCACCGCCGCGACCTTCTATGCTGCCATCCTGAGGAATGCGCGGGTCGATGAAGCCGTATGCAAAGCCAGCGGTGTGAGACAGTAGCATGCGGACCGTGACATCCTTCTCTTGATCGGCCGGTGTGACGCCATCAGCGTAGACCTTCTTCTCTTTGATCTCGGGGGTGATCTTCTTGACAAACTCGGCGTCGTCTAGTGAAATTTTCCCTTGCTCGACGACTGCTCAAGATGAACTCATGATCAGCGTGTGTCACATCCAAGAAAATATCAAAAAAGTTACGCTAATGCTCGGATCACTCATAATAGGAAGCTTGAACTCACTACAAAGAAATTAGTAAGATGACCAACAGCATCATCTGTAGCAATACTCACCGCTGTAATGCAGCAATGGCGGTAACGAGCTTCGTGCAAGATGCGATCCAGAAAACCGTGTTATCCTTATTCATCTCCTCCTTCGACTCCACCCCCACCGTACCCGCAGCATATTCAACAAGCGTATTTCCCGCCTTGTCAACAGCAGAAAAAACAAGTCCAGGCGCGCCATCATTAACAAAACCATTGAGGACGTCCTTGACGCCCTGCACGCCTTTGGAAGAAAGAGGCATATTGGGAGTATTGTTGCTAGTAGTTAGAGCCGAGGTATGTGCGGAATGCAGACGTTGACATTTACGAGGATGCTTCGAGGCATTTATAGCTTGATAGTGTTGGCGCGATCAGCCCTATGACAACGCCTACAGCACACGCGTGCGGCGTCGGCGTCTTGGCTGGCCAACTACCTAGGTACGTACTTACGCCCAGCTGGATGAACGTGCATGGTACACTGAGCGTCTAGCTCGTTCGTGTTTACTCAGGAGTTGTCATTCGTCATGTCATGCTCACACCGGTTACAAGTTTGAGATGTGAGAAGCTTGTTATGCTGAGTGTATCGAATGTATTTGGTCTATTTTGAATTCCGCTTTGTAAAACCAGGCTCAGCATGTGTATTTCGAGCGTGTACTGTATCGACTTGAGGCACGCAATACCCCACAACTGGGGCGTAGACATATGTGCACTATTCCCCGCACCGGAGTTGTGTCCGTGCGCTGAGCTAGCTGCTGGCGAGAGGACGAAATGCGAAAGGATGGTTCCCCGCGACCCAGAAGGTTAGACTAAGACCCGCCCGCAGATGGTTCGGAAGTCGCACACGGCTTCATGTCGTGCAAAGAGGCTGGTCTGTGGCAGCTTAAGCTTCTATCAGATGGATTCATTCAACCTCGCTTCATCGCTGCCTTGATTTCTTTCAATGCTGCCATGATCAGGGGAACACCAACTGGGCCAAGGAGTGGGAGATACACGGCGACTTTGTGTTCATCCGGGAAGTAGACCTGGCCGACCATAGACCGCTCGAAGAAGGCCTTCTCTGCCTCGACCTGCGCCACCCTAGCATTCTCGAGTGCTTGCTGGAAGCGACCCTGTTGCAGAAAATCGCACGCGTGCTGCAGATGTGTCATAGTCAGGGCAACTGACTGAGCTACGTTGTCCGGGACCGGGATTGACGGAAGTTTCTGGTAAACCTGTGCGAGCGCGCCTAAAGTGGATGAGGTGGAAGTTATAAGCGAAACAGCTCGAATACGCTCCAGAGTCGATATGCGGAGCGGCAAGGAGGCTGGAGCTTGTGGAAGTCCCAGTAATGAGATGAGCTGGTCTGAGAAGGCGTGCATAGCTGGTGCGAGGGCATCACTGGTCAGGCTTTCTGGGGTCGCCTCACCACCAGGATTGAGGATATGAACTCCGCCCCACTGTGGCACCAACCAACTGTTTCCTGAATTTTCCTTGATGAGCAGAGGAGACTGCGTTCGTTCTGGCACATATAGGACGAAGTTGACAGTTGGGCCTTCGCCAATGCTAGGGCTGAGAGGCCATTCAGCGGCATTGATGAACCCGCTGAGGTCTTCTTTGGGAAGTGTCCAGGCCTTGAGGTTATCGTCGAATTCTGGTTGGCTAATCGAAGGAGAAAAGGACGCGTAGAGCTGGACCTGCGTGTCCACGGTAAAGTTGCTGATGGTAGAAAAAGATGTAAGTAGAGGTTGCAAGTAAGTTTGTAAAGCAGCCTCTATGTCCCAGGCTGACGGAGCATACGAAGGAGTGAAGAGCGAGAAAGTCAAGTGGTATGTCGGAGCATACTTCAGAGCGCGTGTAGAGAGTCGCTCAAGCTCTGCGAAGTGCTCGTGCGAGAGGGGCGGCAACTTGGACGTGTCGGTCCCCGGGGCAGCAGATATCGAGTACGCTAATCTGGCTTGCTCCTCGGCGAACAGCTTCTTCAGCTCTTGTGCCACGAATCCAACCAGAGGTGAGTCCGCTGTCGCCCCTCTGGGTACTTGGTCCGCAGAGTAGTAGACATCCAGTGTGGGTGAAAATGACTGCAAAATGGCTCTTGGCGTGGCACCGGTTTCGACCGGAATGAGCCGTACCCGCAGCGTAGCATCTTCACCATCACTCCCAATGCTTGTTCCATCACTGACGACTTGTTGGGAGGCGTTCGCGGGGGCTGGTGCGTCGGCAAGGAGCAGGCGCAGCTGGTGCGCAGGGAATTCGTTCAAACTGTCCAGTGTCTGTTGCGTCATGTGTATCAACTGTTGCGCATCTGAGGATGACATAGGAGCTTCAATGGCGATGCGTAGGGGAAACACTGGCTTGCACACCTGGTGTGGGTCAGCACTGAATACCCATGGCGGCAAAATATGGTACACACCCTGCCCTCAGCCCAGTCCGTCATGTCTTGCAGCGGCAGTTCCGCCCTGTACACGGCCGTCGTCTTGAGCCATATTGGGAGCCCGAGGAAGACCACGACAGACCAAAAGGAGAGGATCGCGAGCCGCCGCAGCCAGATGCTTTCCGATGGTTCTGGAGGAGGTAACTTTTGCGACCGCACTGCCTGGAGGGGTGGAGTGGAAGATGGTACACCGGGTTCAGCCGCCAAAGCCGTGTCGGGGTTGTTTGTTGAAGCCATCTTGTCGTTGACTTGGTCAAGCTGTCGCTTTGGACATGTCGCGCTAGATCACGTCAGGGGGGTCCGTGCGCGTGTACCAACCATGACTTGGTCTTGCCATTGCAGTTAGTTAGTCTATTTGTGATGGAAGGTAACAATCATTTAGCTCGTGTGTCTAGGTACTCCTTGCTTTGAGAGTACCTACTATCTATTGAGAATCACGTGAGAGGTCTGCAGTCATTCACGGTGCTCACGGGTGATGCCCCTCGTACCAAATAGATGATGCTTCAGGGAGCAGATGGCTGATTCGAAGACGCAGGTGCATTTATTTGCTTGAATGTTTTTATATTCGGAAGCATATGTCCACCCTTTGACAAGATTCAAGAGCGCATGCAGCTCACGTGTGCTTTCACTTCAAGATGAATGAACCTGAAGACAATGAAAGCTCCGGCAAGACTACGCTCAAACTGTTCCATCAGCGTAGCACTGCACCACACGATTGAAACTGACGGAATATTCGACGCCGCTGTATGTCATACCAAGATTGCTCGTCTGCTCAGGTACAGGATGCTGCGTTTGTTTTAGCCAGGGCCGACATTTAGCGTGCTTCGATCAGCATTCCGCCCCGCTTTTCGCCGAAGCTATGGCCTCCCGTTGGCTGGTGTGGTGCGGGGGTGCATATCTGGGGAAGGAGCTCTGCTGAGCGTGACGCGATGGGCACGAGGTCGTCGTAAGACCTACCCCTCAGCTGATGAGACCTGTGCTTCTTCTCTCAACTTACTCACACGATAGAGACATTCTCTTCTCTACATCTTCTTCAACTCAATCCAATAAACATACTCTCCTAAATCATACACGATGAGTGCAATCGCCGACAGCACTGCTGATGGCCCTGTTGAGGTCGTCAAGGTGCTGTTTGCTCTCTTCCCAGGCTACAACACGCTCGACGTGGCCGGACCTCTTGAGGTTCTCAGCCGCTCCCTCCATGACCCCAAGAACAAGTGTAAGTGATGCATTCACTCAATTGGCGAGCTTCGTCCTGTCCCGAGCTTGCCCACGCCAATTGGTCCTTTGTTGACCTTATGGCAGCCTCCAAGGCCTTCGAGTGCCAGTTCGTAGGCTCCACATCTGCCATGACTTCGACCCAGGGCCTCACCATCAAGGCCGACATGGACTACAACGATGCCAACGACGAGCTCGAGGACTTCGACGTCATGATCGTCCCTGGCGGCGAGGGTGTCTTCGAAGTGCTCAAGAACAAGTCGGAGCCCCTCAATCTCCTCACCAAATACGTCGAGCTCCACGAGAAGAACCCGGAGAAGGAACGCACTGTCCTTGCCATCGATGTTGGCTCGCTGCTCCTTGCTCAGCAGGGCATGCTCGAAGGCCTCGCCGCTACAACCCACCCAGATTACTACGTCCGCCTTGAGACACTCTGCCAGGATGCTGCTCGACGAGACATGTCCATGCGTACCGATGTCATGGAAGAGCGCTATGTCGTGAACAACGCCCGGTTCGACTTGGGCGAGAACCCCGACGACAATCCGTGAGTCATCCCACTGAGCTGGGGAGGTGCACCTACTGACAGCTCGCAGCTACATCATCAAAAAGAGCCGCCAGCCTGTAGAGGACGATGGTCCAAACATGCAGAACGCTCGCCGTAAGTCGATCGCTCGCAAGGGCAGCAACGCCATGCGTGACTCTCGCCGCCGCGAGTCTATCGCTCGTCGTGCTCAGATGCCGCTGGGAGGCATGCGCGTCATCACCACGGGCGGCGTCACTGCTGGCCTGGACGCGTCGCTCTACTTGGTAGGTTCTTTGGCGTCGCACGAGTCGGCCCTCGAGGTTGCTCGTGTGATGCAGTACACTTGGGTCAAGGGCGTTACGGTCGATGCGATTGATGTTTGAGCTGGAGCTCTCGCGTGGTTAGCGAGGCGTTTGCCACAGTTGGATTGAGACATGATCAGGCGGGATCACTGGGAACATGTCGGGAATCTGGAAGATTTACCACGACGGAACGTAAGCTAAAGCTACGATAAATTCATGAAAGTTAAAAGTGAATTTGAGTGTGGAAACGTGAAGAGTGCTTCGAAGTTAGGAAGCTGTGAATCACTGTTCACGCGATAATCTGTGCGGCTGCATCCTTCCATGCACGCTTGCCAGGATCATGACGTTTGCCTAGCTGCCAGTTACTTATTGGCTAGTGGGAACGGGCAAGCAAGCATCACGGCTTCAACAAACACATGTCATGCTCAAATACGGTGAAGAACACGCGCCCGCCGAAGTGCTCCCTACTGCAAGAATAGATAGCGCTGTCACATGAAGCTGCAACGTACAAGCGTCGGGCCAACTCTCGAATGAAAGCAACCGGCGTTAGCTCGAGCTCCCTTCTGGAACCCACGAGCCATCAAATCTAGAAATCCATATGTCGCTCATGCACGACTGCCGGGACGACGGTTAGGCGAGATCGATATGCGCATCAGGGTCAATCATCGCGTGTCTACAGTCTGTGCGTGGTTCTTCGCATCTTCTCGCAGAGCTCGCTCGGCACCATGGCGTCGGTGTCGACAGGAGCATCGGCGCCTTTATGCAGCATCTATTCGATACACCGAGGCTATGTAAGACTTGGCGAGGCCAGAAATGATGCTTCGGGCATACGCATTTGCGAAAAGAGCGAGGGGCTGGCTTCGGCATACTTCTTGCAGATTTCACTGCATCCACGGCAGACAAAGACCCTCAGAATCTCCACAGCAGCGCAATCATCTCGCCAGTTTCCAACTCGACACGCGATCCTACAGTGTTGCTGCAAGTGCGAGGTCAAACACCGGGCTCGCTGATTCGCTAGCTGCGAGACGCTTGTCTCGCGCACCATCATCGTGGCAGTGCTTGTCGAAAAATCGCGCTCGCTAACCACCTCCAGTATCAACTCCCAAAACGACGCTTGTCCGGGAGATTGCAGAGCGTAAGGAAGGCGGCGGGATACCTTTGGCGGCTACGATTTGCAAGACGCCGGAGCCTGTTTTCTGGCTGTTTGCTATGAGCGATTTTTGGAGTCGAATCGCTTCAGCCCTTATGGAGACAAAGGCGTGCCGTCTTTGTATCATGCCGCTGGTGCATTCTTGCGACAGTGCTGCTCCCGTTGATTATGTTACGTAGAGGAAACCTGGGTCTTGGGACCTTCAAAATGATGCAAGCACGTGTTTGACGCGATAGACAGGTGCCATAGCCACGGTCTTACCGACTGCGCGTATAGAGAGAGAAAATCATTTCCCTCCTAGGCTGTGGTATAAGAGGCCCATCCTCTACATCCATCTGCTTCCCTGCTAACTCTTACTCTCTTGCTTCCTCTTCTCCTTCTCTACGTGTCCCTTTGCGCCGTGCCCTTGCAGCTCCTTGTTGCGGCTCGCACATATTTCACACATGGACATCGACGAGAAGCAACCCGTTCAGCGCGTCCGCTTTGGAGATGAACGCACCGATGAAGAGGCGAACGAGCATGTAGGATACGGCGCGCGCAACAGGCGCCTTTCTAGGCAGTCGAGCGTTGGCAGTCTCTCTATCCACAGTGCTGGCGGTGCAAGGACGGTTCAGCCGGAAACGGCCCTACCCATTACCTACCGCACCCTTTCCATCGAGATCGATGAAGGTCAGCACGAGAAGCTGAAGCAAGTGAAGAAGGCCAAGGAGAAGGCCGCTGTTGGTATGTTGCTCTCTACCAAAATTTCACTGGACGACCTCAGTGCATGTTGAGCATGTCTATGAGCGCGAACCATCGGACTCGAGGACCGTTATTACACGAAACAACACATAATGACGTGCGTAAACAGACCTGGCTGGCCTTGAGTGGCATACCCTTGAAATCCAAGAGCTATGTCGCCGCCTCTCCGTCGACATCGACCAGGGCCTCAGCGATGATCAGATCAAGCGCCGCATCACCGAGTATGGTCGCAACAAAATGACCCCTCCACCTTCGCGACTCTTCTCCAAGATCATGGGATACTTCTTTGGTGGATTTGGCTCCATCCTCCTGACAGCTGGTATACTGGTCTTCGTCTCCTGGAAGCCCCTTGGTAACCCTCCAGCGCAAGCTAACCTGGCGCTTGCCTGTGTGCTCATCGCTGTTTGGCTCATCCAAGCTGGCTTCAATGCCTGGCAGGACTTCAGTACGAGCAGAGTCATGGCATCGATAGGCACCATGTTGCCTGATCAGTGCATTGTCATCCGCAACGGTTCTCATGCCAGCATATCTGCCCTTGACCTCGTTCCTGGAGACATCATTGTCATCAAGCAAGGAAATAAGCTACCCGCTGACGTCCGTCTTGTTGAAGTTTCGAGCGATGCCATGTTCGATCGGGCCATTTTGACAGGTAAGACAAACATACCATCTACCGTAACTTTTCATGTCTAATGCTATACAGGTGAATCTGAGCCTGTCCCGGCGACCATCGAACCCACCGAAGACAACTACCTTGAGACAAACAACATCGGTCTACAAGGCACACATTGCATCAGTGGCTCTTGCTTAGGTCTCTGTGTTGCGACTGGTGATAACACCATTTTCGGTCGCATTGCGAAGCTTACCTCTGACCCGAAGACGGGCATGACACCCCTTCAGAAAGAGATTTTGCGCTTTGTGTTGATTATCTCACTGTTCATCACATGTGTTGTCATCCTCATCGTCGTTCTCTGGGCTGCGTGGTTACGAAAGTCCCACCCCAACTGGATCAATGTGCCACTCCTGATCGTCAGTTGTGTCTCTGCTGCCGTGGCTTGTACGTGCTCTTTCATCTTGATACATGTTTCCATCATACTAATTGACCCATAGTTATCCCCGAAGGCCTCCCGATTGCTCTAACCACGTCTCTCACCATCGTCGCGAACATCATGCGGAAGAACAAGATCCTATGCAAGTCCTTGAAGACAGTTGAGACACTCGGCTCAGTCTCTGTCATCTGTTCAGACAAAACAGGAACCCTCACCAAGAACCGCATGACAGTCACCGACATCTTCGGTGCCGGCGAACAGTTCACGCCTGAAGCGGCCCGCGACATGATGGCCGTCCTACGGTCCGAGAACAACTTGGCTACACTATCGAAGAAGCGCGAAAACGTCATCGATCAGATTCGTATCCTTGGTGGGCTGTGTAACTCTGGCGAGTTCGATGCTGCCACGATGCATCTGCCCGTCTCGGAGCGCACGATCAATGGCGATGCTACTGACCAAGCTGTCCTGAGACTTTCTGAGAGTCTGGGCTCCGTTGCCGAGCTGCGCCTGGATTACAAGAAGACTTTCGAGATTGCATTCAACAGCAAGAACAAGTTCATGATTAGGCTCATGACACCGGCAAACCAACCCGCAACAAGCAACAACACCACTCTGATGATCAAGGGCGCGCCTGATATACTGCTTCCACGATGTGACACCACTCTGAACAATAACAACGAGGCTGTGCCCCTCACAGATGCTCAGCGTTTCCGCATTGAGCAGATTAAGGACGACTGGTCTCGCCAAGGCAAGCGCGTTATCCTGATGGCTCGCAAGCCGACAGTTATGCCCTTCTCTACCAACGCTGAAAAGGAAGTACTCGTTGCAGCTCGTCAAGGTCTTACCTTCGTCGGTATCGTCGGCATCGTGGACCCCCCGCGTGATGAGATCCCCGAGGTTGTACGCATCCTTCGTGGTGCATCAATCAGGATCTTCATGGTTACTGGTGACTTTAAGCTCACTGCTCAAGCAATTGCCGAAGAGTGTGGTATTATCTCGAACTCAATGATGGTCGACGATGTGATGGCGCTCAGTCGAGACATCAATACCCCGTCGCCGAAACAGGCTATCGTACTGAGCGGACCAGAATTGATCACATTGAATGAGAATCAGTGGGATCAGCTGTGCTCGTACCAGGAAATTGTCTTCGCTCGTACTACTCCGGAGCAAAAGCTGCGTATCGTGAAAGAGTTCCAGGCTCGTGAGAACATCGTCGGTATGACTGGTGATGGTGTCAATGATGCTCCTTCGCTCAAGGCTGCCGACATTGGTATCGCAATGGGTAGCGGTTCGGACATCGCGATCGAGGCTGCTGACATGGTGCTTCTTGACTCGTTTGCTGCGATCTGCCAGGCTGTCCTGTATGGTCGTCTTGTCTATGACAATTTGAAGAAGACGGTAAGTGATGTCCTATCAGCTATTAAGTCAAAGATGCTAACGTTCACCAGATCGTCTACCTCCTCCCAGCCGGAAGTTTCAGTGAACTCTGGCCCGTCATCACCAACGTCGCCTTCGGTATTCCCCAGATTCTATCCTCTTTCCTCATGATCATCATCTGCTGCTTGACCGACTGCGCCGCCGCCATTACCCTTGCCTACGAGAAGCCCGAAGCCGACCTAATGCTCCGCCCTCCCCGCAACATCAAGAAAGACCGCCTCGTCGACACAAAGCTGATCTTCCATGCTTATTTCTTCGTCGGCTTGTACCAGTGCTTCTTGTCCTTTACCATGGCCTTCTGGTACATGGAGCGCAAGGGCATACCATTCACGGCCATGTGGTTGAAATTCGGCAACTACGACCCGCAATACGATGCTAACTACATCAACGAGACGGCAAACACGGCGTCAAGTATCTACTTCGTCACGCTGGTCATCATGTAAGTCACACTCTACCCTTCACACGACATCTTCACAGACTAACCCCTTCTCTAGGCAACTCTTCAACCTCCTAGCCACACGTACCCGCCGCCTGAGTATCTTCCAACAACCACCAATTCTCAACAAGGAGACGCAGAACTGGCTCTTGTTTCCTAGCATGGTGTTTGCCATTGTGGTTGTGTTCATTTTCTGTTACATTCCCAGTCTGCAGGAGACTATTGGCACGCGCGAGGTGCCGGTCGAGTATTGGTTCTTGCCGGCGGCGTTTGGTTTGGGGCTGCTGATGCTAGATGAAGGGAGGAAGTATTGTGTTAGGACGTGGCCGAATGGGCTGCTTGCGCGGATTGCATGGTAGATAGGGTCGTTGCGTCTGAAGCAACCTTGAATAAGAGCTTTTACGTCTGAACCAACCTCAAATTAGAACATCTTGAAATGTATGTGTACATGATGCATTTTCACGCGCCTGCAAACTTCATCTCGAGCGTTCAAATCTGCGGGTTTCACCGCATCTTGGAGTGCGATGGCGTCTCTAATTCCCTTCTTGTGGATCGCCATAACACATCCTGGAGTAGAGCAGTGCGGTTATAACCTTCTTCGTGTGGGTCGCCATAACACATCCTGGAGTGAAGTAGTGCGTCTTGATAAGCGTTAGACTTCACACTGTGTCGTTTGTATGCGTCCTGCTGCGCAATCGCATTCCAAACTGCTCACTGTATCGCGTCTTTGAATTGTTCCCGGCTTCTGTTTTCCAACTTCACCGCAGCGCGATCGTGAGAGCTGTCACCTCCCAATTCACTTTCGCAAACTTGCTTCACAGACCTCAATTGAATGCGTGTGCTTCACAGCATCGTGGGTATATCTTCCACGCTCGTGGCGCCTCTTACCTTGCTTCCTCAGAAACAGAACCATAAGCACTACTACCTCACTACAACAACGAGTATTCCCACATATCATACCTTTTCTTCTCTCGCCTGGAGCGAATCACACAATCAAGACATATATCTCTTCGAATACACGAATTACATACCCACTTCCTCACTCTCAATAGCCTGGAGCGATCTACTTCCTCAACAATGAGCAAAAACACAGGAAACCGGAACAAGTCAAGCAGTGGAAGCCCAATGAGTGGATACGAAGACATGCAAGATACCCGGCAAAGGGCGGCCCAGAGGGCTCGTGAGTCGCCGGTTTCCCCAGCAGGTTCCCCTAACTATAGATCTCAGTACGACAGCGACGTCGGTATCTTCGACGACCGCTATCATTTTACACCCCCGCCACCCTCGCCGGGTAATTCACCACAGCAGGGCTCAAGAATGAATGTGTCACCGTCACCATCGCAGAACTCAGCACGGCAGGTTACATCACAGCAGGGTTCGCTAAGTCACCTTGCACCACCGCAGAACACAACACGGCGGGGTGATTCAGAGACCCGTGGCAGACAATATACGCAAATTCCCAGGGAAGGATCTTCCACGCGACCTGAGAGTCGAGGCGGTAGTAATCTCCAACTGAATGTACCCTCGCCGCGGATGTACGAAAACCTGACAAATCGATCGAGGTCCGGGACAGGTACACCAAATACACCAAATACAGCTCAACCGCCTGTTCCTCCAGCATTCCAGAATATGCAAGCTACCGGTGTCGAATTCCACAGCCATACCATGCCACAGTCAGCATTCTTAACCAGACCGGCAGCTCAACCACCCGTTCCTAAAGCTCCCGCACCGAAGACAGTTCGACGGCCTACTCCGCCAGCAAATTGGCCTGGCCCGCCAAATCCACGTCCAGCAGGCATTTCTTTCGAATGGACGGAGAGGGACAAGAATTTTGACTGGAATAATTGCAAACCAGTGCAGGCTTCCGGAATGAGGGCATCTTTGCTAGCTCGAGACCGGGGCTTAACGTCCAATCAGGTCTCAAAACTATCCCCAGATGAGAGAAGTGTTATTATGGCGAATCTTAGGGCGAGGGGTATTATTCCCCCATCAAAGAATGCCGCCTCAATAAAGCCTGCTGGGCGCCCTAAGACCAGAGACGAGAATTTTGACTGGGTTAATTGCACTAGGAATGAGAAAGATTATCAAAGAGTTTTAGTATTAACTCGAGATCAGGGGATATTGCAAAGTGAATGGAAAAACTTAGATCAGCAACAGAAAGAGGCTGCTGTTCGACAAGCTGTTGCCAAGGGTCTTCTGCCAGCATCAATGGAACCTGGAAGCAAAGGGAAAGAGAAAGGCACGAAGAGCTCTCAGCTACCTCCAGCACCTGTTGCCAGCCCATCGCAAGCCTCTAGCGCCAATGCCACTTTCGGCAGTGGCAGAGGCCAGACAGATAGGGGCAGAAGCCGTGCAGGTAGTCGTAGTTTGTATGAAAGCCCTTCACCAGCTCGTACTCAGCACTTTAACGCGATCCCGGGAGTTACAAATCCTGGTGTTGGTGGAGGGTCACCACCGCCAACCACACATGACAGAAGAAGAAGTCTAGCATCGCAAAGCGGGAGCAGACCGCCGCCAACGGAGCGGAGCAGAGGAAGAAGTCTGACGTCGCGAACTGGAAGCAGGCCACCGCCAATCTCGGAGAGCAGAGGACGAACTCCAGTATCACAGAGGCTTGGCGCCCCAGGTGGCTCGACTGGCCCGACAGTACCGACAAACAGATCGCCGCCGGCTAAACCTTCGAAAGCGGAAGCAGCCGCGGCAAAAAAAGAGCAGAAGGCACGGGAAGCTCGAGACAAAGCATTTGCGAAGCAAAAAGCTGATGAGGAGAAACTTGAGCAGAAGAAGAGGAAAGCCGATGCTGAAGCAGAGAAGAAGACGAATGCGAAGAGAGCAGCGCAGGCTAAGAAAGCTTCACCAAAGCCACAGCCAAAGCCGCAGCCAAAGCCAAAGCCAGGCCCGTCTGGAGGTGGAAAGCGCAAGTAAAGGATCATTCAGAGACCCGGCACCCTGTCAGCAACTAAGCTCTAATCTTGTTGATCATGCGACCTATCTCTTCTCTCTCAACCCATCTCCCAACACCTTTACAACACCCACCGCATCCCTCATTCCCTCCTGGCCCTCCTTCTCGACCACATCCGCCAAACCTTGGAAAACACCGGCAATCTCACTGAACACCTTCGCTTGTGCCTCCCACCCTCCATCTGCTGCAAAGCACTCCCCAATCTGATTCATCTCCTCGACCCACCTGTACGCCTTCCCCGTACAACCCACCACCGCCTTCCTCCCCTTCTCTCCTGCTCCGGGATTATATACTCCTAAATAGTATTGAAGCTCGTCGTATACTCCCAATGATGTTGCTGTCGTGAATGATTGCAATGCCAGTGCTGTGAAGCCTTTGGACAGTGCGGCAAAGCAGCATTTCAGACCGCTTGCTTTGCCAATCTCGTCGCCTACAAATCGCATGTTTAATGCCGTGATCAGTTCCTCGTGTGCAATTTTGTTTGGCCCGGAGAATGGTATGTCGGGTTTTGTCCAGCTTCCGTCTTCTGCTTGAGATGGTGGCCCGCCGATGATGCCGCCATCTACCATCTTCACGCTCTCCTTCTCTTTCAAAATCTCTCTTATTTGCCTCGAGGTTGCAGGGCTGATGGCATTCAGATCTAGATACCAGACTTCTTTGGTTGCTTTGGTAGCCACAACGCGTTTGGCAGTGGCGACGGCATCTCTTGGTGGCACGATTGAGAGGATGTAATCCGCTTGCTGCACCAATTCCTCATCTGTGTCGACACAGGTAATGTTTGCAGACTTGGCGCGGTTCTGTGTTGACGGACTACGGTCACTGACGTTGCTGATCACGCGGTAGTTGTGGGCAAGAAGGAGCGAAGCGATGCCGAGGCCCATCTGGCCTATTGACAGGATGGCTATCGTTGGTGGAGAAGACATGGTAGTATGGAAAAATAGGTTCCAACGACAGATACAGTGTATCGCTTTGTGAGCGGGTGTTGGTGTTGGATACCTGGAGTGTACGTAGTGCGGAAGCTTTAGTTGCAATCAGGCTAGTGGCGTGGGGTGAAGAAGTGGGATGTGGCGGGGTAGGAGTGCAACATCGCTTCGTAGCAAATTGATACTCTAACAATTCAGTGGCAACCGCTGACCAACACATGTGCCCTATATCTGGTTTGAGGAGCTTTTTTACATTGTTGACGCTGGATCTTTCGTGAATCCATCTTTCCTATCTTTCCTCCTATCTCATTTCACCAATGCCGCTCAAGCCGTGTCATATCAAAGACCTTTGCTTCCATGCAATTTTGCGAGTGAGGTGTCTCATGTCCCAATCTTGTGTCCTTCGGCAGCATAATCAGTGACTTCCAGTGAGCATGAGTTCCTTTTCACAGCAGCTGTAGAATACTTTGCTTCAGTGAAACTTCGGTCGAAGCTGTCTAGACTGACGAATTCTTGGTCCAGATACGAAGATGCCTATTAACAGTCAGTCATACTCACAAGAATAGTCATAAATCTTACACAGCCGGTGTTGTGACCCCATCCGCATACGCACCCGCTTCATCATTCCGATCCTTCTTCAAGCACACCACGAAGCCTAACAGGAAGCTCATGAACGTCAAAACAGCACCCATCAGTGCAAATGCCTGAACAGCCTTGTCGACCGTCTCAACGGAGTCTTGATGAGCTGACGCCGCCCGCCCATACGGCATATCCCACTGATACTTCGACTCGGGCTCCCAGCTAGTCCCCCCCAGCCAGTACGCGTAGTGCATCAAAAATGACACGATCCAAGCAATTGCCAGTCCCAGGTCGAAGATAGAGCGCAAGATGGCATTAGTAGAGTTGAGCATCCACAGGACCGACAAGGCCAAAGAGAAGCAGGCAATGACCATGGTGTAGTTGAGCAGAAAGCCCCACTCACTAACGGCGATGTCGTCATCGGGGCTTTTGGGGTATTTGTAATCATCGCTCATGAGGAAGGCGATGATCCCGATTACGATGACTGAGCAGGTGCATTGCGCGAGGCGCAGAGCGACGGAGGCGATACGGGTGATTGTCATGGTGAGCTGGGTAGCGGGAAGTTTGGGATAGCCAAAATTCAGTGGTTCGAGAAGTTAGGAAACGTGTAATTTTGGAGTGGGGAGTTGGCGAATAGGTCGAGATTGCGGGTGGGCAAGCGACTTTTCACGTGATACAAACAAAGTAAACCCACTAACGCCAGTCAGATCAACGTCAAATCCTTAACACTGTCCGGGAACCTAATGCCACTTAAGAGGTATCCCCAAGACCATGCTTGTATTTCAGAGCGACCTATGGGATACCTGACATCCCTAAGTCTCCTCAGACTGAAGACCGCGATGTACAAGTGAAGTCGGCAGATTCCAGAGACACCGTCGCAAATTTTATAGCAATCATACGCACAACACATTTTTGTTAGCTGACACAAACATGATACAGTGATACTAATGTATAACAGCCTGTCTGGCACGAACAAGACGCAGTGTGTAAAAAAAGATACAATACCGCTATTACATATAACATTTTGAGCTATGAGACGGACAATCGACAGTACCAGCGACTCTCGAAGAGCATGTGACCTACTGCTATGAAGATCGCCTTTAATCCAAGTGTTATCATCTGCGTTTTGGAGCTGCAGATCGACTCGGCTTTGATGCAATTTGTTTAGTCTGGCTGGACTGTGCCCTTTTGATTCCGATTCTTTTCCTCTTGTGTGCCTCTGATTTTTCTTTCTGGTCGCTTTTCCTCTTTTCCTTTTCCTCTTTTCCCTTCTTGTTCTGTGCATTTTTTAACAGCTTGCGATCTCTCTCTATCATCATCTTCTTGACTTTCTCTTCCTCCTTGTGGTGTGCTTCTCTGAACTTCGCCTGCTCTTTTTCCCACTTTTCCTTTTCCTTTTCTAGCTTCTTCTGCGCATCCCTAATCCTCTCCTGCTCTTCATTCCACTGCTTCTTCTTTTCCTTTTCCAGCGCAGCCATTTCAGCCTCTGTTTTGCCCTCCAAAGATCTCTTCGTTCGTTGGTCCGTTCCTCTCTGTAACTGCGTTCCTCTCTTCGTACTTGTAGGCTTGACCTGTCGCGATTTGGTTTCCGGTGTCGCAACTTGACCTCCACTAAGTCTACCTAGCAAAGTCTTCGTTGCTTGGTCGTTGCGGCGAATGCCGTATGCTGGGGCTGACCTCATGTTTCCTGGTGCTACAGAAGCTGCTCTCAAACTCGCGGGTTTCCAGCGTGAAGGGCCAGGGCCGTGTTTCGTTTGTGCTAGACCGGTACCACTTCTTTGTGTTCCCTTGCCTCCTTTGTACTTTGATTCAGTTGATTGCGTCGGTATACCGAGTGGAGAGGGGCCTGGGCTAAGCCTTGGAGTCAATCTTCTATCGCTGCTGTGAGGACTGAGGCTGAACCTCGGACTTCCTTTCCTTCCGATGCTTCCGGGACTCGAGCTGATTCCTTCCCAACTACTCTCCGCTCCGCCCCCAGGACTTGAGCTGATCCCTTTCCAACTACTGCCAGCTTCACTACTCTGTCCCCTTGGCATTGACTCTCTTGCAATGTTCCTAGGACTCGAGATTGCCTGAGGATTCCCGGCCGAACGATTTGGAGAAGGGGACTTCTGAGAGTTGAAATTTAGCGGACTTACATGACTATCAGCACAAATTGTACGTGATTGGCTTCCAAGGTTACCACCAGGCACTGGCGAAGAATTAGCAGCGTGCGCTGGAGATCTAATGAATGTCTGCTGAGGCCTTGCGACGCTCCCTCCCCTAGGACTAACGTTCCGATTAATCGGTGGGCTTGCGAGGTCTCGACCAGCGGTTTCGAGCAGAATTGGAGGCATTGTACGTGTGGTATTATGAGCGGTTGCTGTTTCCATGCTTGGTATTGCCACGTCTTTTCCATATCTACCAGATTGCTGGTCTTGTGAATTACTAAGACCTGCTGCTGCTCCCGGTGATGCTGTGTTCTTTCCGGAGGATCGCCTGAGCGGTGGGGATTAGACCTTTAGCACGACCTCTTTCTCTAGCAGCTTGTCTCTCCTCCAAGGGCAATTTGGCAAATTGGCGCACCGATATATTCAGATCTGCGGCTATAGCATTACGAATCCTTACGTCCCTTTCCTGTTCTCTCTTCTTCCTCTCTTCCGGCGTCCCCTGGTTGATTTCTTTTGGTCCTTTAACGAAGCCTTGTGCCTTCTGAGCAGAGTGAATTCTATGTTGATGCTTATTCAACTCGGGACTGCTAGCTCCAGCTCCCCTCGCATCATCACGGGCTTTCTCGAGACTCTTAATGCTTCTGCGGTTATAGTGGTTGGGCTTCGAAGGTGGGAGGTTCTGTGCCTTCCTAGCAGCCCTTATTCTGTCTTTACGCTTGTGGGTCTCTTTGTAAGGCATGCCGCTTTCTATGGCCAAATCTAGGTCTTGCTCAAGGCTCGCGATACTTCTTTGAGTATAAGGGATACGACTGAAATCTTGAGTTGTATGAGTATAAGGGACATAATTGAAATCTTGGCTTGTAGTAGTTTGCGTCTGTGTAGTAGGTTGGGTAGAAGCTTGACCTTGGCTCTCTTGAACTTGCGCCATAGGATAATATGGTGTGTTGGGCTGTCGATATGGAGTACTTAAAGGATCGAAGCCCTGGCCAGGGTTGCCTTGAGGAGATTCGCAGTAATTTGTGTCGTAGATGGGCATATTTCCTCGATCGAAATCGCCAAAGTCTGCGTTCAAGACGTTGAAGTCGTCGGCAGTGATTTCCATGTTTTTGAAGTCAAAGTTTGGATCCATATTCCAATCCATGTCAGGCGAATGTTTTTCTCTTCCCTTGAGATCAATCCGCTAGGTGTTATGGAGAGGATGCTGACTTTATCTTTGTTAGGTTTAGAATTGTAAGCGCTCCAGGCGTGGATAGATGTGTAAAGCAAGAAGTGTTGGTGGTCCGTATCAATGTCTCTGAATTAGGAATCTACGTTGAGAGCTTCTACAAAGGTACGATATATCCCAGGAAGCTGTGAACGGAAAACCATCGTGAAGAACACATATTGACCGGAATTTTGGTGAAGCGTGCTTCATGCTTGAAGGCATACAATACACTTCCAAAACATTCGAATCTTGACGCCTGGAAAATTTGGAGTCACATCCATAGATCGAACAGTGATGAGCTACGATTGAACTTTTACAGATACGTTGAATGAGGCTGTCACAAACAATTTGAATCAAGCTGTCGCAAACAACGACGAGATCGAGGACAGTAGCCGCGCATATGCGTTGCGTGACGCGCAAGGCGTGGGAGGTGACACGAATCGAGATCATGATGAGCCGCTCGGCGGATGGTAATCGAGGTCGAAGATACTGAGATTAGGAGATGGAAATTTCACAGAATCTAGATAAGAGATTGGTGTAGAAGTTGGGACTGCCAGGTATGCAAACGACTTTGCACGTGTCTCTCTGACCCCGCGATTGGACACGTACACGACAATCCGACTCGACCAGAGAAGACCAGTAATACAAAACATTGAGTCGCAACCTTCAAAACCTTGACTTCATCCTACAAACCATCATTCCCGAATTTGTGTCGACAGGGCCTCGCTTGTTTCTCCATAAGAGCAAGAACATACCCTAACCACCTCCTTCATCGATCACCTCAACTCCCTCAAACCTTCGACCTCTTGAACCACTGCCTACGTCTACACATCATTAGCAAAAAGTCTACACATCTCTTGACCAGCAACACAAGACTTACCCAGCCGTTCCCGCCCCCGCCTGACCAGCAACAACTCCCTTATCTCTCTTTGCCCAAACCAGCAGCCCCAGAATGAAACTCACAAACCACGCCACCGCCGCCAGGAAACTAAACGCCTGCGCCGCATCCCACATCCCACACTTATTCCCCGGACCCCACCGCCACATGTCTGCGCTTAATCAGCCACTTGCCCTCCCGACTACACAAGACATGGAACTTACCTGCCCACCCACCTCCACACCTCAACCAACCGCTAAACCAGCCCTGCAGTATTCCAAAAACCGCAAACCATGCGGCCGCGAGGAGCAAGTCGGCGCCCCAGTGTACGATCGCGTTGGTCGTCGGCAGGATCCAGAGCAGGCTGAGGACGAGGGACAGGGCGGCAATGATCAGGATGTAAATGAGGCGGGCGAAGAGGGCGTCTTCGGAGGGATACGTGTGGCGGGTGGAGAGAATGGTAGCGGCGAGAGCGAGGACGATCGTGGAGGTGAGGAATTGGGTGGCGCGGAGTGAGAGGGAGAGGAGGCGTGGGAGGATCATGTTGAGAACGGGGTGAGCAGTTGTGGAGTTTAGTTACAGTGGTACTTATGAGTTTAGAGTGCCGAAAAGTGCCGAATAGTGATATTTGAATGCTTGAATTCTGAATTATGGTGGAAGACAAGTGTGGGAGTTGAATGGAGGAGGAGGAATAGATGAGGTGTCATGGTGTGAGGCGAACGATAGCCTGGATTGGGCTTGTCGGCCCAAACGGCTCAAAGACGAATCGCCTGGATTTGATGTGACAGATCGGAGAAGATCGCCGTATGGCTGTGTGTGACACGTCGTGCACACCACTTATGTCTTTGTGCACGCGGTAGTCTAGCCAGCGCATAGCTCCATGGTTACTCGGCCGTTCGATGGTACCGTGACACAGCTCTTTTGCAATACACCATCCTACGTGAAGTCTGACTCGCGGTCACACGGGAGTGCCTTTTATCAGCAGGTTGCATACCTATGGTATGAAGAGCACATGCGAAGAGCACACATTCATCTGGCATTGGTGAAGCATGTTGAAGACGTTAATACGTCGCAGTGACGCTGAATAAACTACAACCTGGAAAATCAAACATGATGAAGTGCCCAAATGGGCATTCCGCAGCACCAATGCCCTTCACGGCGTATACAAACAGCCAAAGCAAACTCCAAATTCGCATCCACATGGCGCTGCCCTACACCAACCAGCATACTGTCAAATCCAACAGCCAAAGCCAGTCAGGGTTTGAGAGAGAAGAGATAGATGGCTGAATGGAGATGTGAGGATCTCAGTCGCTGATAGGGTGCTAAGGGTCTGCAAGATGCATTACCTGCGCCTTCCCGCCTGCAGACGGACCCGGAGGCTTTGGGGGTGGCTTTGGCTTCGGGGCAATGGATTTACCGGGCGTTGTGTTCTTCTTTGATATTTCAGCTGCTTTTTTCTGCTTTTTGGCGACTTCTTTCTCTCTCTTGGCAGCATCCTTTGCCTCCTGCTTTGCCCTCTTAGCTTGCTTAGCAGCATCTTCTTTCGCCCTTTTAGCAGCTTTTGTGCTGTCAGTCTTCTGGCTACCCTGTCTGCTACTCCTTTGTGACGCTGGATCTGATGACCCCCTACTGCTCACGACCATTGGCGATGATTCTCTTGCACCGGCACTATGGCCTGTTTTTGCTGGGAGCGTGTTGAAAACACCTGATTTCCGACCTCTGCTACTGTCTGTCTGGAAGGTACCACCACCGAGTTGCCAGCTACCGCCAGCGGGAAAGGTAGCAGGGAGAGGAGGAGATATGCTGGCCTTTTGCTTAGGCTCCGCGGGTGCGTCTGCTATTCCTTTTCCTTTCCATCTCTCTTTCACTTTGTAGACAGTCCCTTTCTGAACAACTCCCGTGGCACGAACCCTTTCCTTGTGAGCTGCTCTCTCTTCCACAGACATTCTTTTGACATCATTAAACGATACATCAAGATCGTCAGCTATAGCCCGTAAAGAATCATGATGATACTGGGTCGACTCTGCCACTGACCGCGCTTTTTCCTCTGGATGCATTTTCCCTCTTACATAATGTCCCCTTCTTCGATTCCGCGCCATCTCGCTTCCTAGCCTTGTGAATCTTGTGGGTCCATCCTCTCAAAGTCTTAGAATCAGCGTTATTCCTCTTTGCACGTTCGTGAGATTCCTGAAGACTCAAAACACTTCTCTTGATGAAAGGGACCTTGTTTAGATCGTCCTTTGCAGACAATGAGATGTTCGAAATCATAGGGGCTGATCCACCTTGAGCAGTAATTTGTGCACTAGGCATAGTCGCAGGCTGGGCAGGAGATCCTGTCCCGGTTCTTCCTCTAACTTGCCTGCCACGGTTCTCTGATGAACCGCGCTGTTCTCGGCGGGGGGTTGGTGACACTGACTTGTGCATTGGTGAACCCGGACCCGAACCCCGTGTTTGTGCAGTGTTACCAGACCCGGGTGTCATCGGCTGGGGTGATATGTTATATCTTTGATCGGATATACCCGTGCTTATATCGTTAATATCTCCAAAGTCAGGCGTACCTGCCGCAGAACTTCCCGCCGACCGAGCTGCCCTTTGTCTGGCAGCCTGCATTTCTACCAACGTAGGTGAGTCAACGTCCATTGGACTGCCATGGCGGCTTGACATGTTCTGGCTTGTTGAGTTCCTGTTTATCGTTGTACAAGTGCTTAGTAAGTGTGTAGAGAAAGGCTGTTGTTGCTAGGTATGGTACACTATTGCTGTGACAAGGCTTAATGATGTGGTTCGTATATTCGGAAAGATATATGTCTTAGATAACTAATTCGCTCCAGGCGAGAGAAGTAAGAGTAAGATTATGATATGTAGGAACAGTCGTTGATATAGTGAGGCAGTGCCTGTGGTTCCAACCTGGGAAGTTGTGGGAATAGTCGTTGTTGTGGTGAATTAATGCTTGTGGTTCTGGTCTGGGAGGTCAAGTTAGAACGAGCCACGAGCGCGGAAAGATATACCCAGAAACTACAAACAGCCTGCTGTGAAGCGCGCACATTTACCAGAGGCCGGTGAAGCATGTTTGGAGACTACAATGCGCTGCGGTGATGTCGAAGGTTGAATACACTGCAGTGATGTTGGAGATATTGAAAAGAGTCAACAACCATCCATGTGAATGCCGTGAAATTATGTTTCTGGCCGTATCCAAACGCTAAGCGGAACCCATTGAATCGTGATGCTCAACGACAAATTCAAGAGACCAGATACACCAATGCTATGCCTAACTATATGTTTCAATCTCATTCCAGCGCAACAACCGTGCCTTGGCCTCTCCTCCTCATCTTCCCACCCGCACTGCTCCCACTAGTATTCCTCTTATGACCTCTGACTTTCCCACTTCCACCGGCACCCGTATTTGCGCCCGGACCTTCTAGCACTCCTCTACTCCTCTCATTACCTTGCTGAACAATGCGCCCGCTGAACTGATGCCAGCAATTTGGCGCCTGGAGAATGTATTTCTCCATGGCGACGCGAAATCGCATGCGGTAGTCCTTGGGCGAGGTAATGGTCGGCTTGTTCTTGCCGCGATCCTTGATCCAGCTCTCGAGTTTCTTGTCCCAAGTATACGTGCGTATGCAATCAATGATACCGACAATGATCTCGCGATTCGTGTCATCGAAGCCAGCCATGAGACTGTAGTCCATGACATTGTTCTGACTGAGGAACAAGGTATCGTTCCACACGGACGCTTTGAGAAGTTTCTTGGTATGTTCGCGAACGAAAATTGGGGTTTCAGAGTAGATGATATCGACTAGGTTTTCGTCCAGCAGGACTTCGTCGCGCTCACCAGTGGATTGGATTTTGCGATTACGCATGCTGCCCTTGAGATCGTATCGCCGGTTGGGTTCGCGGTCGTAGAACAGGTTTTCCATGACGAGCATGAACCAGTCGAAGTCGCGGCCAGCAGGGCTCTTAATTTGGACCTGGAAGAGACCAAACATCTTGGCGATAACGGATGGGAGCGATTTGAATAAGTTTTGATGCGTGAAGGCAAAGTAGTTGGGGGCGAAGCGGAAGAATGCCTGAACCTCGATAGGAGAAAGCGACTTGAGGACGAAGCGGTCGTCCAATGTTTTGAGGAAGATAGACTTTGCACTTTCCGCCCTTTGAGTCCCACTTGGAGCAGCGAGAAAGTGACTCAACGAAGCGGTCTGCAACGCCGCATTTACGGCGTAGTGCATCGAAGGACTGAGCGAAGAAGATCTTACATTGGACTCTGACGCCGCGATTGGTGAAGGAGTAGCGGATGTTGCTGTTAACCTCATGCAGCAGGTTCCTTTCGATGGAATCGTCTCTAGTCTCTAGATTCTCGAACTCTTTCTTGGCAGCCCAAGGGTCGTCACGAAAGCTTTGTAACTTCGTGAGATAGTCCGGGCTTGACAAAGCGAGTGCGATGATGGAACTAGGCTCATCTTCGCGAACGATGATGTCCGAATCTTCCCAGACGTGTTCCATGGGCGCAAAGGGGTAGTCCAGTGGAGCCCACCCGCTAGAAGAACGCTCAGACCAAAAATTGGTGAGCATCTTCAATAGCGTGGTCTTTTCGTGCCTAGGTAGCTCCAAAGAGCTTTCAAGCTGAGACTCGCTCATATTCATGAGCTGGGAGCTTGCAATACTATCTGGAAGTGGAACATCTTCAGCGGCGATGTCGATATCACTGATATCGTTTTCGATATCCGACACAGAGGGAGGATTGGTGGACGTGAGCGGTTGCTCTTCATGCTCGCTGTACTCAACAGCCACATTGTGGGGGTAACGTTCATCAACTGGAGACTGAGATTCTACAGTGGTAGGAGTTGTCCCGTGGAAAGCACTATCACCAAGCGTGCTATCGTCCATACTGGTGCGTGGAGGTGAAGTAGAAAGCATGTCTTCGTCTGATGCATTGTGCTCTTGAACCGCCTCGTGAACGTCCCTGTACACCTCGACGACCGGCTTCGACGATGCAAGTGGGTATGCACGGATCTGTCGACTGCGATCTGCTCTGCGCTCGCGCATGCGTTCTTTCTGGAACTCACGGGACAGTTGTTCAAAATGTTCAGCGAGCTTAGAAACCTTGCTGCTTTGCTTGAAGGGTATTGACCGCGGGATCCTGGATGCTGACTTGCCTTGCTTCATAGTGCCCATCCCTAGACGCTCACCCATACGCTCAAGAGCTCTCATTGAGTCACTCATGGCCGGCTTTGGTGTATTGAAACTGCTAGCGGGGAGCATAGAAGCGATGGAGGGAGGCGTGTGCTTTGGAACGTTGCCGGGCTGCGACTGTGTTCTGATCAATGAGGTCGGTCTTTGTGGAGCCTCTCGTCGACCATTATCCACCAGGCGAGGGATTTTACTCTCAAGTGGCACATTGCTGTTGGGCTGTGGAGACGGAGAGGTTGGCATATTTTCAATAGCCTCGGCTAGAGATCGGTCGATGGGATTGATTTTTGGAACGCTGGTGGGTGTGGGCGAGCCCTGATCGTATTGAGCATCCTGGGCAGTTTGAGCAGCCAGTGTTGGTGTCTTGAGAAGGTCTTCGTTTGAGACTGGCTGATCTGAAAAGTTCGATGACAGCGCTAGGTCAAGATGACGCACGTCGTCTCGCTCTATAGCTTCTCGGTGAGTCTGAATCGACAAGTCAGATGATCCTTTCGAAGGTGTCGAAGGCGTTGGTGTTTGGGGTGAGGCGGGCCCTTTCTCGGTTGAGCTGCTGTCGACAGAGTGCTCCTCGTGCACCACAGACGCGAGCATATCTTGAGCCTTTTCGGGCGACATATTGGAGGGCATAGGTGAGAGCGCCAAAGCCGCATCTTTCTCGTCCATGTCCACATCTTCAGCACCCGACTCTGCACCTTCTTCGACCGAGGTCAATGAGCTCGTAGATTCATCCCGCTCAAGGAAGAACTTCCTCAGTTGCAGAGTAGCGAGCCGTCGGATATCCTTCTCGGATGGGAAGAATTGCTGCTCAAAGTCCAGGAAGGTCTCATCCCATGCAATCGCCTTTTCTTGTATGGCACGAATTGCCCGGTTCATGGGGATGATCTCGTAGTATTTCGAGTTCATGTACTTGTCTTGAAGCTTGTGTCTCATCCACGCGTGATCCTCGTTTGCGCGTCTCACAAGCCGGTCAACCTCTTTACGACACAGATCCACTTTCTCAGGGATGACGCTGTCGGGATGAATGTCCTGTATTCTGTCCAAGACCGAGTTCATGAAGCAATCCAGCCTCTCTTCGATCTTAAGATATTGTTCGTTCTTCAGCCTTAAGTCACTGTCGACTTTCCAAGTAACGTTTGGTTTTGGGACAGTGACCTCGTACAGGGGTACGGGGTCGTATTGAATACGCAAGGCAACGTTGTTGTACCCGAAATAGCGGACGTGGTCCTTATTGATGTCGTGCGGACATAGATCAGCCCGCGGATGAAGTCGCGTACTCCAGAAAGTCAGTTCAAGGTATTTTGCGAACGAGTACTTCCAACTCCACTCAGACATTGGGAATGTCTGCGTCTCCTGGCCACATATCCTACAGCAGCTCCACATGAGGATGGTCTGATAAAGCCCCTTAAGCTTTGGTGGCTGCTTTTGAACGATAACGCTCATCTGCCCCTCTCCGTGTACATACTGACGCGAGTGATCCAGCATTCTGCGATTGCAGTTGTCAACTTCGCACACCACACCAGCAGAAGTGCAGAGATCCTCCACATATTGCCCCAGTGTGCAGTCGGGGGTGAATCCGTCGTCATAATCGTGTTCCTGGTAGAATCCGAGGGCTATGATCTCAGGCCCGATGCAGGGAGTCGAAGTGGCTGTGTTGACAACACTGTACAGGACAGCAATTTTCTGGTGGTTGAAAGGATCGTAGAGATCCATATTACCCGACACATAAGTTTCCCATTGGCGTTTTTGTGTAATGTAGTGATGCAGGGCTTTGTCGTATTCAGATGCGTGTACGGCTGACAGAAACTCACGCACTTGCTTCGAAGCCTTTTGCACCACAGTATGTACCATCTCGGGTTGCACGAGCTCAAATTGCTGCTCGGTATCTTCAATGTCTTCTTCACCGTCTTCGGTAGTGTATTGGTTTTTCAGCTTCTTCAGTTGTCCGAGTTTCTGTTCATATTGGCGAGCCTGCTCAAGCAAGTATGGTTGCATAAATTTGACGAAAGGCGAAGAGGAAAGAATCTTGGTACGGTGGTCCTCAACCATATCGCTGTAGTATGATGGAGCGGCGTCTTCAATATCTCCTTCGTTCCCAGTGACTTGATCGTTGCCAGTTCCGGATTCTGTTCCAGATTTTGATTGACTGTGAGTACCACCTGCGATTTGTGAGTGCTTCGCTTTATCTTCTTCGCCCTGGCTTGAAGACAGGGTCCCGGTGATTGATGTGGTAGGAGTATCGATGAACTCATCCCGCATCAGACATGTCTCAAGTCGAAGATTGTAGACCACGTATGACATGAATTCAGTAATGCGCTTTAGCTTCACCAACTCTTCATTCTCTGCACCTCGCAGCACGATTGTACAGCCCAGGTCCTTTTGACAGCCGGACAAGAAAACATAGGTCTTCCTGATGTTCTTGTGCAGATAGGTCTTTACGTCGAAGCTCCCGCAGCGTCCAAGATGATTTGGGTCAATGGCCAGTTTGTCGACTGATGAGATCATCCGCGATTGAGTGCATCGTGCCACAGCGTGCAGAACAGCTGCTTTAACGTTGTACACGACCGCGATGCCTTCCTTCTCGAGAAATTCTAGAGCAAGACCGGAAACATTGCGTTCTACAAGCAGAACTTGTGGGCGCAGTGCCGCAATGCGGCTGACAAGATTGCGCAAGTACTCTCTCTCCTGGGCAATGACTGGCTCCAGACTCATAAAGTGCGTTTGGTGGCGTGCATACTCAATCGCAAAAGTTATGATGACGAGTCGCGGGTTTAGGATATTGCGTGGCATACTTCGTAGAGCAACATTCTTAGAAAAGACGACTCCTGACACATAAGCTGTATCGCGAGGTTTTCCACCAGGGATCTTCTTCAGTTTGATGTAATTTCTAATGTCAATGTCATCGCCTCTATCGACATCAGGATTCACGTCATCTGTGCACTGTCTTAATATGGGGATCAGTGCTCTGTCCCAGCCAGACACGTGAGAAACGCCAGCATCATGCAGCATTTGCCGCAAGAGCTTACGTGCATGCTCAAGGCTGGCTGTGTTTAGCTCGACTTTGGGAGTTATACCACCTTGCATTGAGGCGCTTCGCGTGAGCTTAGTACCGGGTGGAGTCGGCGATGGAGAGGGATGTATTTGTGGGGTACCTGGTTGCGAGCCAAAACCAGCGGTAAAGGGCCGCAGCAGGGAGTTGCTCTTGGATCGCCGAGGTGAAGGTCGATGATTGACGCTACTCACGCTCAAGTTCCTTCTTCGATTAGTGCGTTGAGGGTTGCGGCTCGTGATACTGATGTTGTCGGTGTCGCGAGCATGACCACCGCTTGCGACGCTCCTGTCACCCGCCCGTTGCTTGCCCTTTCTCATCGCAGCCAACAAACCACCAAGACCTACTCTTTCGTTTTCTAGTTGTGTACTCTCGGACGTGTCATTCCTCAAGGTTGCAAAGAGACTCGCTTGCTCCTCTTCACTAGATCCTTCATCCGACATGAACGGTGCGAGATCCGGATCGATGATATTATCATGGTGAAATGCTGGCAGACTCGGTTGGCGCGCATTATCCAGGTATTGGTGGAAGGGTGCACGATCATCGTGCTTGACGTGACGCATGTGTTGATGCCTTGAAGGATGGCGCTTATGGCTCGAAGAGCGCGGTCTGCCACCAAGAGATCGCAGTGAACGGGACGAGCTTGGTCGCGCTAGGGTCTGAGGGCCAACTTCAATCACGTGCGATCGACGCTTCTTGTCGCTACCAGTCTTCCGCGACATGGGAATACTGATGGTCGGGGTGCCTATCTTGGTGTGGTCGCTTTCTGTAGGCTCCACGACCTCATCGTCGAAGTCCCTGGTCGACTCACCGTGGTCATAAAGGGATGCTTGGTCGCCATCATCTGTGAAGTCGGAAGAATCATCGTCGTGGCCATAGATAATGGCTTCACAAGGCTTACAGACTTTAATATTGCTAGCTTGTCCAAATAATTTACCTGAGATGATGGAGGTGCATTTTGAGTCGAATATTTGGCCACATGTGCGACAATGATGCTTGCGTCGCCAAGTAGTGAAGGTGTCACCACAGTTGAAGCAGTCTTTGGCGTTCTCATCGCGCATCCAAAATTCCCTGTCAAGGATCTTCCTGCGCATCTGCGAGAAGGCGTTGGTTGGCATTCTGCTTACGGCGGGCCGGGCCTGAGTGACGCGTTGGATCTCCTCTATGGGTGCTACGGTAGGAGTGCGAATGGTAGAAGTGGTTATCACAGAGCTCAAGCCATCAGAGGAAGATGCTCTTGAGGGGCGAAATCCTGGTAAGTGCGAAGGGCCAACTTTGAGCAACGGCGGCCGTTGAGGTTCTTGAGCTCCAGCGGGCACTCGCGCGTTGGATGTGATTCGTGGCGCCTCAGTGTTCTCGCCGCGGTTGTCGGGCTGGTCTCTTGCTGCCTTACTGGCGGGACGAGCCGTTTGATACTGGTTATCGGCCCGAGAACTGACCTTGCTAAGACTCTGGCGAGGTGTATCGGATGGAAACTTGAAGTTGCCCGCGGGACCAGCTGCGTCCTTGTAACCCTCCCCTACTACATCGTCGTCCTCGCTTGTGTCACTTTCCTGGCCCACGAGGTCCATGTCGCCCTTTCTGTCCCTGAAGGACTTGCCGGACGGAAAGCGGGGAGAATTTGCGGGCGGTGGGCCAGTGGCAGAGTCCTTGGTCGCGGTGTTCTTGGGAAGGTCGTGGTTGGACAGGCTCTGCACGCGAGAGTGAGTACTGGTAGGACTATGGGCAAATGCGTCCTCCTCTTTCAGGGATCTGCCGGGCTCGATGCTTGGGGCTATGGAGGGCCTGGATCTGGTGGTAGCAAGAGACGTCTTGGAGGCATTTAGCGAGTGTTTGCCAGGCAGCGTAGCGACGGATGAGCTCGAGTCCCGTGATGGGGGCAGCGCTTCAGGAAAGCTTGGCACTGACGGCGACTGCAGCCTCGAGGACGGCCCAGAGAATACGACAGGCGACGGCAATGCAGTTCCTCCAGGACTGCGGGGTGCAGGACCGAGTTTGGCGGCTGCTTTGCTTGTTGCTGTGGCTGCACCGTCTCCATCTGCTGCGGTTTGCTCCTTGACACCGCCCACCGACGCTCGCAAACGGCTGTAAAGGCCACTCAGACCGCCCGACACGAGTTCTGCGCCCTTGGGCTCGTCAACTGCCGGTGCTGGAGGCGCTGTGAGGTCGTCGAAGGTGGTGAGCGTATCGGATCGCGATGCCGTGGCGTGCATGTCGTGCAGCGAACTGCGGGGGTCGTCCGCCATGACTGCGGGCAGGAAGTTGGGTGTCTACGTGTGGAGGGTGGTGGAGTGGAACAGCACTGGGTCGGTATGGCAGCGGGATGGCGTCCAGCGGTGGACAGTGAATAGCGGCATCAGGCTTCAGATAGCTGGAATCTTCCTTCACCAGCAAGCTCGAGGTACTATTCAGACAAGCGAGGTATTATGTAGATGTTGCTGGCCATGCTGAGATGTACAGACAGACAAGGCGGCAGCGTTTGGGCTTCTGGACGGCCTGCGACGTTGGTAGGCTCGTGCATGCGCCCGTGGTGGTGAACAGCGGAATGACGCACATGCGCGGGCCAAGCGCGCGGGACGAACTTCACAGCCACCCGCAGATGCACTTCCGCCCCACGCCGCCCTTGGCCTTGCTGCACGCAAACGCCGTGCGTGAACATGCATGCTATAGGAAAATGCGCGCCCTTTGCCGAGTCGCGCTGCTACCTCTAAATACCTCAATCCCAACTCTCTTCCAAAAGACAGTCGTGCGAAGTTCTGCCCACCCCCGAAGACGTGCCGCTCGTTAGTCAGACGCGTCCGGTCGCGTCTCCCCACAATCCATCACCACCCGGGCCCACGGGCTTCTCATGGCCGTTAGCCTCACTGCCTGGCTCGAAGAGGAACTCGCGACCCAGTTGCTGCTTGGTAACCATTGGCTGCAGGAGAAGAATAAGCAGAAGCAGTCGGGCGTCAAGGCAGACCCGGAGCGAGTGTGGAGAGGACTCTACCACGACAACGGCTCGTGCCTCGAAATCACCAACGACATCCACCCAGACCGCAACAGCTTCCTCAAGATCATCCAGGCATGTGACGTCGCCATCTGAGCTCGCCTGCCCCTCTAACCCCTCCCTTGCAGTTCTCACCTTACCTGTTCACTGACGGTAACACGCAAATTGGCGCCGTGCTTTCGCCAGCGTGCTTCAGATACCTTCACCCGAGAGCCCAGATCCACGACGTGGTTCGCATCCGGAAATACACCATCCGCTTCACGTCCTACGGCCCGCCTGACGAGCATCTTCAATTCATCATCGACTCCGTCGATTGGCTCGGGTACCATAGCGCAGGGAATCAGCAGCAGAACGTTGACGAGCTGAAGCCTCTCTGGTCCGCGGAGCTGCGCAATATCACCCGCCAGCTTCACGAGACACGAGCCCGCGAAGACCGCAGATGCCTGGACCCCGACAATTCGCCTGAGCAGGGAGCAGACGATACATCAGTCGCCATGGCCGGCTCAGACGAGGCGGGCTCCCAGTCGCACACGCAAGTGGAGTTTGGCACACAACTCCCACAGGATGATGGTCCACGATTTCTAGGCGTGAACAGACGGGAGCCTGTGCTGGCAGGCAATACACAGCGAGAAGAGATTAGGCCAGTTCCTCTGAAACCTGCAAAGCCAGTTTTCAACGATCGCAAGAAGCTGCTCGGCTTGCTGCATAAGCCCTGTGGCCTCGACGCGAGTGAGACCACCAAACCACCCCCGAATCGTTCCCCCCGCGCCATTGTTGACAGGCCACCAAAACCCACACATGCTTCGGGGTCTCAACTCACGACCCAACTGCCCGTGAATATCAATCGACAACCTACGCAGATGCAGTCCGCGAGTACGGTAACAAGAGCGAATTCCCCTGAGCAAGGCGGCAGCACACGCCGGGCTGGAGAAACTGAAGCTGCGGCATCTCACGTCGCGAAACGCACTCATCACCGGTCAAGTAGAGACGCTACAGCACCAAAGAGTGAAGTGGACCAGCTGCAAAAACTTGCCTCTGAGTGCTCATGGATGCAAGATCTTGAGTTCACGCGCGAAACTTTCCGCGTACCCTCCGAACAATTGAACATATTACGGAAAGAGGACAGCTGGCACAAGCCAAGGCCAGGCTGCAAATTCCCTGACGGCAACATACCCATTCATATTCTTACCATGCTCTACAGGCAGGCCGACGAGAATGCAGCCCTGGATGCGGGGCCAGACTCCGACGATGAGATGGACGAAGACCCATCACCAGAATTCCCCGTCGAATCCACAAATGCCTCTGCAGAATCAGCACCTCAGACGACTCCGGATGACCAGCTTCCGACAAGCCAAGTATCATGGTCCGCCTCTCCCACCCCCGAGCCACCAAGACTGCCAACTCGGTCGAATCAACAGCTACCTCCCGATTCAAGCTTCGAACCCGTGGACCATATGGGCCCTGCAGAAGACGATGATGCTGGGAAGTCTATTGTTTCCTCGCAGATACAAGATCCCATCCTTATAGACTCATCCAACGAGGACGAACAGAACGACCCGCCCTCATCGCCGCCGGTCGCAGAGGATGCTGCAGACACGGATGAAGATATGGAGATGGAAGAGCACGTGCCACAAGCACTCGGAGAAGACAGTGTGGAGAGGGTGATCGACCTACCGCAACGTTCGGTGCCAGCTGCATCACCACCGCCCCGCCCTGTTGTTCAAGTGAAAGAAACTCCATACGTCAGAAACAAGAATGGTCAGCTTAGGACACAGGCCGACCCTGCTCCATCGCGAAAGCTGAGTTCCAGTGGCACGTCAAAGCACACTTCATCCACTTCAATTGTGCATGGTACCTACAACGATAAGTCCTCGTCGGATCTGCAGGTCAACGCCGCTCAAACGGATATCAATGTCACTGATCTAGAGCAAGGGCTTCAAAAGGACGGGCTTCAGCTCAAGCAATGGGAACGAGAAGTTGCACATGAGATTAGTAGTCCAGTCTTGGATAACGCGCCTTTGGAGATGATTGGAAATCACTCCGCGATGCCAGAAGCGATAGGTGCGTCGCGTGATTTACAACCAGCGATAGGGAACGACTCTCCAAGGAAGTCAATGGTGCAGGACGCGACGATAATTGAAGTACCAGAGCCGAATCTCGTATCTGCCCATATGCCACCATCCAACTCAGGACCCATTGCAGAGCCCAGCCCACCTCATCCTATAGAAGGACGCCCAGCTGGCGAAGACGGAAAGAGAGCAATGCTTTCAAAAAGCCCTTCGCGTACTCCAGGCGCTCTCAAGCGCAAGCACGATAACTCGCTATCAAGGAAAAACAGTCGGCAATCAAAAAGACGAGAGATCAAGATCGTCGGCTTCGGCGATGATCCACCAGACTTGACAGATCCAGCGTTAACAATACGACATTATCGCGAAGAGTCTCTACGGCAATACCGAGAAGCTCGCAAGTCAAGCTCAAGTGTTGAAAACGGGCCACAATCTGCTGCAAAGGCTGAGGCACCGCATGGAGGCGATGCTATGCAGATAGATACATCCGCTATATCACCAATGGCTACTCCTGTCCCTCTATCACCACTACATGACAGTTTGCACAAGGAGCCAAGTCCAGCTTTTCCAGTCGTGGAAGATGCGACAGCAGCAGCAATGCGCTCAGCCTCAGTCACGGTGCCTACCGAGGGTGTCCAGCGCGTTTCCACGCCGGAAGTCTCAAGGCCACAAGCTTCACATGTCGCAACGAGTACCAGAAAAGCGGCGTCGAGCGTTTTTGAAAGATTCAAAGCGGCTTATCCAGAATACACAGGGGACACGAAACATTTCCAAGGGCAATGCACACAGATAATTCAACTGGACCGAGAAGATAAGATGGTGCCAAAGTGGCAATGGGACGACTATATCATACGCAATAGGACAGATTACAAGGATTATGCCGTGGAGCGCATGGATCAAGGCGAGAATCCCGAGCCGTATCATCGTTTCTACAAAGACATGATACGCGACACGATCTATCGAAAAGGTATCATCGAGGGACGAAATACACTGATTCGGGCATTACAGCAGCTCAACGCCCCATTACCAGAGCGCGAACCTAGGGATTCTCCAAAGGATCCATCTAGGAAAGAAAAGCGCGCGAGAGCATCGCTCCCTAGCGCTTTCCACCAGGCCAAACCTATCTCCAAAAATCATCAAGCAATTTCAGCGCCAGAACGACCGCGCAACTCCCTGCCACCACGACCCCAGCACAACTCTCATACGCCTGCAACGGATCCGCATATCCGCAATGCTCAACCACTGCCACCAGCAGTGTCTCGTGACTTTACGTCAAATGAGCGATCAAGTCCTAGACCTCATTCTCTGTCTCGCCTATCACTCGATGGGGCCGCTTCACCATGCACCACCCCAGGAGCAGACACAACAGCGGGCGCTAGCGACCCCTTCCGAGACTTTGTCTTTGCATACCAAAGAACAACATCGTTCACAGGGAGCACGAAAGTGAGTCCAGGACCACACCGTAACAGAGGGCGGAAAAGCTAAGGACATGTGCAGGTTGATCCACGGCTGCCCTGGCCCAAGAATTTGGGCGTCAGGCCATCGATGGCAGATGCGCTAAAATCGAAGGTGGATGTTATGAAATGGAAAGATGTACTGTAGATTATCGGATACGGGCAGGGACTTGGCAACTGGCGTTTTATCGGGAACGGATCGGATCGACGCATGGTAGTGTTGGGTTCACGTGCGTCCCATGCGATGGTTCTCCGGACTTTGATACCCCCTGACTGCGCGCTTCGGCGATAATTCTTCTTAGCTAGTGTGTATTTTATTACTATGAACCAACATATCGACCTCATTCATTTTTCTACTTCAGCTTGTAATGGTTGAGAGACTGCACTTGGCAGGTGCCGGTTGCGTGCGGATAGTCGCTGCGGTTTCTACGCTAGAAGCTAGCTTGTCCCACTCATGGGATGTCTTGTTATATACAGATAGTGACATATTTAGCAGGTATCTACGTCACTGCTCGATCTAGATAGTGTCGTGCTCGACTTCCAACACGATGTCTAAAATCAGTTCCTTGCGAATTTGTTCGCGGGATGTTAACCCGCTAGTCGACGACCGACCTGCACTTCACGCCCGTTTTTTTACCCCAACCGTCTTGCCTTAATCGTGTTAAGGCCACTGGGTCCATGCAGGCGCAGTTGTGAAACTCGAAAGACAAATTTGTACTACGGTCTCCCTGACACCATTGCCTGAATGCCTTCGGCGGCCGAGTGCTTGCTTCCAATCGTCACCTGCGGGAGCTTCGTACAGCCATGGTCGACCAACCGGATCCACCAAAATCAGCCTCGGACGTCAAGAGGGAGCGCGACGTCCTGAATTTCCATGCTGCGTTTCGCGATATACCCCATTTTGAAGATCTTGGACCCTCGCCGGATACACATTCGATCCCCAAACACCATGCTCCCAAGCCGGCCACCGATGCCTCGTTGGCTGCCTTTGGCCAATTGGCGGCAATGAGACTCAGTGCAGCACGCAGCCTGATCAGCTTGATCGACGATGAATATCAATACATCTTGGCTGAAGCAACCCCAAAAACGTCGTTGAAAGCAGACTCGCCTCTTAACAAGGACGATAACCTTATCTTCGGGCATGTTCGATTACCCCGACGGTACGTGTGTCTTGAACAGTTCCACATTGGGAACGATTTTGCTAACCATAGCAGATGGGGCATTTGTGAAAAATTGCTCGAGCCGTCTGCACTGGTAGAAGAAGGCATCATTGTCATCAACGACTTCTCCAAGGAAGGTCAGTACCTCAACCGCTCTTATGTGCAGGAGGGCCGTATGCGCTTCTATGCCGGCGTCCCTCTAGTCAACAAGGCTGGAAGCGTTGTTGGCGCAGTATGCATTTTCGACAGAGATGCAAGAGATGGACTGTCGCAAGATGACAAGACCTACCTCAAGGACTTGGCTGGAGTCGTCATGGACTACTTAGAAACATACACTATCAGGGAGCGGTACCGGCGGGCAGCCAAAGGACTGTAAGTGGATTACGAGCACGCACCGCGTACAAGGTCTATGCTGATTGCATATCTCAACATCTAGGCATGGACTCATGTCATTTGCCGAAGGTACAGCTTCTGAGCCTGTTAGCGAGCAAGGCCAACCATTGGGTGTCTTCGCGAAAGACCAGGTTGCAGCGACACATGAACAGCGAGATCAGAGACTGGAGTATCAGGAGATGAGTGGCGTCACGCGCATAGACAGCCCCGAAACTCGACGCGAAGAGCCGGTATCTCCGACCAAGGAATCAACAGACCGCCGGCGCTCAGTCAGTGATTTGCAAGACAGTCTGCTACCTTCGACTGTTAAAGATCTGTTCGCTCGAGCGGCGGGCATCATGCGTCACTCGAACGACATGAGTGGAGTTATGTTTTTAGATGCTTCCTACGCAGCTTCAGGATCAAAAGATGCCCGGCCGACAAGCGCTGGAAGACGATGCAAGATTCTTGGATTTGCAACAGAGGAACACAACAGCTTGAATGGTGACGTACTTCCTCCTGACATGATACCCCGCGAGTCCAACTTCAAATGGGTTCTGGAGCAGTATCCGCAAGGCTATTATTTGCAGTGTGATGAACTGGACGATGAATCTTACGCAGCGAACAACTCGGCACCTGAGCCATTGCATGAATTTACAGGAACCTTGCAGCAAGGCCAAGGGTTCAAGGAAGTCGACAGAGATCGAGAGCAGCATACGGCGAGAGTCAAAGCGCTGATACCCAACATCAAAACTGCTCTATTCCTACCACTTTGGGACTTTGATCGGGGCCGATGGTTCGCCGGCTGCTTCTGTTGGTCTACAAAATTGGAGAGGGCTCTAGACGGCCGGCTCGACCTCCCATTCCTGAAGACATTTGGACACTCCATCATGCAAGAAGTCGCACGGCTCGATGCATCTGCCACCAGCCAGTCGAAAACAACCTTCCTGTCCTCGCTATCCCACGAGTTGCGAACGCCACTACACGGAATTTTAGGCTCCGCTCACCTCATGCGTAACTCCCGCCTGGATAGCTTCCAGGTGTCCATGGTCAACGCAATTACAATATGTGGTCGAACACTACTCGAGACGGTGGAGCATCTTCTCGATCACGCAGAACGTCCAGAACCTAATCGAAAATACTCATCAACAATCTCTCATAGTGAGCACAGCATATGCATTACTTCGGAACAACTGGGTCCCGTAAGACAACATGATGAAAGCTCAGATACCTTCAAGTGTAACGTGGGTTTCGTTACTGAGGAGGTGGTAGAAACGATGATAGTCGGAGAGACTCCATACGGCGTCACGATAGAATCGCATACCGATGAGGAGTCTGTGGGAGACCAAAGTACCAGAGTCGCTATTGCGAGTAAACGAAGCCGCTTCATCATCCTGGATATCACCGACTACCGGGCACTTGGTTTCAGACTATCAGCTAGCTCTTACGGTCGGCTTGTCATGAATTTAGTAGGCAATGCCCTCAAATTCACTGACAATGGATATGTCCACATCTCGGTACACTCCGAAGATCTTTCGGAAAAGAGCGGGACAGTCGTGGTCAAGGTTATGGATTCAGGGGTCGGGATGAGGCCACGATTCTTGGAATCTGCATTCGAGGCCTTTCGCAAGGAGAATCAGCACACTGCAGGCACCGGAGTAGGACTTTCTGTGGTCAAACGAATCCTAGAAGATGTTGGTGGACGGATCGACATTTCCAGCGAACCTTCAAGGGGCACGGAAGTCATGCTTAAATTACCCCTGCAGCGACTGACCGAAGAGGAGGGCAACGATCCTGCTATTAATCCCTTGCCAATAGTTATGTCCGGTCTTGAGGGTAGGAAAGTATGCATTCTGTATGAAGCAGGCAATCCCGACGATGCACCTGAGTTGGTCCAGCACAAACGTACCGTGAAACGCTACGTAGAAACTTTATCCGCAACACTGTCTAAGGTCTTGAAGCTAGATATACATCACAGCGGTACCTGGGACGGTACAGATGACACAGAAGTTGTGATCTGTCCCGAAGTCTCATTCGAAAGCCTTCACAACATCCGAACCAACGCCGCTAAATCAGGTCGGCGATGCCCAGCTACGATTCTCATAGCGATGGATGTGCTCGAAGCTGAGACACTGCGTTCCGACGCGAGAGTAACGAGCAGAGAGTCCATTGTAGAATCCATCACTCAGCCGTAAGTCCAGGAATATACGGCGTAGGACCACACTGACTGTACCTAGTTGCGGACCATACAAATTGTCAGTCGTACTCAACGCATGTCTCCATCACTACGACCACATAGACTCCCCCATGATCCCCTCCCCGTCCTCCGCCAACCTCTCCTCAGGCTCATGGAGCGCCCCGCAAGACTCCACCCGCGAATTCGGACCCAGAATCGGGCTTTACCCATCTCCCACCCTCGCCCTGCGAAGGTCCAAGTCCAAAGACCCCGCGGCGCCAGACGTCCAGCCCCCAGCCCCAATCCAGGATGAACAGCGCCTTCACATCACCCAAGCCCTCATCGTAGACGACAACGCCATCAACCGCCGCCTGCTCTCCGCGTGGATGAAGAAACACGACCTCCCCTTCCGCGAAGCCAAGAACGGCCAGCAGGCGCTCGACATGTACAAAGATACGTCTCCCCCGTTCGACACGGTGCTCATGGACATCAGCATGCCCGTCATGGACGGCATGACGGCCACGCGGCTGATCCGCGAGTTTGAAAACGAGAAGGGTTTACAGGCGGCGCATGTCATTGCGCTCACGGGGCTGACGTCGGCGAGCGCGAAGCTCGAGGCGTGGACGAGTGGGGTGGATGATTTTCTGACCAAGCCGGTTGATTTCAAGAGGTTGGAGGGATTGGTGAGGGTCGGGAGGGGAGGGGAGGGCACGGGGTTTATGAAGGAGCACGGGAGTGTGCCTTGAGGGGATGGCGCGGTGGGATTGGTTGCAAATGACACACGAGTAATGACGTGGCGCGAACACGAGAGAGACGCCGCTGGTGCAGAGGCGTCTTGCTCGTCACGACGATCACAGCTTGCGGGCGTGTTGCTATCGGTATGAATGGAGTGATGGAAGTGTACCCAAGGGTCCGAGAAGAGAGCGCAGGACATCGCCGCAAGAATCACATGCACAGAAGACGCACTGCAGTGTATAAGAACATGATGAGATTCCATTAGAAGCGCAGGCTAGACTATCGACGAGCCGGCATGTACACCACTTCCAAAATACATTTCATACGAGAGAACAGTGATGTAGCAAGATGTTTTTACGTTCCTTGTTCCATGGTATAAGTGGGAGCAAGGAATGATTGACACTGCCGAAGAAATTCTTCTTTCGCCGATCTGGAGAGACACATAGCCATGGATGCGATGGGCATAGTGCTCGCAGTAAATTACGGCGAGTGGGATTTATGCACTCCGTTACTGGACGATTCCACGCGACAAGTCGCAAACACGTTGGCGCGTTGTGGTGCTCTGAGAGCCCGGAATGAATTACGTTGGATTGATATCTGTAAAGTATTTAGTATACATTGTCCATGTCCAGCATGCGACCAGTCGGAGGGACGAGGGCGCAAGCATGAGCAACTTCGTGTCGCGTTATTCGCATCGTGAGCACCCAACATATTGGCGCCACCTCGACTCGAAATCGCAACCACTCGCTCCATCTCGCTCGCCCATCGCTATCCCAACGTCGCATATCGTGTCGTGTTCTCGTGACACCTAACCAGTTCATCGAATCAGAGATGCCATCAAAGCGTCCGCAATGGTAACAAGGTGTGTGTGCCGAACGCGGAAGTCATGCACCCCCACCGCCTCGTCCAACGAACCACTTGGGCCCGGTAAAGGGAGAGTTGCGGAGGCAGAGGCGGGGGAGTGCTCAGTGGGTACACGCTAGGCTTTCATCATCTGGGCGGGATTGTTAGTCACGGTGTAGGTGGTGGTTGAGAGGGCAGTGGCTTACTTGAGTTAAACTGGAAGGATGGGGAAGGAAAGTGGGTGTGGGTGCGCTGAAGTTTTTGAGGTAGGTGAGCTTGGACCACTCGGGCTTGGCGGGATCTTTGTGGACGACTTGGGATGGAGGTGGGATTCGATGCACTGAATTGCAGATTATTGATTGAACGTCAAGACTAGTCGGAAGAGTAATCATGAGTCTCGCACATGCTTCTCAGCGTGTGTTAGGTCGTGGCACGTGTTTGCGCAGCTCCTACCTCGAGATATCTCTTTTTTTCCGAACGCGCAGTCACGGGATCACACCATCTTGCGCTGCAGCCATCTCCCGACATGCTACAAGATGCCTGTCGACATCAAGACCCCTGCAGGATGCTATAGAACCGGATGAGCAGCTACGAAAGACTCTGGATGAGTTCAAAGCCACTAGTATGTCGTCATAGCAACTCACCTTTTCTCAGCTCACATAATATAGTCAGAACGACGCCTTGGGGGGAAAGTAGAGGCACACTCCATGAACGAATCTCCAGGTCAGATCCTTCTAGCAAGGCAGTCGAGCTATGTGGTTATATCAGCACCCGACGAGACATCAATAAGAAGTTGAGCTTTACCATCCTTCGTGTGTCGAATCAATCGTATTGCATACAACTCGTCTCGAACTCACAAAAGGGGGGAAAGGAAGCAGAAGCCCATGAGCGCCTGCGGTCGCTAAAGGAATGGACACCCGTACGGGTTCGTGGAGTTCTTAAACCCCGCGAAGCTGCCAAAACCGACACTCACGATGGCATCAAACTTGACACTCTCAACGAGATAGTCGTCGATCATGTTGAACCGCTGAATCAGATCTCAGAGGACTTCATCATCAAGCAAGATACGGTGTTTGGGCCTGAGCAAAGACACCTACAGCTACGCACCAATTCTCAGCTACGCAACAACCTACTCTTCCGTGCCCAAAAGGTTCTTGAGGCTAGAGTGCACCTGAACGAGCATGAATGGACCGAGATTGAGACTCCCATCCTGTTCAAGTCGACGCCAGAGGGTGCGAGAGAATTTCTCGTTCCGACGCGGGAAAAAGGGCTGGCATATGCACTTCCGCAAAGCCCGCAGCAGTACAAACAGATCTTGATGGCTTCTGGTCTTACAAAGTACTTCCAATTTGCGAGATGTTTCCGCGATGAGGATCTTCGGGCTGATCGCCAACCGGAATTTACTCAGCTCGATATGGAAATGGCGTTCGCAGGCGAAGAAGACGTGATGGCACAGACAGAGCGTCTGCTGCAATCAATTTGGAAGAAAAATGACAAAGGAGAACGATTTCCACGCATGAAGTATCAGGAGGCCATGTCTTCGTACGGTTCTGATAAGCCGGATTTGCGATACGAAGCCAAAGTAAGTGTCGTGTGACTTTCGCGCATTGTCATGCTTACCACTGGCAGATCCACAATATCACCCAGTACCTTCCTGCCGATCTCATTGGGAAAATTTCACCATTGCAAGATCCGATAGTAGACGCTTTTAAGATCCCTATGTCTGGCGACCCCAAGACGACTCGCAAATTCGTCGCCTCCTTCCTTGACAGCCCTGACGGTAAAGTATATCTCGACAACCCACATGGCCAGCCCGGCATATTCATTGGAGACCTCTCGCAGCCCATGCAAGGCCTCGGACCTCTGGGCTATCCATACGTGATGGAAGGTCCTCCTGGCCTCGCAGTCGAACACGGCGACCTCCTCGTCCTTCAAGCACGCCCCAATGCCCCCCTATCAGGCGGCTCAACGATGCTAGGAAACCTTCGTCTAGCACTTTACAAAGCCGCAATCGCCCAGGACCTCATCGACCCGCCAAGTCCCGACGACTACCAATTCCTCTGGATCACTGACTTCCCTCTCTTCACACCAAACAACGACTCTGACCCCGGCCAAGGTGGCTCATCGGGCTTCTCATCAACCCACCACCCCTTCACTGCGCCCAAAACACCCGCCGACGTCGACCTTCTCCTCACTGACCCCTCGCGTGCCATAGCCGCACATTACGACATCGTCGTCAACGGCGTGGAACTAGGCGGCGGCTCGCGCCGAATCCACAACGCCGCGGTCCAGGAATTCATCTTCCGCGACGCGCTCAAAATGAAGCCCGAGCGCATCGAAGACTTTAGACACCTGCTCAATGTGCTGGCATCCGGGTGTCCGCCGCATGCGGGTATTGCGTTGGGGTGGGATCGGTTGATTGCTGTTATGAGGGGAAGTGAGAGTGTGAGAGATGTTATTGCGTTCCCGAAGAGTGGTAGGGGCGAGGATGGGTTGGTCAAGAGTCCGAATAGAGTTACGGAGGAGCAGTTGGATACGTATCATTTAAAGTTGAAGGAATAGATCGTGTCGGCGCGTTTGTAGGATAGATGTAGAAAATGCGTTTGGACGGAATGATCACTCTGCATGTACGATACGGAAGATGGAATCATGATTGTAAACATGTTGCATTTTATTCGTGATCTCCGTACTTCATCTACATCCCCTTCTCCTTAGTCCCTATTCAACTTCCACCAAACTCTAAACACTATATCCCATCTCCCTCAAAATCGCCTTTCCCTCCTTCACATCACCGTCTTTGCGCATTTTCAGTCCATATGCTATCAAGAACGCCGGGAAGCTGGCGTAACCCGCATCTTTCGCTGCAGCAGTGGTGCCCTTGATCTGTGATTTGTCGTCGGCAGGTATTGTTCGCAGTGTCGTCGATATGTAGAACTTTAGTTCGAACTTGGAAACTGGTTTCTTGTGCTTTGGTACGTGGTGAAAGGGGAATGGTAGGGAGATTTATAGGTGGGAGTGGGATTTGTAGCAAGCCTGTGTGTGCCGAGCGTGTGATTGCGAGTGTGCGCGTGAGGGCGATGTGGAAGTCTCACGTGGACAGGGCAAGTATGTCGTTTTCAGGTCTACAAATGCCTAATTTACATGATTGTAATCAGTAAGGTTATACATGTCGCTTTGTAGTATTCACGCTTTTCTAAAGTTGGGAGACAGTCGCTGGTGATTCGTCCGAGAGCAAGGTGATGCTTTCATAACACATCGTAGAATTCGCAACTCTAAGATGCCAGATGAAAAGAGTAGAAGAATATCATAGATCTGTTCATTCTAGATCTCATCATGCGGTCACTGCAAGGAGAGTCTGCCCATAATCCCAATTTGTAGAGTCAGTGAGAAATACTAGACCTGATGTCATTGTCATCGTACTCAGAGGGTGCGATCGCGAACAGAGTGACAAACACTCCGTCTAATTTTAACCCAAATTTGGGACTGAGTCACATCTGGACGTCGATGGACCGCAATCAATGCAGCTCTACTAGAGGTTTTGGACCCTGTTCCCGATCTCGGTAAGTTGAGCCGGATAGAGTAGATACAAATGACATCACGATGCGCTAGTATTTTCAAAGTGTCCTAAAGTTACCGGCCGACGTTTACGTGTTGTTTTGGTCCTCTCTTGGGATGTGATGTCGTGGAAGTGTTCCAAGGTTCTCATGCTTCGCCAGTGCATCACACTCACAGCTCGCCACCGCTGTTTAAGGCTATACGCTGATTACGAACAACCGAGCTTTCCAAGAATAGAACCTTCTAAAAATCGCGTAGAACGAAACTAGGGTGGAAGGTCCTGACGCTCTTTCATGCTCGGAGACACGTCCGAACCACACTATACTCGCCCTCGCCACTGCGCGATGCCACCCAAACGCCATGAGAACCGCGGTTCGACGTCACATCTCGTGTGGTCTCTCCGACTACTGCTATCCGGCGTGAGGAATGATTCGCTGCTTCGCAGCAGAGGGCGGTTTCTTCTGGGTATACAATACCCCGAACAGCGAAGTACCGTAGCCGCGGCGTGCATAAGCACAACTTGTGTCGAAAGTTGGAACGCTTGCGCTGGGTTGCATCTTTGCTCTCGTATTTTTGGAGTCGGCTCATCGGTCGTCGATCGTGCGCTCCGAGTTGACGTCAAGCACGTCGTTTCGATGGGAGGCTACTGTCAACATTGTCATTGTACGCATAGTAGGTATACACGAATATTCTCAGGTAGGTATATAGGCATTACGAGTACGTCTTTCTGCACATCGCCAAATCACTGAGCTTATCACCTGTCAACATCAGAGACAATCCAAGCACAATCTTCCATTTATATTCAGTCTTATCACCACAACTATGCACTTCACGAACACCGTCTCTCTCCTCTCGGTGGCCAGTCTTGCAGCAGCCATCCCCTACTGGCCCGAGCATGCCTTATCCAGCTATGCCAGCAGCACACCTACCGCCGTAACAGGAAGCACGCCCAGTAGCACATCCAGCAGCACACCCAGCTCCACGATCTGCCCTGTCGTCCAAGAAGGCGATTATGTCTGGAAGGTCTCCAGCTTCTCAGCCCGCAAGCTCAACGGCACAGATAACAACGCTGTCAGCTTCAATATTTCCGCGACCAACAACGGCACTCTGAACTTCCAGTGTGCAGCCTCTACCCAAGGTAATAACGTACTTGAGGAGGGCGAGCTATACGACTGCGGTGAGAACTCTTTGATCAGCTTCGCATTTGAGGGTATCGACCTCACAAGCACCCGTCTGTTGTTGCACCAGCGCGTTTCCGACACGTAAGTAGCTTTTCTCTTAAATTGCCGTGCTAGTGCTAATTATTCAACAGCGTTACTGAGGTTGGCACCACTACCGTTCCGTATTACTGCCGTGCTGGTGGCAGTGCTCCCCTCGATTATGTCTGCTCGGGTGTTTCAGATATGTACATCACGTTGGCTAAGCTTCCTTTGTCTACTTAGATTGACCAGTAATTGGAGAGCATCAGCTTTTTTTGTTGGTCTCGGGCTAGAAGACTTTTAGAGTAGCATGTTAATAAAATGCGACTTTGCAAACATTTATAATTCACACACACTTTCTATTCCGAGCACTACAGTATTAAAGTGGACCTTTAACACGAACCCGGACAGCCTGCTATGCATTGTTAGTGCTCCCGTCATTGCGATCGATGTCCTGTGCATCTTTTCGACGGCTGCCCAGGTGCCCATGAGAACCGGGAAGATGATTCGCGACGTCTTCATGACACTACAGCGATAAGAAACAACATGCGACTGAGCTTCAGATTGCTAGCCATGTTCGACAATTTTCTTGTTGCTCTGATCGGAACAGGGTCTGGTTGCGGCTGTAGGACGACCCAACCACGCGATCTTATCTAAGACATCACCGATTCAGGCACAACAAACAACAGGGCTCCACTTCCCACGACTACCCCAGGCTCGTATTCCAAATCATCGCGCTTTCCATCACCAATCCAAGGCATACAGAAAATCTAGAGCGTATGTATGATCATCGTCTCCCTCACTGAAGCCTTATCCAACGAATCCCCGGGATTATGTTTCACACGCACTCCTGTAGCGAGTATACTTAAGCGAGGACGACTGGCGAGATGCACGTAGACAAACCAGCTGAAACCCTGATACCGTTTTGCTGTTCACGTCTGGACATGAAGTATTGAGCATTGCCCACACTCGTCCCTTCGTTCCCCACTCGCGACTTAGGACTCCACATGACTACTCGGAAACAGCAACCGCTGTGCCACACTGCGCTTCAAGAAATGGACGAGACTACGACTCAGACGCAGATTGATCGGGCCGTATTGCGCTGCACCACGCTATTCGTGCATGTTATGCAGCTAGTGCTGGCGGTTGTGGTGCTGGGACTGGATGCGTATGGGGTGTGCTATGTGGCCTACAATATACTCATATACTCCCTGATAATAGTAAGTTGGACATGGCAGCGCGTATCCATTCGCTAACTCCTGTGTTAGTCTGTGTGCACGATTCCTGTCTGCGGATACCTCATTATAGCTCAGACCGTTCTGCGCAAACTATACACGCCGTACACAGCTGGCGCTTACCATGCATGGATGCTAATGTTCTGGATCACGGATCTGGGACTGGCTTCTCATCTTGCCACGATGTGGAGTGGACACGGATGCGCTGAGGACTTCCACGATAGCTCGATATGCGTACCATTCGAGAAGCGGGACCTTCAAGACGCTCGAACCAAAGTCTCCTACAGGTGGTACTACATGATGCTCATTGCCGGCGTGGTCCTCACCGCCTGTGAACTGTGAGTGATAAAGAAGTCATGGAATGCGAACGGGCACTGACACAAGGTAGAACTTTATGGATTGTCACAACGAGCCTCTTGGTATTCGCATGGTGGAAACGTCCATCCACCGACACTGAAGCCTCGTCAGTAACAGCACCATGGCCAGGACGAAGCCACACTATCTCGCCCCACGTAAACATACCATTCGAAGGTACCAGCAGCGAAAATACCAATTACCCTGACGTATTCCACATCCCAGCGCCCAATGCACCCTGGGATCAACCACGTTCACAGCACCAAGAAGCTCGACATCAAATCATCCCAGACGCGTCCACGGACGGAGGCTATTCTACCCAGACTTCTCGAGAGATTGAGCGCGATCCGCTGGCAGGCCATCTCTACGTACACTCAGGGATGGCGCCCGATAGGAGATTGATGAGGGCAAAGAGTCTCAACAGGTCGATATATGGGCAACCTTCAATGTATCGAACATCTGCGGATGAGAGATCAGGACCACCAAGCGATACACAGCAGATTGATTGGTCGGAACGGTCGAGCCTAGGCATGATGAACCCGTCGTTGCGGTCGTCTATGTCTACAGGTCGAAGAGTGCGACGCTTCACGATGGGCGAATGATGTGGACCTGGCGCACTTCTTATTTCATTAGCAAATATGTTCAGAACATACTGGCAGCTCAATTGGCACACTATGTACCGCATCCGGAGCATTTCCTGTCTCATTGGTACATGTAGCTCTACCAACATACCATGCACCAAATCTGGTGTAGTGGTTATCTCATTGGCCCGTGTATCCATAATAAACCCACAGCTCTACCAACACATCCTATACAAAAGTAGCCATCGACTATGAGATTGTTTGCCTGAAGCTCTTACCAAGCGATTTCTTCGCTCGCAATACTCCCTGTCCCTCCATGTTCCTGAGGCACCATAATCTCTTCCTGTGCTATCTCCTTTTCAAACACCTGCTGCTCATGCTTCTCGATAATTTCCACAACTCTTCCTACGCTCTCTTTCAATCCATTCAACTTACTCCTCTCCTTGATCCTTGTGTAAAAAACGGGACAATCGCGACTGTCGCAGCGAATCTCCTCGCCCCAGGCTAATCCCGAGCAGTCTCTGCATACCAGATCGACATCTCGAGCTTTGATCTCCGTGCTACGTACGAGGTCTCTGAGCATATACAGTGAGCGGGCAGGGCGCTTAAGACACCTCGGACATAGCGGAAGCAAGGCGAAAGCATCCAACTCGACGCCTGGAATGTGCTGTGGTGTTGGTGGAAGTTTTGCGCGGCATACAAGGCAGGAAGAAGATTTCATGTAGCTTTCCAAAGTCTTTCCGGTATTGTTTCCACCAATGAGTGCATTGCCAGTGTCGGACTTTGTGTTGAGTGGAAGTGTAACGTTACGGATACGCTGAACCTTAGGCATTTCGTCAAACCATTGGCGCACGTTTGCACCTACGAGGTTGAAGATACGCTCCAGTGGTGGGATGAGGTTCTTGCTGATGTAGTATTCTGCGTCGAGCTCAAGATGGTCGTTCTGTAAAAGCGTTTCGGGACTCACGCAGCGGTCGATCAAGCGTGCACCAGGAGCACCAGTGATGACTATGTAGGGGACGCGCTCGCCGTACTGAGGCTCTGTACGTGGATCTGCAAGCATGCGTTTGGTAGCAATGAGAGCCCCGGGCGGGGGTGGACCGCGATCGCTGTAGGTGCCCAGTTTGACTTCTTTGGCGAAGAGAAAGTCTTGGATGGATATGCGGCCTTGCATAATCTTCATGCATTGCTCTTGAAAATACGACTTGACTTGGCTGAGGTCAGCTGTGCGGAACAGAATTTTCAGCGCCCTCTCCTCAATCTTCTGTTCAGCAGGTGTACCATCTCGTCGTACCGTTTCGATACCCTTTGCATCAAAATCTGGTTCTGTCTGATTACGATGCTCGTACTTGAACCCGACATAGCGCTTCTTTGCTAGCAAAACGCAAGGATGGTACACCTTCTCGAACTTTAGCTTGATAGGACGAGGGTTGGCAGCTGTAACGGCTGCGGCAATTTCCTCGCCGATGGTGAACGCTTGATCGCGTGTGCGACCTTTGAGGTAGATGAACAGCGAATCTGTATCTCCATACACAACTTCGGCACCCCATTTCTCGGTAGCGTGAATTAATGCGATGGCCTTTTCGAGCGTCTCGCGACCGGTTTGAACGATACTGTCTGCGATCTCGGAGCAGGGCATGCGTCCAGAGAAAGAGGCAGATGCATAGCCGTAGGTGACGTTGGCTAATAGCTTCAGCGCCAACTGTCTGTTGTTTAGCAGCTGTTGCAGCGTCTTGTCATCCTTGTCCTGCTTCATCCCGCTCTTGATCATTACACGTGTCTCAAGAATCTCGCCCAGCATCTTTGCAAGTAAGGATTTTCGCATCTCTGGCTTGACGTACATCATACCGTTAGGCGCGATGTTGATATAGTCTTTGACAAGCTCTAGTAGCTGCGGTTCACGCTTGAAGTCCATGAACCCCATCTTATTGCGTCCTCGCCAGCTGACAATCCGGCCAAGGCAGGTCGAGTAACAGTAGTTGTACGCAATCATGACACTTGGGTAGAGAGACTGAAAGTCGAGCACTAATAGAGGACTTGAATAGAAAGCGCTCTGGGGCTCCATGACCAAGGGTAAGCACTCAAGAGCATTTTGTTGTCCAACCTGCTTTCGACTGGGAGATATCAAGATGAAGTTCTCTGGCTTGGCGATGCGAAACATTGTAGATTCCACCTTGAATTGAGAGCCACGAGATATGACAGCAAAGAAATCCACACCGAGAAGTCGGGCTTGCTCGCTTGTGCGAGGCACAATCTCATTGGCCTCCAGGATGTCAAGATTGAGCTGTACACGGGTGAGAAAGTGGTCCAGGACTTTTGCAAGCTCTCTTGGTTTGGAGCTCCTGTACCAACCAGTCAGATCTGAATGCTGGTAATGCGGTATTCGCCTATGGAGGAGATGGAACACGACATTCTCCATAGTGTACTGAAGCAGGTTCAGTTCTCCGCGCATGGCTCTCCAGATATTGATCATGTGGCGACCAGTAATTCGGATGGTGGATGTATGCGTGAAGCCCCAGCGATCAGCTTCCTTGCCGAATCTCCCGTGAGATTGTGACTTCATCCTGCTGATCTCATCGCATAGATTGTATTCATACTTCATTCGGGCGCGCTCGATCAAGTAACCCCACGAGCTATTGTGTACCTCATAACCCGCAAGGATGTCCGGATCGAACTGACGGACAATGTCCACGATGCGATTGATGAGATCAAGCTCGTCTTCTTCATGTTCCACGTCTACAGAAGATTGCTTGGCAATGCGCTCGACAATGCCGTCGTCTGTTGAGAGACACAGTATTCCAAGTCTTGGTCGGTCGGTAGTAGCATTCTCTTCTCCTTGAATGCTGTAGAATATGCACTGTATTTCATCCTCAGCTGGATCTGGCACTAGTGAACCTCTTGAGTTGACATGCACTTCCAGACTCATGATGCTCATGTACTGGGTTTCGTGCTTTACGGTGGTTAATTTCTTGTTTTGAGAGTATTTGAAGCCATGCTTGTTTTTCTGTGTCGGACCATCGATCTGAGAGAGGTATTCGGGTACTTCTCGCTTACGCGACGGTCTGGCTGCTTGCTTCGGTTGTTCCTTTGTTGCCGCCCTGGACCGTTCGCCAACATTGGTCTCTTCCTGCGTCCAAGTCGCAACGTCCTTGTAAGATGGTGGAGATTTTGCGATCTCCCAGTGGCGTAGTCCGCATCTATGTGATCTAGTCCTGTGCTTGACTGCTTCCTTGGCCTTGTCAAGTACCATTGGGGGATAATCTCCAGTGTTGGCAGCAGAAATACCAACGGGATCAAACGGCGGCAGGTAGGGTAATGAAATGCTTTGGAGCTTGAATTCACGACCAGCATACTCTCTTGCTCGGTCGGGGACGTCCTTCTCATCGCTATAGTGTGCGTCCTGATATATGACTGGAGGTAGACCGGCGTGGATCATGGTGCTCTCTACAACTTCTGGCCTGGGTGGCAGATAACCATAATAGACCGTCGGCCGCTTGTGCTCAAAAGTCGAACTGAGTTGCTTTGTTAGAGCAACCGTCTCGCTATATGCTTTCGGACCACTGCTGTTAGGCAATACAGGTGATGTTTTCTGGTGTGTCCATGGCGTGACCGGACTATGCTGCGAGGCTCTGACAGGGAGACGCTTAGGCCCGGGTGTCTTTGGCGCTTCTTGAGAGTTTGAATAACCAGACTGACTTAGGCGGAGGACTGTCTCTGGGTCACCTGGATTTTTGACGACAGGAAACGAAAAAGTGCTCGGTCCCCTGAAGCCGTGGGCCTTGATACTTGCTTGTGAAGATTGACCTGGTCGTGGAGGTCCATTATTGTCGGCACTGTCTGAGGAACGAGAAATCTCATTATTGATGGCGTTGCGGAACGATACACGTCTTGAACTAGCTTGTGTGTCTGCCATGATCCGTTGGCGCTTAGATGATGTCTCAGGGTCACCTTCAGGCGAGCGTTTGCGCACGTTGTTGATTCCATCGGAGCTGTCAGCATACCCATCTTCACTCGGGTCAACGAGGTCAATGCCCTCGTCGACCATATCATCAGAAGTGTCTCCTACTCCTTGGAGCAGAGATACCGTTAACGGATCAAGCGATTGCTGCTCTTCGGTATCGGATTGAGCTGCTGTGTCTGCCTCATCCTCAATCTGCGGATCTTCGACGACAATTTCCTCTTGCAGTGGATAAGTGTCATCCTCTACAGTAGGCGCCATCGGCTCCAGCCCCTGTCCATGGAGCACCCTTGATAGTGGTTCTTTCCTATCGTCGGGGAACTGCTGAGAGACGAGATTTCCAGGGTATAAATCTTCAATGCTTTCCACAGCAGTCCTTATACTTTCCTCACCTTCGACAGGCTCCACAAAAGTATCGAAATTTACATCGGTCTTGTGTTGCTTCTCTTGCTCAATGAGTTTTGCCACTAATTCTCGATATTCTTCCTCGTGGATCCAGCCTCCCTTGTCCTTATTTCTAGGGTCAGCAGACATAGACACCATGACCTCGGCTGGGAAAGGGCTACTGGAGGGATCAGTGAGCCCCATGCGCATCTTACGGCGGCGGGTCTCGTCTCTCCACAAGCCAGCCATGGACGGCACATATTTGTCGTCAGGGTTCCGGAGCATTTGGCTCGACCGCTCGAGGAAGTCGTGGTGGATTGGTCGATATTGTAGCTCGTGTCTATTTAGTATGTCTTGGACACATATATCGACTTCAAGGGTGCAGTGACTTTGGCGCGGATACTGGCCCTCTTCAGCCATGAACTCGTCTGGGATTGAGGCATCGTGCCACTTGTGGACAGAAGTATCGACCTCATCGCTATCAGGGACGGGACCACGAAAGAGCACTTTAGCGCAATCGATGTAGTCGCATCCGTACAAGTTATAATCGCACATCCATTGCAGCAGATACTGTAGATGGCTCTCATAGGGTTGGAAGACGCGGTCCATGATGGCGCCCGAATGCAGCAGATCGGCGAAGCGTGTCATGTGTACTGGGTTCAGCATGTACACTTTCAGAAATATCTTGTACCCAACGCTGTATCCAAAGAAGGGCACACCTTTGACCAAAGTAATATGCCCAACGTACATGGACTTGCCATCATATGCGTTGCGTCGGTAGGTAGTGGCAAGAGCATGATCAATTGAGGCCCGAAGGGAGAGTATGTATGTGCTCACTTCCAGATGTCAGCTGATACCTTTGTTTATGGTCTTCAAAACGTACCGACTTCCTTTTCCAAGCTGCCGTTGTACTCCAAGTACAGATAAGGTAGCGCTCCATGGATATGCGCGCACACCTTCTGCCCGGTCTCGGTTGCGCCAAAGGCTCTGATTATGGGCACTTGAGGCGCATCTTGACGCTTTGTCGGCCCTGCATTGCGTCGGAGGACCGGATCAAGGTCTGTTGGCGTGGCTTGGTAGTTGTCGATGCAGTTCAGACGGAAGCGGAATGTGTCCATGACGAAACCGCGTGGTCGAAGGAAGAATGTCGGCAGTGGTTCGATTTCCGCATGGTTGTCACCCAAAAGACTCGAAGCCCAAAGGAAACATGGAGTGCGCGCAGTGGTGGCGGAGACTGGGGTGAAAGACGACGCGGGGCGAATCACCACGAAGCGCGTCTACAACGTCGCGTCGCGAAGTCCCGTGAGCCGGGTTCAGCCCTACCGCGCTAGTACTCCACACTTCGCCGTCAACCGCCGCGAAAGACATTCACTCCTTCACCTCGCCCTCAGACTCTCCACACTGCCATAGCTCCACAATGCCGCCATCAGCACCAAAGAAGCCGGACGCATCCGCCGCTGCGAAGGAGCGCAACGAGTACATCCCGTCCTTCATCTCAAAGAAGCCGTTTTATGCCATCGACGAGACCGGCGAAGAAAACGACTACCTTGAGCATCAGCGTCTCCAGAAACAGGAGCAGGACTCAAAATGGTACGACCGCGGGAAGAAGATTGGTCCGGCAGCGACCAAATATCGCAAAGGCGCTTGCGAGAACTGCGGAGCCATGACGCACAAAAAGAAAGACTGTCTGAGTCGTCCACGGAAGGCAGGCGCGAGGTTTACGGGCAAAAACATCGAAGCCGATGAGGTCATACAGGACGTTCAACTTGGCTTCGACGCAAAGCGCGATCGCTGGAACGGGTACGATGCGTCCAACTTTGACGAGGTCATCGACGAGTACAAGGCGCTGGAGGAGATTCGGAAGAAGGCAAAAGACGCTGAGAAGGGTGACGATAAGTCGGATGAGGAGGAGGATGAGGGCGACAAATACGACGCCGAAACCGACATGGGCAGGAAGCAAGCTACGTCTACGCGAAATCTGCGATTACGGGAGGACACGGCCAAGTATCTGCTGAATCTTGACCTCGACTCCGCCAAATACGACCCTAAGACACGTTCCATGGTGGACAGTGGTGTGACGTCAGACAATGCGTCCAAGCTGGTAGCAGAAGAAGGCTTCATGAAGGCTTCTGGAGATGCAGCAGAGTTTGAACGCGCACAACGATACGCCTGGGAGACACAAGAGCGCGGTGACAAGAACAAGCTTCATCTGCAGGCCAATCCCACATCTGGCGAGATCATGCGTAAGAAGGAGCTCAAGGAGGCAGATGAGCAAAAAGCGGCTAAGGCAAAGGCGCTGGCAGAGAAGTACGGCACGCAAGAAAAGTTCACCGACGACACACTGCGCAAGACGGCCGTGACCGAGTCAGAAAAGTACGTCGAATATGACGAGCGAGGCAGGATAAAGGGCGCGCCGAAGGTCAAGGCAAAGTCACAATACCCAGAAGATGTTCATCTCAACAATCACACCTCGGTGTGGGGCAGTTGGTGGTCAAACTTCCAATGGGGGTTCGCATGCTGCCACTCCACAGTCAAGAACTCGTATTGCACGGGCGAGGCTGGAAAGGAGGCGTTCGAACTTGCGGACCGTATGCGCACTGGTGCTGAGCTCGATGAGGTGCCCAAGGCCATTGCCTGGCAAGAAGAAGAGGCTCTCCAAGAGCACGTGCCCAATGCGCCCGATCGCGATGAGAAGGCAAAACAAGATGCAGCCTCTCGCAAGCGAACACTGGAGCAGATGACGGATGGAATTAGTGAAGCAGAAATGGAGGAATATAGACGGAAAAAAGTTATGGGTGCTGACCCCATGGCCGCATACCTATCGAAGGGCAGCAAAAGTGAAGCGGTATAACTCACAACGCCCTTCTCATGGCGTCATTTCTAGCACATTTTGTAAACTTAGCATGGCGTGGCGTTTATACCCCGGACGTTTGTTCAGCATCGCATGTAGAATGACATGGAGTTCCTGACAATCGAATGCGTTGTCCTGCAGCATGCAGTGGTGATCGGTACAGTCGAGTGCACGCCTCAAGGGTCCAACTGCACTTGGCCTACCTCATTCGCATCGTTGCAGTTTCCTTCCCTCCTTTACGATGAACAACTCAGACAAATGGTGATTGCGCATGCAGACGCGTATGCGTTGTATGAACAGCCCGAGGCAGCAGCGACCGGGGTGCTAGAGTGAGAAGAATGCCGAGAGGTGAGTGGCTAATGCAAGCGGGATGACGAACGCTGGGCCCTGGGGAAGAAGCGCCAAGCCAGACATCCAACCACCACGCGGCGCAGACCCAGAGCTACCAATCGACCCAAAGGCACGCCACGATCCCACACGAGCTTTTGTGTATAGGCTGCCCGGTCGCGCCTTCTCCACCACTGCTATCACTTATTCTCCCCTTTCCTACTGTAATTGCAACAGCCAGCGGATAGCTCAGGAAGGCAGCTACCACCGCCGCGATGTCTTCTCGTAATGTTGACATGGGGAGGTAAGATCACCAACACGTTCGACAAAGAGCGAACATGCCTCATTATCCAATATTACTACTTAATAACACTCGCGACAGGCAAGAGTCGGAGCTCGCCATCAACATCAAGAAGGCCACGAGCATCGAAGAAGTCTCACCTAAGCGTACGTCCCCACCAAATGCCGAGAACGGGCAATCGAAGCTTATGACAGCGCAGGAAAGCATGTACGAGCATGCATTGTGTATACGTGGGACCACAAGAGCTCGGCGAGCTTTTGGCAGGGCATGAAAGTGTAGGTTTGACCCCTGCCTTGCACGACATACAACCCGCAAGTCTGGCGCATGTCCAAGCTCCCCGAGCAAGACGAACATATGCTTGCTGGAGATCCAGCCCAAAATACCTGAAACCAGGTCGATTGGCTGTGTATCTACGGATGCGCCGGCCAAAAGCACCAGGAGCAAAACTCAAGTTCCGAAAACTTTCTCAAGAAGCTACAAAGACAATGCTGACCCGAGAACAGCCAGCCAATTCTCGCCGACGAGGTCCAGACATTCAAGGCACTCATTACCGTCCACAAGGTCCTCCAGGAAGGCCATCCCATCGTTCTCAAAGAGGCGCAATCAAACACCAGCTGGCTCGAGAGCTTGTCCAGGGGCTCAACCGCCGGCGAGGGCATGCGCGGATATGCGCCACTCATTTCCGAGTACATATACTACCTGATGGCCAAGCTGGCCTTTCACCGACAGCATCCAGAATTCAATGGTACGATTATAGATGGGACGATTAGTGCGTCTAACTGATGTGGTCAGGAACTTTCGAATATGAGGAGTACATCAGTCTCAAGTCGATCAACGACCCCAACGAGGGATACGAGACGATTTCTGATCTGATGACGCTGCAAGATCAGATCGACGCGTTCCAAAAGCTCATCTTCTCGCACTTCCGAAGCGGCGCAAATAATGAATGCCGAATTGCTGCCCTGGTTCCCCTCGTTCAGGAGAGCTACGGCATTTACAAGTTCATCACTAGCATGTTGCGAGCTATGCATACAAGTAGGTTATCTTGAGATTGTGAATTGACATTAGCTAACCGCAATAGCCCTTGGTGATGACGAGGCACTCTCTCCCCTACGCGGCCGCTACGATGCGCAACACTACCGCCTCGTCAAGTTTTATTACGAGTGCTCAAACTTGCGATACCTGACCTCTTTGATCACGGTACCAAAGCTGCCACAAGAGCCGCCGAACCTGCTCTCTGAAGACGAGAATGCGCCAGCTCTACCCGCGAGGCCGCGTAACGAGAAGCCTGAAGAGTCAGCCCCACCACGCGCACCATCGGTGGACCCCGAACCAATCAACGAGTTCTGGAAGAACGATCAGAGGAGGCAGCAAGAGGAGTTCGACGCCGAACAAAGGAGGCTGCAGCAGCAATGGGAGGAGGCTCAGCGCCAGCAGCAACAATCGCAGATGCAAGCCCAGCGAGACTTCGAGGAGCAGCAACGATTGCAAGCTGAACAAGCCCGCCTGGCGCAAGAGCAGCTCATGCGCGACCAATATCAGCAACAAACTCAGGGTCGCCTGGCAGAACTCGAGCGAGAGAACTTGAATGCGCGCGCACAATACGAGCGCGACCAGCTGATGCTGCAACAATACGACCAGAGGATGAAAGCCCTAGAAGGTGAACTCGCGCAGATGAATCAGAACTACCAGCAGCAGATTGGCTCCAAGGACGACCAGATCCGCGCCCTTCAAGAGCAGTTGAACACATGGCGATCGAAATATGAGTCCCTAGCGAAGCTCTACTCGCAACTACGACATGAGCATCTTCAGCTGCTTCAGAAGTTCAAGCAAGTCCAACTTAAGGCGAACTCTGCGCAAGAAGCAATCGACGGCCGCGACAGGCTGCAACGAGAGCTGAAGACGAAGAACCTTGAACTCGCCGATATGATCCGAGAGCGCGATCGCGCACTGATGGAGAAGGACCGAACCACAGGTGGACATCGCGATGAGTTAGAAAAAGTCAAGCGCGAGCTTCGTGCCGCGCTCGATAGGGCTGATAACTCTGAACGTGGCAAGGGATCGGAGCTGTCAGCAATGCTTTCGAGGCACAACCGTGAGATCGCGGATCTTGAGGAAGCGCTGCGAAATAAGACTCGCCAGCTGGACGACATGCAAATGAAGTACCGCGAGGGTGACTCCGACCTCGAACGCCAATTGCGCGACAAGGAAGAGGAACTCGAGATTTTCCGCGCTGGCATGGACCAGACGCTGCTCGAGCTGAATGAGCTGAAGCTTAATGCGAACGCCAATGACAATGTGCTCGATGGACATTTGGACACTTTGATCCAGGACAGCCTCCAGAAGATCAACGATATTATCGACTCTGTATTGCAGGCCGGTGTTCAGCGCGTTGATGATGCGTTATATGAGCTGGACTCCTCCATGCAGGCTGGTAACCAAAACGCTACTGGTCCCTATGTGCTGTCACAGATTGAGAAAGCATCGACATGTACAATGGAATTTTCGACCGCCTTTAACAACTTCATCGCTGACGGACCAAATGCGAAGCACGCTGAAGTTATCAATGCGGTCAACAGCTTTTCCGGCTCAATCGTGGATGTCCTCGTGAACACCAAGGGCCTCACAAGATTTGCCTCGGATGAGAACAAGGCTGACCAGCTCATTAACGCCGCGCGCGCATCGGCGACTTCTACGATCAGATTTTTCCGAAGCGTACAAACTGTGCGCATGTATGATCTTGACGCCGAGCAAAAGATCAACGTTGTCATCAACAACAGTACCGAAGTTGTCCGCAATCTTCAGAGCTTGTCTAAGCTAGCCGACGCATTTGCGCCCAAGAGCAAGATCACAAGTGCATCTGGTGATCTTGGTGAACTGGTTGAGGACGAGCTGACAAAGGCTGCCAACGCCATCGAAGCGGCGGCAGAGCGTTTGGCTAAGCTCAAGAACAAGCCTCGGGATCAATTCTCTACGTACGAGCTTAAGATCCACGACTCTATCCTCGAAGCTGCTATTGCTGTCACAAATGCCATCGCTCAGCTCATCAAAGCAGCCACGGCTTCTCAACAGGAGATTGTCCGCGAAGGTCGTGGTAGCATGTCCAAGACGCAATTCTACAAGAAGCACAACCGCTGGACCGAAGGTCTCATCAGTGCTGCTAAGGCAGTTGCAACATCGACCAATGTGCTCATCGAGACCGCCGACGGTGTCATCTCTGGACGCAACTCGCCCGAACAGCTCATTGTCGCTTCGAACGACGTTGCCGCATCAACTGCTCAATTGGTGGCTGCCAGTCGTGTCAAGGCCAGCTTCATGAGCAAGACTCAAGACCGCCTCGAGACAGCATCAAAGGCTGTCACATCGGCTTGCAAGTCGCTTGTCCGACAGGTCCAGGACATCATCGCGCAGAAGAACCGTGACAGCGGCGATGCAGTGGACTACACCAAGTTGAGCGATCGCGAGTTCAAGACGCAGCAGATGGAGCAGCAGGTAAGTGGCTATGTGAGATACTTGCAAGAAGATAGTACTAACAACATGATTAGGTCGAAATTTTGCAACTCGAGAACCAGCTCAGCCAAGCGCGTGTCAGATTGGGAGAGATGCGCAAGCTCTCTTATCTCGAAGAATAAAAGCGACATTTGTTTCTCATTGGAGGATTATTGTGCATCTGATTCGTTCGTAGTAGATAGTTTGTTCTCCACAATAATATCGATATACTCCTCATCAAGACTGTGGGCTTCTTCCTTCTCGACTATGCGCGCTTGCCCACATATCTCCATGTCTTGATTGTTTCATGCATGGTATCCAGATCGGATTGATCCTCCCCTTTCATTATGCGGTTCCACGCATGCGGTACAAGCTTACATGACTCGCACAACGTCAGGATTACGACAAATGAGATTTTGGGTTTGGTGAGATGTCACTTGAGTGGGTTCGGCGATGCATGCCGTTGCTTTGCACGCATGTAGGGGTTATCCTTGAGTCCGCGGAGCAAGGTCTTGAAGGACATGAGATAGCATGAAGTGAGAAGTTCGCATGTGCACATTGCTAATAAATAGATAAAAGTATATAGTGCATAGTTTGAGGACATGTGTAACAGCGCAGGACTTGTTTGATACATGTTGTATAAATCTACCTACCGTTTAAACAACAGGACTAATATGAGACGATTTACTGAAGCGTCACGGATGAATGTATACCGCAAAGCGGCGTGAAAACCCGACAGTCTTCGACACCTGCTGCATCAAGCAAGTTCGTGAAGGCGGCTTTTCATACCGAACAATCCTAAAATAGCGTGGGGGTAGCTGTCAAACCTTCGAATCGAGGGATGATCTCGCCAAGTCCTTTGATCGCGATGGCATTCCGACCTCGACACGGTGAACATGTCCGACAGTTATCTACACTTTTACAAAGCTGGTTACTACAATGGGAAGTTTGGATGGCGCCGGTGGCTTCATTGTCGTACGATGTCAATCATGTCAGAATTGTGCAGGGCAGAGCTCGGTGAAGTTCACCGAAACGTTGAACCTTTCCTTCTATGGTTACTTGTGCTGGAGAATTTGTGGGGAAGCGAGGATTGGGATCTCGATCATGGTCGGTACATTGGCCGAACAGTTTGCAACCTTGTTCAACCATTTGATCGGTCTCGTATGATCAAATCTTGTTATGGTCTGCATGGACGTAAAAGTGTGCACATGGCTCACATGCGCTGGTTTTGGGGACCGTGGCTTTGATAATGGAGGGTTCTTGATGAGAAAAACACTTTTGTGTTAGAGCTCTGATCCTAGGCTTGAATTACATGAGATGCTCGTTATTCTCACCACGAGCTTTGTGTTTCCCGTTCCCAGCAATGTATCTCAATGATGTGTGTTTGTTCAGCATAAGGTGCTAGTTGTCTTCCGCATAGCCTACCCTTTCCCGAGCCCGGGTTCCAGTAGTCGAGTTCGAGCGCCGCCCAAAGATAACACTCGCTCACGATGCGAAATGTCTTGTCGCCGGTTTTCCGTAGCACGAAGGGGGATCGTGCCCCATCCAATACCCAGACTTCATCGTTTTCTTTCAAGCTATGTTGACCTCCGGGGGCAAAGCCCAGACTGTTGGAACTATAAAAAGGAGAAAGTAGCTTGTCCGTACACTGCTGCGCTTCTTCCAGGAGGGCATTCAGACCCGAAAAGTCGAAGTGGTAGGGTTCATTCTCGAAGAATACAGGACGCACAGCGGTGTCCGATTTTCGCTCAAAGAAAGGCAGAATCCATGCGTAGCATGATTTCACAATATCGCAACAGCTGTCTTGAGGCAAATGCGAGACTATCATATTGATCGCTCTTTCAGGTATCCTGAGATTGGATTCGGCACTCTGCTTAGGAATGGTGTCAACGAAATGTGCCCGGACCTGAAATCGTGGTAGGATGCTTTTGTTTTGAGCTGTCCGACAGAAACGGACAGGTAGATCAGCACTTTGCTTGCTCGACCCAAGGGCCGAGGGAATGGTTTCGACTATCTGAACCTCAACCTGCCCTCGCCACAACCCTTGCGTATAGTCTCTGAACTGGCGGATAAGAGGAAGGCGCCCGATCAATGAGATTCTGTCCACAGTACGGATTTTGGCTGTTCGCCTTTGTGAGTCCTTGTCAGCCAGGAAGTGTTTGAACTGTTCCAACATTACACGAAAACCGTGATTCTCAGGTGCTCTAGATGAACCAGTCGGATCCCAAACGTGGATGTATCGAAGATATGATAAGATGTCCAAATTGCGCTGTTGGGCGATGACAGCGAGTACTGCGCTCGCATAGACAGAGGTGCAATCAACCGAGTAGTCGATAGGTATCAGAGACCTCGATCTGGGGTCCATGAGACTGACAACAGCGAATATGTTGTCACGTGGATCGACGCATTGGCATTCGAGACCGGCGCGGAGACACGCGATAATGTTATTAGAAATTGCCTCACTCCTAAGCTCTTTCAACCTCAAGACCGCAGGAAGTTCATACTCGTCTTTTTTGGCAAGATAGGCCAATCTGGCCATGACCTCGGAAGTAAGCAAAAGTTCGTTTTGGTTAAGTAGTAGATATGCAGCCTTTGCCAAAACTACTTCCTGGATGACCCAAGCGCGCTTGAAGTATCGAAGCGAGAGCAACTGGCTCACTCCAGGACGACCCCAAGTCTTAACACCCGGGTTCCCCATGTCAGAGTCGTGGCGTAGCAATCCAAACAAGTCTGCGTATTTAAAGATGCCTTCCGGATCGCGATGGTCTTGAATACAGATGCGCACGCTCCGAGCGAGGGAGTATACCAAGTCCATCAGACCAACTTGATGATTGTGTTCTTTGATATTTGTTTGATGAATGCAGATCGCGTCAATCCACAGTCGTCGCTTGAATACGCGTTTCCTGAGCTGACGAATGGCGGCTTCACAATTTGCCGTAATTGGAAGATATGCGTTTCTACCGCAATTGATCCTTTGTGTAAGACTGGCATCGCCGTCGTCAGAGGCCCACATGTAGGAGACTGCTTCGTAGTCAGGGTTATCCTCCAGGTTGACATGGATAATGTCACATTGTAGATCGTCTGTCGTTTCACCAGGTGCGACCACTATGAGCCGAATTTCTTGGCCCAGCTTGTAGTTGAGGTCGGTGTACTTGTAGGTTGTCCGAGTCATTGATTGTGGTTCGTTGGCTCGAAAGCCGTGGACGTCTCAAACACTGCCTCGCCGCATGCAAGACAACATCTCAGTCCATCAAATTTCCGTACATCTAAATGGCGACATTGAGTTTCAGACATGACTGTTATATGAACAAGCTTTGGAAAGCAATTCCCCACCGAGTAAGGCCTGGCGCTGACACTGAAAATGGCAAGGCCGGAGAAAGGCCCAAGTCTGCGTTGATGGGTGATGAGTGAGTTGTTGGATGATGACATGTTCTAGAGGCAGTGCCAAATGCAGGTATGCCTGTCAGACCTGTCACGCTGTCACGCTTCACCAGAATTTACAACTCATCGATTGGTGCTCGGAGCGAAGCGGTAATGCTGCAATGTTTGCTCCCGTTGTTTCTATGGTGTGAGCTGATTATTGCGCAGCAACCACTCATGGTAAAGGGCCGCAAAGCATGTCAAAACCTACTTTTTGCTTCAGGCTGTGAGATGTACCTGTTCATGATATTGCGTACTTCTTAACCTGCAGCAAGAAGACAGTCTCTATTACAAGCTATGCTCATCGCATAGGTGAGCTCGATGCTGGAATTTGAATGAGTTAGATTGCCGGAGATGAAGATTGAGGTAAGAAAGGTAGAGGGAGATCGGGGGTTAGGAGGAAGTTAGGAGAAGGTAGAGACTGGAAGAGCGCAGAGAAGCCCCGTGCGGAGCGTATGGTTGATCTGATGGGGTAATCCATTCAGAGGTGAGGACGAATATGGAATCTTAAAGGTCTATAACCCTTTTCAGCTAGATAATCATCACGGGACGTATTACCCAAGCACCCTCCTCTCTCAATTCCAACCCTACTTCCATCCCCATTCATCCACGTCAGCCCCCTCAGCGACCGGCGCACTGAAAATACAAGGCGCCTTGTACTGCTTTGTTTCTTGTGTCTAGTACAGCGGGCCCCTGAACAAAATCAGTCTCCAACCGAAAGCTGTTCCTCCCAAGTTGTAACACAAAACTGGTCACAGCGTGTGCAGAAGCTGCATCGACGCGGTACAACTGTTTTTGTTATCTCACTCCCGCTTCCCATTCTCGAAGCGCACCTCTCAGCTTTTCTTCCACGCCCCTCTCAACCCAAAAGTGACCTGCATCAGCGACTTCCACGCTTGAAAATCGCGACCCCTGCATAGCCTTAAGCTGTTCGCTCCAATCTCGGATTCGCCGCGCTGAGGTGAAAATGTCCTGATCGCCATACACTGCGAGTCCGATGTGGTGAGCTACAACTTCTTCACTACTTCCTTTCGATTTGTGCCAGAATTTGTGACCTAAAGCAGGTGCGGCAAGCGTAGATATCGGGGGGGTCAGAGGTGATATAAGCAGATAACGGACTTCGGGCATTATGATTGGAGCAACTTCGTGCGTTTCCAACGGAGTTGGTGGGCTGTCGTCCTTGTGTCTGCGATGACCATGACTAAGGCTCCTCAGTCTATTTCCAAGCTCGACACTCAATCTTCTGTCAGTACTCCTGCGGACCTCCCTGCTGGTCCTTCTCTTCTCCGGAGTTGTCTCTTCTCCACCCATCGTCACAGAGTGTTTTGGCTCGTGTCCCTTCTTCCTGGACCGGCTTTCACGCTCATGATTGCGTACTAAGTCTCTCCAAGCCATGTTGCTTTGTTCTGCCAATTTACGTGCTCGCAGGATTATTTCATCGCTTGCGGAGCCAGCTATAGGAGCGACGAATGGCTGAAGTACGGATGGGACTGGCGGTAGGTGTCGAAGAATATGGGAACCGTATGAGTAACCTCCGAGGATAACGATGGGACCTTCATCCACACGTTGACGTGCGAAAGACTCGTGGTATTCGGCCTCCGACACCACCGGTGACAGTTCTAGTGGTACAAGTTTCGGATAGGGCTTTAGGTAGCTCAGATAGTGCATAAAGAATGCAGCAAACGACGTGTAGTCGTCGAGCTCGGGTTTCCCAGACCAGCTTGTGCGGGCTTTGGAACCGTGTGCACCTCTTACACACGTCAACCATGCTATTCTTTACCAGTACTGTCATCCATGCGGATCATACCTGAAGTTGAATGTGCCTACCACCCAACCTGCTTTCAGAAATTCGTCCACTACAATACCTACGACACGATCATCGTAGCTACCGCCCATCGGCGCGTATGGATGGGCCATGATGATTCCTCTCATCCGGCTCGACTGTCCTGGGCCGGAGGTCGTCCATCCTGCCGCACTCGACGTGTCTGGATGGTATACGCGACAATTGAGGGCGGTGTCGTCGTGTATTGAAGGTATCGTGAAGCTGTAGAGAGCCTCTGGCGCGTGAGGCATATTTCGGGTCTACTCAAGACCCGCTTCATGTACTCATCGCATCGCGGGTGAAGGAGAGAAGCGACCAGCAACGCAAAGCATGTAGTGTCGCGCCGAGAGAGTTGAGGCGTGGCTGTGGGGTTGAAGCTCCGAAGGTGTTGAGTGGCTTAGCTCGTCTTAGTCAGCGAATCTGGGGAAGTCGCGACCGGCTCCGCCCGCAGCCTCACTTCTAACTTCTGCCACAACTGCGCGTTCGTCACTGCCGCACAAACATGTCAGACCGGAAGCTGTAGCGCCTCTGGCGTTTGTGACTTCTCTACTTGCCACAGCTCCTCTTGATCTGGCAGACGGGCACGACAGCATCACTCACATGCATTCATTCGCTTACCAGAGCTCGAGCTAACCACCAGTCGCGTACACACTGCAATGTCGAACTCGACCGCAACCTCCGTCTCTCGCTATCGCCCAGCCGTTCTCGTCGTCGCTGGCGCTGCAGCAGCTTATGCGACCTATCTGCTATACAGCGTATCACAATCTTCGTCCAGTGATGGCCTACATCGAAGCAATGCAGTCCGTCGGTCGCATGCGCGTCCACGCCGGCGTGCCTCACAAACAGAACGTCTAAGCGCTCTGGCAGGCGATAACGCTGCTATGGGCGAGTATGACTATCATGGGGTCAGAGTGCCACTCAGTTTCGAAAACTTGATTCCCCGAACTCAACTATTCGAGCTGATCATCCAACAACACCCAGAATACAACGCGCAGCAGGCGGATAATGAGATTGCTCGTGTCTACGATGTCTACTTAGACCGACTGTTCGCCCAGATGTTTCCTCGTAATGCGCCATCTCGCGCACACACAGAGAGCGTAGCAAGGTGGGTTGCTGATCGTCATCACGGCCAGATCCTTTCGCCAAACACTGCCGTGGAGAGAGCAGCAGCAAGATATGCCCTCTTGTTGCAGAATGCAGACATGGCTGTCGTCGACGGCACCCAAAGCGTTGCGGCCACCGAGCTATCTTGGGGGAGCGACGACGACACCGAGGGTGAAGCCGTCGACTCCGATGGACAGACACTGCAGCGCACCCTGTACCACATAGCTGAGGATCGTGCTCGCCAAGAAGGCGTCGTCCATCGAGGCATCACTTGCAACGGCTGCGATGAGAAGCCCATTCGTGGCATCAGATGGCATTGTGCGAATTGCGCTGACTTTGATCTTTGCTCGAATTGCGAAGCAACCAACTCCCATATCAAGACTCACATATTCTACAAGATCCGTGTGCCTGCGCCATACCTTGGTATTGCAAAGCAGGAGCCCTTGTATCCTGGCAAGCCACAAGCCATGACATCCTCTGTTCAAGCAACGCTCAAAAAGCGCCTCGTTGCAGAGACAAAGATGGAGGCGGAGGAGATCGACGCGCTCTGGGAGCAATTTACTTGTCTTGCCGGAACAGAGTGGCGTGCCGATCCCAACAACATCGGCTGGGCTCTGGACAGGAGAGCCTTCAATCATGCCTTCGTTCCTCGCTACAAGTCTTTCGTCGCGGCACCAAATTTAATCTATGATCGTATCTTTGCGTATTACGATTCGGACAAGAACAGCTTAATTGGGTTCGAAGAGTGGATCAAGGGCATCGATGGTATGCATGCGACAGATGGACAAGTGAAAAGCAGAATCGTCTTCAATGGGTACGACATCGATGGAGATGGGTACATTTCCCGGAAGGATATCTTGAGGATTTTCCGAGCCTATTACGCTATTGAGCAGGAGGCCACGCGCGACTATGTTGCAGAGATTACGGAAGAGCTCTCGGTCCGCAATGCTCTAGACACGATCCGCTCCGGTCAGCCTCTTGGTTCTGCGTTCATGCCTCATGGAATGAACGTCAACGATAGCGTGAACCCCCGCTTGGGAGAAAAAGGACAACATGATTTCGCGACCACGGAACCAGTGCTCCAGGAAAATTATGCAGATACTGCAGCGCGGGATGTGATGCTGGCCGCTGCCGATACACGTAACTTGGCACACGGAGGCTCCCCTCAAGATGACCACAGTCGTGTTGTGACAGATCGGTGGGCACGCAGGCAATTCTATATCGACGAAGAAGAAGGACTCGTTCGACCAGAAGGTGCAGAGAACGAGTTGACAACAGAAGAGGATGATGCGGACCCTAACGTACCAAACGACGATCATGAAGATGCCTCGACCCAACCGAGTGCGCGGCCAAGGTGGTCCAGGTCATCGTCAAGAGTACGATTCCAGGACGATCTCGATATGGAGACTCGATCAAACGCCTCGACGTCATCACGGCCAGTTGGGGAGCGATGGGGCGGCTATGAAATTCCAGAACCTGAAAAGGATCTTGGAAAAGAGGTTCTATATCAAATCACTCAACAAGGATTCAACGAGCTCCTAGATCCGATTTTCGAAGAAAGCGAGAACAATGCCATGGACGCTTTTGCAACTCGCAGCGAGCGCCGCAAATGTACTACCCATCTCGAGAGCGCTACCGAATGTTTTAGAACTCAGGAGCTCGGCCACCATCGTGCGATATGCAAAATTGGCATCTTCCGGTACTCAAAGTGTATTGTAGACATGTTCTGCAACGCGCTCAATAAAGGATCCAATTTTGAGAACTTAAGAGCGATTTTCAAGGATGAGCATTGCAATGATGTTGATCACGAGACAGCCAAATTCAGGCTCACGGTGATTTATGGTTCGATAGAAGACTTGTTTCTCAGTACCATCGATGTGCCTGACGAATGGACTGTCGATGATATGGCCTTGTGGAATACATGGCTTTGTAGGAACCAACTTCGAAACGAAGTACTAGCTTCGACTCTCGATTGTGCATCGCAGCTTGGATGGATACCATATGCAAGACCAGAGAAAGTATCCGCACATCCAGCTACACTTCTTGGTTATCCATACCGAGATCCTACCATGCCCCAATTCCGTCCTAACTCCATGGCCGACGCCAACCCGAACGAGTACTTGAGCACAAACTTTATGCCTTCCATGCTCAGTCCTGAGGCCATTGGCTCGATTCTCGCCGATGATCGCATGACTTCGAACCCCTCCGGCCCATTCTTTGTCGGTACATTGCCTAAGATCGATGAGTCAGATCCAGAATTATTAGAACAAGCTACGCAGGAGGTGCTCGCAGCGACATCCGCAGTGAACAACCTCAAGGTCCGAGACGCTTCCTCTGAATCTGTTCAAGATCACCTCGACGAACGGCAGAACATTCCACACTGGTCGAACTACACGGATAACCCAATGATCCACATTCTTCACGTGGATTCGTCGGACGATTCCGAGCAACTGCGGTCCTCGACTAAGCCCGTCATTCACACGTCCAACCCTTTCTATCCTGAGACCGATCAGTTGAAATCGCTATACCGACGGGTCCGTGAGCTCGCTATGGACCCTGACTCGATTTCACATAACATTCTACTCGCTAGCTTGGAGGCTGTACAGCAGCAGATTCATGAGCGAAAGGGTAGTGGCCTCATCAACTTTGAGGAGTTCGACCGGCATATGCAAGAAGGTAGACTGCGATTTCTGGAGTCATGGATGGAGTGGGTTAGTATCTGAGCGTACGGCATTACTGGGCCATCATGCACACATGTCCATGTTCTCTGCCCATATCCACAAAAGTTTCACAATGCAAAGAGCAGCAGCATCTTGCCATCGTGGGTCGCTCAAAGCCAGCCTGGATACCACTGGGCGTTGTATTTTGGTATGGCTAATTTGCTGTCTGTAGCTTCCTCGCATCCCTGTCTGAACATACCAAACGCCAGGGCCAACCGGAGCCAGATGGACGGAGTGAATAGTAGGTTGGCAATCATGTTGGTGGGAACATGACGAGCTGTATGATACCGCCATGATGGCCATGCATGTTTAGTCTGCGGACCAGCATGAATATACGAGTACAGATACATCGCTGGTGCGCAATGCTAGCCAAAGTCCAGATGATCGTCTGAAGCCATAATTTCATTTCTAATTCTATCGCTGTTATCGTGGCGTACCACTTCTACTGCTCTCAAAGTCCTCCAGCTTCAAACTCAATTGCCCGCTGTCTTCACTCCATCTTCCGATTGGAGTCCTTGGTCTTTGCCTCCTCTCAAGCTCAGCGAAATCTTCGGGTCCTGCTGGCTCGCTCTTGACTTCTGTTGTTGTGACAAGCTTAATGTCTTTCGTGTTGCATAAATCGTCCGACGACTCGTTGCAAGAAGGAAGCGTGACACCGTCCGCTGAGATGGTGCATTCTCCGCCAAAGCGTCTTGGTTGCGTGGCCCAGAATGTACTGAACGTGTCGAAACCGTTGTCATCTGGAGGCGGCTCGTCGCTGAAGATCATAATGCGGCGTGTGAGGGTATATAGGAGGACGTCGAGCCAGCCGTTCGACGTGATCATCGCGCCAGAAAGGCAGAGGCGGACGAGAGATGGCGGTGAGCCGGACATTGCGGCCATGCGGGAAGACGCAAGCGGAATCGTACAGACGACGTAGACGAGCGGGTAAACGACCATGAGGTTGGAGATGGACTTGACGCGTTTCGCTGCGGCGGGGGTGTAGTAGTGATTGTGAAGGCGGTGGAGTAGAATGGTATAGATGGTCAGGTAGATGATGACCGTGCCGAATTCAAACACGAAAATCCAGATGTAGTGCGTCCAGAGTCGCAGGTCGTTCAACTCGTGGTGTATCCAGCACCATACTCCGGGATCGAACGTAGATGTCCTGGCCATGGAGACCCACGGGAATAGCTGAGACGCTCATGATAAAGAGCCATAGTGCGATGATGGTCGTGTAGAATAATTTGGGGCTCATCCGGTAGTCCAGTATCACGCTGGCGAATGTGTGAAGGCCGATGGCGAAGCACCATACTCCGCTACCCAGATCCCCCGTCGACACTAGCCAGCCTTGAGCAAAGCATATTGGGTTTTCAATCTGCACGCTCCCGAGGCGCAACCACTCCACATTGAGCAAGAAGGCGAGTGCTTGCTGAATGTCAGCCCAGAGGAGGTTGAAGATTAAGATAACGAATTGGTTCGATCGCTTCGATTTGAGTTTCCATGAGACCAGTTTGTAGGTGAGGACAACGAGGAGCGAAATCGAGGCGATGAACGATATGAAGCCAAAAGCAACGACCGCGCGCAACCATGGATGAATGTGTGGTGGGAGGATAAAAGATGCGGATTGCGTGTCCAGCGGCGGCATGTGAGGCATTGTGAAGAAGCAGACTGCGGCCGCAGCCCGCACGGAGAAAAAGAAATCACCCTCGTATACACGGCACGATCATATCGAAGTCCAGGTCTTCCAGAAGCCGAAGTCACGAGAATCAAAGATGGAAATGAAAAGGAATATTCTCGACGTCAAGAGCTTCACGGGAACCCGGGAAAATAAGGTCTTTCGGCACCGGCTACCAGGCCTATAATGTACGATTGGCACCTGTCGCCCAGAAACCTTAGCATGGAGGGGTGTGTGCATGTCAGCTTCCGCTCTCTCCGGGATGCCATGTGCAATACCATCCCTACAACGATGATTAATATGGCGGAACCCACTTTAATATATCCCCGGCCCTATTATTGAGAAGAAGAGGACACTCGGCGCGCTAAATGCTTCCTCGTGGCTACACACGGACCCGTCGGCAGCTCTAGCTTCAAACGGGAGAAGCAGATGTCTTGTTCGAAACTTAGCATAACCGGTGGTGGGATAGCTTTACACATGGGTTGGTGGACTGTGGCGTACAAGAAAGCTAGCTGAACACACATAGACTGACATGCTGTCAGCTCAGCTTTGGTCTGCAGGTTGCCGAAACCAAATCAACTCGATGCTCAATACGAGTAATGGAACGGACGGGAAGAGAACCGTGCGTCATCTGACAGTTGCTCGCTTCTATAGCATGCGTCGCAGGTATGGAGTCCTGCGATCTTGGGCCTCGACACGATCCGAGGGAAGTATGGCGCTTTTCCGCTTTCGAAACATGGAGGTTCCTTGGGGGATGATGGGACTCCGTTGCATCATCACGTTCATGTAGCGGGCGAAAGTGGCATCAAGAAGGGCCGAGAGAACATGTTCTCCTGAAGTAGCTAAGGAGAACGGTAATTCATTGGCCGCAAGCAGCAGCATCGCGAGTCATGGACGACGTTTCCTCGCCATTCGGGCCGTACATTCTGCTTCCCACAAGCACAGTCAGCTCTCGCATCAAGACTGCGAATCTCATTCAAAGACGCTCACCAACAGCTCATCGAAC